TTTGTAGGGACGGATGAGTTTGTTAATTTGACTAACTATCCTAGGGATAATGTTGTAGACAGCCATGGTAGGGAAAGGAACAGGATTAGTAATGCCATGTTTCCAATATACATTCCAAAGTTGCCAAAGAGTTGTGTAAATGATTCCTAGATAGAGGTCAATATCAGTCATTGAATCAGAATGCCATAGATGTCGAAGGGTTTGATATAGACAATCTGGTGAGAAATACAAATATGGAAAGTAGATGGAGAGGACTCCTTGCCAGATTTATTGTTTAATGGGTCACTAAATGAGAAAATGGTAGAGGGAGTCTTCCCCAGAGCCACAAAGAGAACAGGCAGAGGAGTAAGAATTGAGTTTAACAAGAAGTTCCTTATGCGGAATACATTGATTAAGCGAAAGATAAAAAAAACAATATGAGCGTGGGAATACATGACAACTTTCCAAAATTATTGAATTGATAAGGAGAAGAAATTATCACGATTATCCAGTTGAGGCAGAAAAGAAACACGAAGGTTACGCACAAAAAAACGAAGCCAGCGTACGGAGCTTGTGAAGGTATTAATTGAGCCATTCGGAAGACAGGCGTTCTGTATCAGCGGCGGTGCCAGGATATGTGACCACACAAAGGCTTGTAAACACAAGTTAGAAGTTAAAAAGCGCACATCAAAGGTTATGGCATACTACAAGAAAAATTAAATTTGCTTGAAAGTCTCCTTAGGCGAAAATTTATATATTTTATTAGTTATTATGCATTCGTTTTTTTAAACATTACTGCTAACTAAGGGGGACTAAAAGTGTATAAAATTACATATCAATTAAGACAAGAGGGTGGGACTAAAAACCCAAGAGCCTCAGAAGAAAAAAAGGGAAAAAAGAAATAAGGGAAAAAGATAACAAGTGGCTACTCAATAGGCTTCAAAACCATGGACTCCCTCGCATCGTGCACTAGAAGAGTTTGGCAGTGGAGGGGCGAACCAGAGGGCAGTATCCACACTATCTTTCGACCACAGGTAGGAAAGGAACAAAGGAACAAGACTTAATTACCACCAAGGGAAGAGGATAGCAGCCAGACTTGACCAGGCTCAGGATCAGTAGTGTAATCCCCTTCGGGATTACACAGGGTATCAAAGAACCAAAGGATGCGACAGAGAGCAACCCAGAAAGGAGGGCAAGGAGAAGAACGAGAAAGAGGAAAGTCTCCATAAATCGCCTCATTTGGCTAGTTAAAATGTATAGGTCTACAAACGAGCCAATCAAATCAATTACCATATTTTAATAGTTTTACTGGTTATAAGAACTAAAGTTAAGGAACAACATCTGTTCCTTTATGACTCAAATACCAAATACCAAAAACCAAACCCTTAACCAAAACAAATCTTCTTTGACACTCTAAAGAAAATCCAGCAATTTCAACTGAAATTTTAACAAAATATTCCCTTAATACTAAAGAGATCGCCATTGCAAGTTTTACATTAGCAATTAACAACATCAAACGAAGAAAAAACTTCAATGAAGTTAAGCATCTTGTGAAAAAATATGAAAAGAGTGTGGCTCAGGTACAGTTTATTTTTTTTTAAGAAGAAACAATGCTTATTTATACTAAAAGTAACTGCTTCCAGTTTTTAAATTCTAATGTTGCTAAGTCCTTCTTTCAACAAAAGGAAGTTGAAAAATGCGTAATAAATGAAGAACGCGAAAGAGATATATATCACTCAAATATCAAAAGAAAGTATTATCAGTTGGAGGTAAAAAGACATTAATAAAATATCAATGTAGTTACGCAGCGAATATGTTAACCATAAAGAATATATTAATACATTTAGAATGTAACTACTAAAGAACATAGTAGACAAAACGTAAGTCGAGGGTATTCATCATATTATCCATATTGCTTAACAATTTATTTTGCTACTATAGAAAAATGATGAGAGTGGAGTGATAAATTTTACTATCTTTTAATTTATATAATAATATCACTAATCTTTAATGGTATACATAGGGTGAAGGCTGTAGTTATACAGTGCTATTCCAAGTAAATAGCGACTTATGAAATATAGTTTTGCGGTTCTGGCAATGTAATTTTGTGATTTTAGAAACTTAGTTCACGGTCTCTGACCTTAGACTTTGTGCCCATTGCCATTTAACTTTGGGGCCCCAGACAAAAGAGTTTGTGGAGACATTTCTGAAAATGATAATCAACCAAGATTTCCCAGGTACCAAAAATAACACATTTATTTATTAAAAAAAAAAATAAAATAAAAAAAAACTAAAGCATATTCTCTAGATTAAGACATCGCTCAAAAAAGGTAGTTGAATGGCGAATCCACCCTTCGCAATCAGAGGTACTGACTTGTTTTGCTGCTTCTATAATTCGTGGTATAAGATTATCTTTGTCAGTAAGATCATTTCTTTTGATGCCATATTTGATTTTTGACCACATTTCCTCTATTGGGTTTAAAAAAGGTGAATACGTTGGCAAGAACATATACTTATACCCACGCGACACCACCAAATCCTAAATTTCTTTTGACCGATGGATAGGAGCGTTATCCATAATCAAATATCGCCCTTTCATTCCAGCGGCATCCAGCTCATTCATTATTTCATTCAGGAATGCCATAAATTGTTCAGTGCGAGTTCCAACCTTTCCATTTATGCCGATTTCAACATCTGTGTCAAAGTTGATTTTTCTCTTCTTTTTTGAAATTACGGCCGTGGGTTTCTTAACAGAAAGATTTATAATACCAGATTCGCACATGGCACCAGGAATAGTTATGTTTATGCCCCTAATGGTAGTAACAAGCGATTTGGCTGGTGTGCCTTTAATGGATCTACCATAGCACCTCCTCATCTTCATATTAAACCCGGCTTCGTCAATGAATACGCAGTTATTGAAGTAGCTAAAATCGGGAAGATTTTGCCACTCCAAAATTTTCTCTTTTCGCTTTTCAATGGTTTTGGGATCATTTCTTGCCAAAGAGACCATTTGAAACTTCTTCATTGTCAAGTTACAATGCTTTCTCAGATGCTTTCCAATTGCATTGGGGGATGATTTTCATTCCTTCAAAGGCACTTATCAAAGCAGCATGGGCCTGTTCCAAAGTATACGTAGGGTTTGCTTCATAAAGCTCCAAAAAAAAACTTTGTGTGAACTTTGAAGAGCTTCTGGTTACCATACTTTCTTTCTTTTGGCTCAGTAGGGACGGTGGGCTCAGCCGGTTCTTCATCACTGTTTACCTCCGTAATCTCGGCAAATCTATCTTCTTCGACAAGCTTTTGGACCTTAAGGACATAATCTTGTGCAGTTCGCTCCTTGATCCCAATATCTCTGGCAACATGCGCAGTAATTTCTCCTTCAATTAAGCATCTATAAAGGAGACGATTAATTTGCTCTTCTGTATACTTGCGGTAGCCAGTTTTAAAAAGACGATTGGCCAGAGATGGTTGTTCTTTTTTAGGCCTTCCACCAGAAGTTTGAGCCTTTTTTAGAGCAGAGATATTGTTTGATTTAGATACTCCGCTAGGTCTGAAGGTAGAAAAGACCAAAAAATTTTCCTGCCCATTGTTACTAGAAGACCATTCCATTGATGCACTGGTAAGTAACTGATTGGTAGGCTGAGGACATTGAACTCTAGCATGGATATCTTGAATATCATTACCAGCATGGGAAGGGAGGATATCTTCCATAGGTGTACATCTAGTAGATTTGGAATTCAAGAGGGTATTGTGCTTGTCCATAACAAATTAATAGGTTTGATTAGATGATATTATGTAGATATCAAAAACAGAATTATTGTGAGTGAATTGTTGACGATAAGCTTATCTCCTCAACTTACAAAGGTTTTAAAAGTGATAATTTGGTATTGTTGCTGCTTCGGTAAAGAAAGCCAACCAGTCAATCTAATGTGTTTATATACATTTTTTCTCAAATTGCGCACTTGAAAAAATATGCAAAGCCCGATAATTGTTTGAGGAATTTTGGTTGGTTGTCATTTTCAGAAATGTCTCCACAAACTCTTTTGTCCGGGGTCCCAAAGTTAAATGGCAATGGGCACAAAGTCTAAGGTCAGAGACCGCGAACTAAGTTTCTAAAATCACAAAATTACATTGCCAGAACCGCAAAACTATATTTCATAAGTCGCTATTTATTTGGAATGACACGGTAGTAACGATACTATATTTAGCAATGGCGAACAGGTAAGCTGGCATATCTATAAATTTCTTCATAAAAAAAAAAAAAAAACTACAGCCAATCTAAAAGAAAAAAATAATTGATAGATGGAGAAACTTGCCTCTCAGACCTCTGATAGTGCGTATAATGGAAGTTCACCAAGCTACTTTGGAGATAAATATAATTGCAGGCCCTATGCCCTATGCCCTGCATTCAAATGAAATTGATATATCAGGAAACAGCCATGAAAGAGAAACCAAGTGGCTGGATTGTTCTTCTTCTTTTGATGAGAGATTGTGAGTATTACTAAAACATAATAAAAAATTGTATCAGTATTATTAAGAAAAATATACATTATAGACAATTATCAGGTATTATGTATCAATCTCAGTTACCAAATGAACTGAACTTGGAACCAGTGGTGTTTACAAATAAAATTTCAAACATGATGCAACAATGGAAAATTGTACGTAATATATTAATATAGAAGCTTGAGTTACAGTAGTTTAAAACCTAATATTGTTGAATAGAGCATTGTAAAGAAAAGGATATACTATCCACCCCTTTTGACTGATTCAGTTCAATTAAGTTTATCTATGTTGCTAACTTTCGTCACACAGACAGTTTTTCATCAAACAAGAAACGAAAGTTACATTCTATCAAAGAAGCAACCTGAGGCTGATTATACTGTCCAAAATGTGAGTATATTGCTAGTTTATTTGTTCCCAGTTCAAGATTTGATTTCATTTTTGTGGTTAGTATTCTTTCTTTTATCTTTTTTTTTGTTCTATAATTCATTATAAAATAATAGGAATAAATCTTGATACACCAATTGTAAAAGCACCAAAAGAGTCATGAATGACTTTATTTTCTTATTTGAAAACATAGAAATTGGTTGTGGAGAGATTAAACCTAAAGGAACGTTACCAGCACTTTTGGAAGAAGACCGTTGCCGAATTGCTGAGGTTATGAAACGACAATTGAATGTTAGAATTACGAAGTCTAAATCAACAAAAGAATTACGAACATTTGGCTTTCTTTTTTTCAGATATTGAAGTTGAAATGTATACTACGGAATTTAATAAAACTAGCGGGTATCAGTTGTACCTTTTACCGAGCATAGTTTTACCAACAACAGCAAAGACATACGCAAATATTGATTTATCTCTTGGTTTTTTTCTTGCATTTAAAGTATATAATCATACTTTTTATTGATTTACTTCTAACAACTAACGTTGCTGTTCTTTTTATTATTAGAAAATTATGATGGAGTCTTTACCAAAAGATAGCAATGCAGAAAACTCATACGATTAAGAAGAATTTTATTTAAAAAAAATTAAAAAATGACCAATGAGCACATAGCATTTATATATGCTGTTTTGCCCTGGCCAGATCGCTATGGAAAAAAAAGGAAAGAAAAACCCTTTTGGGATAAAAGGGAAAATGTTAAAGTATATGTATAAGTGATGATAATTAACTATCAGAAAATCGTTGTTGTATTGAAAGAAGATGATGGTCAGAGGGTTCAGGGATTTGGGAGTGAAGCTAGATAGTCCATCTCCAAGCAGAATTGCACATATGGAAGGCCAGCGTATGAGCCAGGCATCAATTGATTTTTTCACTTTCTTCGTATGGAATGTTGATGGTAATAGATTCAAGAGATAAGAGAGTGGATCTTCAATAGATTTGGGCATCTGAAGGCGGTTGTGCATATGTAAACAAGAAAAACTATGTGAGCGTGTGAAGAGTTCGTTTAGATGGAAGGGGCAGGCTTGGGGTTTACCAAGAGATAACCAACCAAGTCGCCATCGCACGCAACGAAACCGTTCTCTTCTTGTCATTGCAGAAAACTCATACAGTTTTCATGATTATATTCCTATGATAAAGCCGAGTGTTGCATTTACTGATGAATAAACAAGCTAGTGTCGCTTGAAATAAAAATAAATTATTTTCATCTAGTTCTTTGCCATGTCTTCAAAACTAATAAAGCATATTTTTAGACATTGTCTGGTAAAAAATAATTTATATCTAATAATATTGAATATAGCAATAATATATTATTATTAAATCTAAGAGAACTCGCCTTAGAATGTATGAGAATCAATTTGTTCAAAGCTAGAAATAAAATATAAAAAATCTATCTTATAGCTTGTACATAGTATATTGTATGATGGACATTGTTTATTGTCAAAGCAGTAATACGAAATGCTTTAGTATATTTCAAAGCTTCATAATCTTTGTTACTTTATTCTATTGAACGTGTATGTGTGTGTGTGTGTGTGTGCGTGTGTGTGTGTGTGTGCGTGTGTGTTTGTTTTAATATATCATACACTGTAATAGATTTTTTTTTTTTTTTTTTTTTTTTTTTTTTTTTTTTTTGATATTCACCTTCTTTTTATACGACCCTGTTACTAAAATTCTAAAAACTTACACCTATATGAACAATAATAATAACAACAGTTCAAGTTAATCATCTCCATGGACATCTACTCTCCTCCTTCAATGACTAGTGTTTTTGAAACCTCGTTTTACGTCTTCTTCTTGGTTTAATAGCGACTCAAATATGGCAGCGTGGCATCCTGATGCTACTTTCACGCTATCGTTCTCAATACTGGAATAATATTCCTACATTTCTGAGTTTTTTTTTATGTCGACTTTTGGATGAGTTTCAGTGTCATTACTACCTATTCAAGTATTTTCAACAAACCCTTTGTCCCAATATGATCCACAAAAGCTCAACTATGTTGTCTAACTTTCTCAACAGACAGGACAAATGAATACACTGCTTCATAAAAAAAACTTTGATAACTCAAGTACAGGTTCCTTATATTTACCAAAGCTTGGAATAGCAAACGAAAGCTTTTCTTGTGATGTTTTTTTTATCACTCTTAAACAACATGAATCCAAAATTTTCGACACTTCAACTCTACTAAAGAAGAGTAATATATAAAACAGTAAAGGTTAGAATGCAGGACAGTTTTAAACCAACATTTATTAAAGGATGTTCGCCATTGTAAAGTAAAATTTGGAGATAATTGTTTTTCTGATACATTTTGATTATTTATATTCCTAATTAGATATCGATGAGTGCTTTAAAAAGAAACAACATGAAATAGTACACGCTGATTTTAGCCAATCCTTTTTCTACAGAATGTCGATGAACACAGCTAAACTCCTAATCAGTAAAGCACTACGTGAAATGATTATTGTATAAATTATAAAATGGAGTAATAATTTTTTTTTAAAAAAAAATATACCTCATCAGGAGATATACTAATGTAACTATGATTTATTCAAAAGTGACAAGGACATATTCAGAAATAAAAACTGGTTTAGAAGTACTAAGTGGAGCACTTTCGAAAGCATATTAGAAATATTTTAGATATACTTGATAGCTGTTATTTTGCAGATCTATACATTGTCATAAACAATGAAAATACCCTCCATTCACAAAAAGGAATTAAAGAAAGCATATATATAGGAAAGAGGATTTGTCTATGCATAATTACCCTCTTCTTCTCTTATATTTTCCGTTCCTGAATCCAATTGAAGATTATTAGGCAAAAAAAAAGGTCTTTTGAAGTAATGTAACCTGTAAAAAAATAAAATCACAAGATCAAATTGATGAGACTGTTAAACAGTAATTTGAGAGATTACATTAAACACTTAATAACAACTTTTTTCTTTTTTTTTCGAACCTTGTTTACATAAAGAAAAGAAAAATCTTTAAATAAACTATGTTTTTTTTATTTTTTTGACAAAGAACTTGACATTTCACTAAGCAAATCAAATTTTATGTAGAGTGAACTTTGTTTTTTTTATTCGGCGAATAATTTAATGATAATGAAAAAAAAAAAAAAAACTTTTTTCCTTTTTTGCTTTTTAGATCATGTCAAATAAAAAACAATCAAAGAAGAATTCTAATGTCCTTCTAGGTTTTCTAGATGGTAAAATCGAAATTGACGACGATGCCTATGCTACAAAACTAGGTGGCTTACCTGTAAAATCTTATTTAATTATAATTGTATATATTTTTGATTTCATATTAATCGTTAAACATGTATAGGTCTGGCTTGATCCTAAATCACCACCTTCTTCTAAAGTTTGTAAATGTCATAATTGTGGTGACCCTATGTACCTTATATTTCAAAGCTATGCTCCATTATCTGATTCTCCTTATCATCGTGTGTTTTATGTATGGGGTTGTAATAAGCGCTCCTGTATGAGAAAGGAAGGAAGGTAAAAAAAAAGAAAAAAAAAAGAACAATACGTATAATAAAGTCATTTATCTAACATATTGTAACTCGTTTTTTAAAAAATAATAATAATAATAGTTTTTCTGTAATTCGTTCACATATGATAGATGAAGGATATTTAAAAGCACAGAGACAAAAAGAAGAGGAAAAGCGTAAACGAGAAGAAAAGAAAAAAGCAGCCGCAGCTAAAAATCAACAGGCATTCGGACAAGGATTTCAATTAGGCGATTTATGGGGTAATTCAGCTGGATCCTTTGGAAATCCTGTAACTGGTAATGGATTTGGTATGATTAAAGCTTCCTCTAAACCAACGACAGCAGCTTCCATTGTTGCATCTACATTACCGCCCAAGAAAAATACAGACCAACAAGCAGAACAACTTATAGAAAAAATGAGTCAATTAGGCATTCAACAAGATCCAATTGATACAAGCACACTTCCTTTTTTCCCTGGATACTATCTTTATGTTGATGATGAAGTGCTTGATGATTCAATGATGGGTATTGATCTTAGTCGATACCAAGAATATTTAGATATGGAAAAAAACTTACTTATGGAAATGGATGAAGGAGAAGTATGGCAAGGAGAAAGATATGAGAAGCAACAATTGCCAAGAGGCGTTGATAAACAATTCAAGAAGTTTACAGAGAGAGTCGAATATGCGCCTTCTCAGTGTGTTAGATATGAATTTAATGGACATCCCTTATTTTATTCTGCCTTACAACCTCAACAGCAACAATTAATAACAAGTCCATGCAAATATTGCAATGGACCTCGTGTATTTGAATTCCAATTGATGCCCAATATTTTATCCATTTTACCTACAACTGAATATGCAGCTAAGGAACAACCTACGACGAATACAAAAAATATGGATCCAAAGACTTTATTAGATAGCTGGAATATCGGTATGGAATTTGGTACTATTTTAGTATTTGCCTGTCAAAAAGACTGCCATCCAAGTTCAATAGATGATATTGCTTATATGGAAGAAGCTGCTATTGTACAATATGAGACTGATTAAAATAAATTATGTACAAATGAAAATCACAATTTTTATTTAAAGAAAATAATAATAAGAATATCTGTGTCATCATCTTTAACTCATTTTATCTTTTACTTGCTGACTTGCTTTATCTTTTGCTTCATCCACATAGTTAGCAGCTTTCTTAGCATTAAGTTTAGTTTCATCTTTCACTTCATCCATTTTATGATCAGCTTTCTTAGCACCAATACCTATAGCTTCCTTTGATTTCTCAATCATGTTCTCAACTGTCTTTACACCATCCTTCATAGTATCCATAATTGTCTTTTCAGAAGGAGCCTTATTCTTCAAATCTTGAGCTGTATCAACAGCTTGTTTTTTATATTGTTCAGTCTTTTTGGAAGCAAGGTTAGCCATATCTTCAGCGGCATCCATACCTTGACCCACCTTGTCACCCAAGTCTTTAGTAGTATTAGAAGCAGTATCCTTCCATTCTTCTGCTTTCTTTGCAGCTTGATTCTTCCATTCTTCTGTCTTTTTTGAAGCTGCCTCACCTAAATTTTCAGCACCGTCAATGGCATCAACTAATTTTTCACCAACACGCTTATTTACATTATTTGTTGAGTCCTTTAATTGTTCAGCAGCTAATGAAGCTTGATCTTTATATTGTCCAACCTTTTCCTTTGCATCCTTTGTAAAATTTTCAGCATCTTTCATTGTAGCATTCACTGTTTTATTTGCACCTTTGCTAGTGTCATTAGCAACTTTCTTTGCTTTATCTGCTACTGTTTCACGACGAATAACGGAAGTAATATGAAGTGAAGAAGCAGGGATATAAACAGATTTGGTAGCCGTAGCACGACTGATAGCACCAAAAAGAACAGTAGTAGATTTTGTTAAAGAGGACATCCTTTTTTTTTTTATAAATAAATAAATAAATGAAGAAATAAATAAATTACAAAAAAAAAAAGAAGTTGAAGAGACAGGTTACTTTATATACTATTATTATCAAAAGAATTATTTTCTTGTTTATTGCATAAACAGTTATGTCATGATGATCTATAGAAGAAATGTCAAAGTCACTGACAACGGAACTTCAAATTTAGTGTATCATCATCATCCATTTCTACATTGAATGAGAGAAAGTTTACATAGAACAATACTTACAGTAGGAAGAAGAACCTTATTCTATCTCCATATCGTGGTACTATCTCCTTTTCTTCTTTATTACTGATATATTTATATAAAAAAATGCATTGTTTCATAACAACTATTTATTGCATAGTCATGAATTTCTGATGCTATCAGTTAATGGATATGAGTGCCTGAATATACGTGTTATTTTAGTGTGTATTTATGTCATTATTAATTGCTAGCAACAGTAATATACTAATTTGTATATGGTAATAATAATCATGACGCTATGTTTTTTTTTCTCCTTTCTCAAGCAAATTTAATAATACATGTATTATACAATTTATGTATATTATTAATATGGTAGTACATTACTGTAATATGATTGGATGTTTATCATTTAATTAAAAAAAAAAAAATTGTCATCATCATTTATTTATTTATTTATTTTTTTTCTTCATTTTTATAACAAGTTGTAGACAAATTCAAAATGAATGTGGAAAGTAGCCCTGAGAAAATACCCAATATACAAAGAATAAGTCAAAATAATACAGCAACTTATAGAGATTTAGTTATTTTTGAAGAGCGATTACGAAGCAATATGATCAGACTACTAAAGAGAAAGAGAAAATATGAATGTAATTATTAATACATGTTGTGTACTTCATAGCTCATTTCCGTGAAGTATTGCTTGTTAGTTTATTCATTTCTTTGTTCTATTTCTTCTATGCTGTATTTATTGATCCAAGCAAAGTAATTTCTTTTTCTTTTTTTTTTATGCTGCTGATTATTTATCTTCTTTTCTTTTAATCAGAAATTTATAATTCATCTATTGAATACGGTAGCTCTTTTAAGCATAGCTGGAGGATTAGTCTTCTTTTATCAATCTGGAATGTATTCAGAAAAAATAGTTTATGCTCAAAAGTAAGATGCTTAAATCTATATAAATGTTTTAACTCAACACTATTTTTTTTTAATAGATTTGTTCCTCATTGTAATAATTCATTAGCTTCATTTAATTTAGAATTTAACAAAGAACAAAGTGGCGGATTAAGTTTCTTAAATAAAATACCGAAAAAATTCCAAGAAGGGTTTGAAGCATATCGTAAACAATATCATGCAAGAAAAAAGGCAAGACAGGCAAAACTAAAAAAATCAAAAAATAATAGTAAGAATACCACAACTACTACCACAACTAATAATACAACAGCAGCACTATAAATAAAATAAAATAAAAAAAAAATAAAAAAAGGAAAAAATCTATTTTATTAAAAGGGAAGGGGATTTTTTTTCTAAAAGTCTGTCACTCTACCACCAAAACTCCAATCATTGTGCTTAACAGGCTCAGTTTTAGGTCCATTAACTTCACCTGTTTTCGGATTTACATCACCTTCAAATTCAGGTTTTGGCTTTTGAATTACATCATTATGCATTTCATTAGTACTATTAACATCTTCTAATTGTTTCTTTCGAATAAGATCCAACATTTCTTTTTGTTGTTTTTTATTTCCTAAAGGTATTGGACCTGGTCTGTTTAAGGAAGTATATGTACGTCGTACTATTATTGATAAATTTTTAAGCATTTTTTTTTTCTTCAAAGATATAATGTGGAGTTGAAAGAAAAAAAAAAAAAAAAAAGAAAAAAAAAATAAAAAAATAAAAAAACCGGGGCCTCAATTTTATTTGAATGCATTTATACATTTTCGGAAATACTTGACAAGATTTAACTTTAATATTTATAAGGTCTGATCTCCACACCTTAGAAGCAAGTATGTTCCTTTAACTCATATGTTTGAATACTATCCAATAGTTGTTTATAGTGTTTATTGGGGAAAAGAAAATTAAACACGCAATGATAGTCATTCAAAGTATCCTTCGTAGCCTCTTTCACTATACTTTGTACAATTCATTATAAGCGTCTGAAGCTATTGAGCGTCCTTCGTTATTCTCTATTAATATGCTGTACATGCAATAATAACTCGGGGAGGATAATGGCTTGGTTAATTAATCTCTTTTGTAAAAGAAAATGAATATTTGACTTGTGACATCCACTGTGATATTATTGAATACAAAGAGGTTTTTGGTTAACTCTGTTTTTCTTTTTCCTTTGACTAATAGTGTAGTTCTTACTCAATTCTTTATATCCTTAATTCTTCTTAAAAAAAAAAATACCAGCCATTTCTTTGATCAAACTTTAGCAATTATGATATGTTCAGAGCCTCATATTCATCGGTATTGTAAATACAGATAACGCTACTTTATCTTAATACTTTAAAACTCTACTTGCTTCATATACATATTAAAGTCTATAAAAGAGACATTTAAGAAAGAATCCTCCATTATATACCTTCTTCTTAGTTTTTATCAAGCGCATTCATTAGCATTAAATCATAATTTTGATGTGTTTATTGATTAGTTCAATATTTATCTTGTTTTTTTTTATAACATTAAATGTCACAATTTATAATCTTTTTATTTCTTTTTTTTTTAACTGTGATTGGTTTTATAACCTTTCCTTTAATGTCATGGAATTGACTCCATCTATTTTACACAAAAACAAAATTTTTTGTTCTTTTTTTTTTTTTTTTTTTTTTTTTTTTTTTTTTTTTTTTTTTTTTTTTTTTTTTACAAGGTTGTCACTAACTTTTGTTTAAATTCCTGTTATACATGATTAATTGTTGCCAATCTTTTATATAAAAGTAACATGTTGTCTAGAAAATCTTGTTACAATTAAAAAATAAAAATAGAAGGAGTGGCTTTTATTTTATTTTTTGTTACAATTGAATAAATGCTGCATGTGATATCATATTTTGTGTTTCAAAGTTTATTTCTACAATTTTATTTTATTTTATTTTATTTTATTTTATTTTTTTTTTTCTTTTTCTTTAATTGTTAACAACAAATGACAAGTATAAGAAAAAAGCCTTTAAAGGTTGTAACAGATAGTGAAGATGATCAATCAGATAGGAAATATTTGAATATTACGAATAAAAAAGGTCCAAGCACTATTCTAGAAGAGAATAAAAAGCAAAAATCAGCAGTAATTAGATATTCAGGATTCTCCCATGTTTTACCTATTCATACTGTTACAAAAGCTTCTATATTATCAAAAGAGGCACCGCCAGAGAACTATAATGGATTCTTAAGATTAGGAAGTAATAAAGTGTAAAATAGAATATCAATATGTAATAACTAATATCTTCTTCAAAATAGTGCTTATCTTAGGTGCAAGTAATATTCGGTTGATTATTGAAAATTGGATGAAATATGGTTTATTAATTGGATCCCCTCACAGTCATATACCAGTTAAAGATTTTGTCTTTTCCTTTATTGCTTGGTTATCTGTCCCAATTAGTTTAATTATCTCTTTTATGCTTGAATTTGGTATGAGTAAATTAGCTACAACTGCCAAGGATGCAAAGCCAGATTTCTTGAAGAAGTTAACTATTCTCGAAAGAGTTGTCGCTGTCACTCATTTATGTCATCTTTTATTCTTGCTTACTTTTCCATCTTATATTATTTATACTCAAATATATCATCCAGTTGGTAAAAAAAAAAAAAGTCTTCCCACATAGAGCCTATTTTTTATTTAGTATTACTTACCTTTTTCTTATATATTTCATGCAGTTGGCTCTAGTGTCCTTTTTATTTGCTTAATTGCTTTCTTAAAGTTGACTTCATATGCTCTTGTAAATCATGAATTACGTCAATCTTATGTTGCTAAAAAATCAGAGGAATTTTATACAGAAGATGCCAGTTATCCAAATAATATCAATATAAAAAATCTTTTATATTTTTTCTTTGCACCTACTTTATGCTATCAACCTTCTTATCCTCGTTCTCAAAAGTTTCGTAAAACATTCTTTATGAAACGTGTTGGAGAATTGGTCACTTGTTTAGCTATGATGTATGTCCTTTCTGAACAATATGCAAAACCTACTTTAGCAAATTCAATTAAAGCTCTGGAGGATAAAGATATAGTTACAATCGTAGAAAGAGTCTTAAAACTATCAACTACTGCTGTTGTCATTTGGCTTTTAATGTTCTATGCTTTGTTTCATGCCTTTTTAAATGCATTAGCAGAGGTATTAAGATTCGGTGATCGTACCTTTTATTTAGCTTGGTGGAATTCTGGTAATCTGGTGACTTATTGGAGACTATGGAATAGACCGGTTTATCTTTTCTTTAAACGCCATGTCTATATCCCTGCTGTTCAACGTGGTGTTCCTCCTGCTTTGTGTCAATTACTTGTCTTTTTCGTCTCTGCTGTCTTGCATGAAGTCCTTGTCGGTATTCCAACACATTCAATTACCGGATTTGCTTTTTTTGGTATGCTTGGACAAATTCCTTTAATTGCTTTTACGCAAGCAATAGAGAAATGGAGAGGAAAAGGTACTTCTCTTGGCAATACAATCTTTTGGTAAGTAAAAAAGAGAGAAAAGAATTAGTTTCTTTATAACGATTGTTAACAACTTACCACCTTGTTTGTTTGTTTTTTTGTTGGTTGGTTGGTTAGGATAACATTTTGTGTTGTTGGTCAGCCTACAATTGCTTTACTCTATTATTATCAATGGACAGCAACTCATAAAATTACAAATAGTACTACTTGAGTACACATATTCCCATGCTTTCATATGAAACTTATTTATTATTTACTGTGTATGTTTTCAAATAAATGAAAACGAACAAAAAAAAAAAAAAAAAGTGCCTTTCAATTATATACTTTATCGATAGGACAGGTTATTGCTTTAACCCGTTTCATATATCAAATTTTATACAACTCAAATAATTTAATGTGCATTTTTTTTTTTTTTTTTTTTTTTTTTTTTTTTTGGTCTCGAAGCTTCATAGTAGCTCTTGTCCTTCTTCCTATACACTTTACTAGCAATAATTCTAATAATGAGTATTATTACATACTGAAAAGAATACATTACAGGCTTTTACGTTCGTTTTGTTCTTTGGTTTAGATTTTATCTTGTTGAAAGTAGAATCAAAGCATTCCACTTGTTTGACTGCTCTCATAAATGCACACAAACATATATAAATATATATATTATCAAGGTTCATTACAAAGTAAAACATTGTAACTCGACTACTATGGAGTATATTTAAATTCAAGAAAGGAAGGAAATAAAAGTACCTATCCTCTTAAACCTGACATGTTCTTGTTTACTCCACTTCTGTACGGGTATCAGTAATCTTGATTGGCAAATCATAATCTGACACTATAAATGTATATGTATTTGTAATCTAACTCTTGCAAAATACTAGAAGAGAAAGATTTACTTTGCTTCTATACATTCTGATGACATGTGCCTCAAAAAGTTCAATAATATATAAAAGCATCCTCATGAAAAAAGTAAAAAGTATTTAGTAAAGCTTTTAACTCTTCTAAGAAATTAGTTTATCATTACTATCTTGTACAGACTTTACTGTAGGTAATGAAAAAGGGGTGTTTTTTTTCTTTTTTTTTGCTGGCCCAACCTATTTTCTTTAGCTGTAAACATTACAAACATAAATAAGCATAAAGATTGGGGGCTTGACAAAAAAAAAGGCATAAAATATGTGTACTATATCTTTTAAATACAGGAGCTTTTGCTACAGAGAATGAACATTAGGCGGATAACAATATATTAGCATTTGTGGCCATTTTAATAACTTATATCAAAACTCAAACTGTAAAGAAGTATGTAGACAAAGCTAGAAAGTGTATCGAAAGAAGAAGCAAATACGCAGCTTTAGAAGAAGTTGACAAAAGTAATGATATTGTTGTGGAATCTGCCCATTCCAAAAAGAAGAAGAAGAAAAAAAAGGAAATTAAAAGCTATTTGAGGAATAAATTCAATTATTTTCAACATATCATAATAGGGAGCTTGGTACGACTTTGAAAACTACCATTACTCTCTTTAATATAATTGAAATTAGTATAAACGTCTGTTGTGGCACAATCTCTGTAATTTAAATTTTAAGGTACAAACGAAAAAAATAAAAAAACAAAATAAAATAGTAATTTTTCCTTTTTTTTTTTTTTGTAACTTATTCTTCTATATTCGCACAGTCATGGCAGTTAATAACAAATATTTACTTCAGATGTCCACTGATATTCAGGAAGCACGCATGAAAGCCACTTTCTCAGTAGGCTCTATGCTTTACTTACTTCGTGGAGGTCCTGAAGCAATAAAAAAGTTAAATTATGTGAGGAACATTATAGAGCAGGAATCATTATTTGATAAATCAAAGATACCTTTTCAAAATCGGCAAGAAGTAATATATATATATATATAATGCAAATAGATATATTTTGTATATCTAATTAATATTTTATATAGCAATTATATCAATCTTTACTTGTTTCAAAAAGATTAATCGATTTAGTCGATGAAAAAAAATTAGATGATGAAGAGTTTTCTACTTTATTTAAACAACTTGAAATAATGACACCTGTAAACGATTATTTTACATAATATAACTGTTTAATTAAAAGAGGAAAAAAAAAGTTAACCTATTTTTCTCTTTTAACTACCATAGCTTGCTCTTCATTATTCAGGTATAATATGCATACATCAAGTAATTCATTTACATATACATTTATATATACCATATATAGCCTTTATGCCTGTTATAAAATCACAAGGTACTACTGAACAAGTAGAAAAATGGTATAATGCCTCAAAGAGACATGCTATTATTGGTTGCTATGCTCAAACTGAATTAAGGTACACAACTTCTCATCAAAATCAATGTATATATACAGTAAATGCATTCATAGTTTTCTGATTTTCCTTTGATATAGTCATGGCTCAAATGTGTTAGGTTTAAACACTTTAGCTATTTTTGATCAAACCACTGATGAGTTTGTCATCCATAGTCCTGATTTAACTGTGATTATTCTTATCATATACTATTCAACTGTCTCAGTAAGGGTTTTATATATTAACAATAACATATATATATATATATTTTTCTTTAGGCCGCTAAATGGTGGGTTGGTGGTTTAGGAGTCGCAAGCACCCATGCTGTAGTGCAGGTATAGATATCTTATTTGATTCTTTAAAGCATTATTCCTAAGAATTTTTGGCTAGGCTCAATTAGTTATCATGGGAAAAACATATGGTCCCCACCTTTTTATTGTTCCAATCAGATCTCCAAGTAAAGGAAAAAAAAAAAAGAAGTTAACCTATAAATATAAAGGATAAAAAGTACTCATGTATACAAACATATATATATATATATATATGATTCATAGTTGATTTGAAACCATATAAAGGTGTACAAGTCGGCGATATTGGGCCCAAAGCATATGGCGGTTTTGCTGCAGTTGATAATGGCTGTAAAATCTTATATATATACAATATACAACATAAAAACTCATTTACTTTTTCCTCCCGCTTTTTTTTCTTTCTTTCTTTCTTTCTTTCTTTCATAGTTGCTCTCTTTGATCATGTTCGTATCCCTCGAGAAAACATGCTTATGAAGTTTGCTAAAGTCACAAAAGAGGGGCAATATATACCTCCTGTTCATAACAAACTTTCTTATGGTAGTATGGTTAAGCTTCGCGTCGATATTGTGGCAGATGCGGGCTGGAAATTAGCAAAGGCAATCACAATAGCCATTCGTTATTGCACAGTCCGTCGTCAATTCTATGATCCACCCAGTCAAGATTCAAGCAAATTATCTTCCTCATTAGAATCTCAGGTTATTTCATATTCTTCAGTACAGCATCGCTTGATGCCTCTTCTAGTTACTGCTTACGCTCAAATCATCACAAGTGAAGAACTGTATAAACAGTTCAATACCTTCATGCAACAGTTAGAATCCAATGATGCTCATTTGCTTCCTGAGATCCATGCTACTTCTTGTGCTCTTAAAAGCTGGAGTACACGACGCTCAACAGAAGGTATTGAAGAATGTCGCAAGACAATGGGTGGACATGGTTATTCAATCTTTAGCGGGGTTGCTAATCTTTTTGCAGACTTTGTTCCTTCCAACACTTATGAAGGGGATAATTTTGTTTTGGCACAACAGGTTGGACGTTTCCTCTTGAAACAACTCGAGCATATGGTTCAAAATGGAAAGGTCACCTCAGATACTGCTGATTATCTTTACACACTTACAGTAGAGAAGGATATGACAAAACCATTTGTTTTCTACCAAGATGCGGGCCAGCAAATCTTGGACCCTAATGTGCAACTCAACATTTTTGCTATACGTTCTGCTCGTCTTGTAGCTAACCTTGGACAGCAATTACAAAATGGGCGTGCTTGGTCTGATTTAAACATGGAATGCTGGACAGTTAATCTTGCTCATGCTGAGTATTTAGTCTTGAAGAGTCTGATCAACAAAGTTAAAGCAATTGAAACTAGTACAGAGTATGCCAGTTTAGGTTCCATATTAAAATCTGTTTCTGATTTGGTAATATATATATATATATATGTATTTATATACAACACAAATGCGATTTTCTTTTTTAATGATTTCTCATTGTGTAATTTTTTTTCTCTCCTCCTCCCCCTCTTTTTATTTTTTTTTCTTTCTTATACTAGTTTTGTCTTTCTACTTTAGGTTATACTTCTTTAGCCACATTTTTATCGACTTGTACTATTCATCCTTCTGAACTTAGTAAGTTAAATGAAAAATATAGGCAAGTCATTTCTCGTATTGCTGTTGATGCTGCTTCTTTAACTGACAGTTTTGAGTTTACGGATAAAGAACTCAATTCTGCCTTGGGTCAAAGTAATGGCCGTGCCTATGAAGCTCTATGGGAAGCTGTTCAAATGAATCCTGTTAATCATAAGGCAGAAAATACTAAACTTAGTGTAAGTGTATATGCGAAAACTCAAAGTAGTAGCCGTTTTACCAAACATAAATATATACATGTGTATCATAACTTTTATATTTATAGAACTTGGTTTTACAAATCCTTCATCGGGGAAGTAATCTTGATTATATTAAATCTGCAAAACTATAACAAAAAATTTTAATATTTTCCTTGTATAATTTTATGCAAAAAAAAAGCTAAATATCGTACGACATAAATTTTCTACAAATGATATAATGTAACTTTATTTTTACATCAATTTTATGTATTAGTTTTATTTATACATTTAAAGTATTTACATTCAATGTTAAAAGAATAAAATAAAGGGAAACAATGTCTAACGTATTAATGGAAAAAGGGAGATATAAGTAATGTGAGTGTCTACGCGTGTATATATACTATATACAAGGGAGCATGAAAATGAAGACAAATATATAAATACATATATAAAAATATGTATATAATATAATATATATGAGATAAGAATAGCTTTAAAATATATATATATACATCTATATATTTTAAGATAGGGCTTTCTTGATAGCTTCCTTTTGAGCATCAGTTAATGAAGTAGGGAACTTCACTTCATAAGTAATAAGTAAGTCACCTTTTCTACCTGTCTTTGAGTTAGGCATACCCTCATTAGGTACACGAGACTCTTGACCAGAATGAACCACTGATTTGGTATTATTGACACTTAAAGTACGATCATCAAGAGTCTTAATTGTCTTATGAAATCCAGTTAAAGCTTCGACTAATGTAAGTTGAATGGTAATACGTAAATTATCACCTTCACGTTTATATACACTATGAGGTTTCTCCTCAACAACAAATTCAATATCTTGAGTTTGGCCATTTTCTAATTCATCGCCTTCACCAGGAAACCTAATCTTTGTACCCGCCTTCCAACCAGGTTTTACATTGATTGTTAAAATTTTATCTGTTGTCACAGGACGACCTGTAGCGCCATCACGTAATTTACGAGTCACCTTCAAACGCTTTACTACACCTTTATAAAGATCTTCTAATGAAATGGGAAGAGGACGCTTAATGGCAGGAGGCTTTTCAGGTTCTCCAAAGTGAGATTGTCGTTGATGTTGTTGTTGCTGTCTAAAACGACGACTACTGCCACCACCAGGCATACCACCGGGCATACCGCCACCAGTGCTGCTTGAAAATGAGAAGCCACCAGGCATATCATCCATACCTCCCATGCCTCCCATGCCTCCACCGAATGAGGCAAAGAAGTGTTTGAAAATATCTTCAGCATCAGAAGGATGAAATCCACCACCTGGACCAGTTGATGTGAAATGGAAGGTGCCGCCTCCAGGGAATCCCCCAGCAGCGCCTCCTCCAGGAAAACCTCCAGCACCACCCTCTTCCGGCATTGGACCGCGACCTTTTAATCCTTCTTCACCATATTGATCAAAGATGGCTCGCTTATTTTTATCGCTTAATACTTCATATGCTTCACCAATTTCTTGGAATTTTGCATTAGCTACTTCAGATTTATCTTTATTTCTATCAGGATGCCATTTTAATGCTAATTAAAACAAGAATATAAGTAAGTATATAACGTTTGCTTTACATAAACGGTTTAATTACATTACCTAATTTACGATATGCTTTCTTAATAGTCTCATCATCTGCGTCTCTTGGAATACCGAGAATAGCATAATAATCTTTACCCATTTTATTTTATAAAAAAAAAAACAAAAAACAAAAAACAAATAACAATAAAAAAAAAAAAGAAACAAACATGGGATTTATATATTTTAATATGCAAACTGACTTCTTTCCAGTGTGTTCTATTCCATTAACCAATAAAATACCGTATATTCCCTTGAATTACTTAACTTTTAAACTCCACATTTCGTTATCATTATTCTTACTATTACTACTACAAACTACTAGAAATAACCAGAAAAACGCTATACTTTTTATAATAGCTTTATTGTTATTTTCCTCTCTTTTATATTACATATTAGAGAAGGAAAGATATAATGATATAACAAACACAATCAAAGGAAAAAAAAATATATTTGAAAAAAAAAACTATTTAAGATCTAGGCTTTTCCTTCTTTTCCTTGTACAAAGCAAGAAGAGAGACACCGGCAACCTTGACGACCTTGAAACGGACACCAGGAATATCACCAATAGCGCGACCCTTACGACCGAAACCAGCGATCAAAACTTCATCGTTTTCATCAACATAGTTCAAACAACCATCGTTGGGGACGAAAGCAGTGACCTTCTTACCATTCTTAATGAGTTGAACACGAACACACTTACGAATAGCAGAGTTAGGTTGCTTGGCTTCAACACCAATCTTTTCAAGAACAATACCCTTAGCGTGAGAAGAACCACCGAAGGGAGAAGAACGGAAAGCAGTACCAAGAGCTCTCTTCTTGTATTGTTTATCAGCCCAACGTTGATCACGACGATGAATACGGAGCTTACGAGCTGCGTTCAAACCTCTAGGTTGTCCCTTACCTATTAATTAATTTCCTAATGTTAATTACATACTAGTAAGGTCAATTTATGCATCAAGAGATATAAAATTTATAAGACATTGTGTATGTGTATGCGTGTGTGTGTGTGTGTGTGTGTGTGTGTGTGTGTGTGCAAGTTGTAAGTTTTTTCTTTTTTTTTTCTTTTCTTTTTTTTTTAATGTTTATTCTTTCATTTAGTTGGTTGTTACAGCTTAAATGCATGTTATGGTCATGAATCAAATGTGTTTCTTGTTAATTTTAAGTAGGGTCGATTATATATAAATATTAAATCAAAAAATAAATTGATATCTATCCATCCATATAGCTTTGTATCCTTTAGTTCATTTATTTTATTACTGAATCCACTATATCCTACAAATAAATCTATATCTCTTGATGCTTTGTCTTTATTGATGCTTACCCATTATTGCTAGATAATTTTAGAAGAAGGTTATTATTGAGTCCCCACAGACTTTGGCATAATATTTTCCAGGCAATACTTTACACTATTTTGAATAGATAATAAAAGCCGGAAAATATAAAAGAGTTCGGATCGGACTATTCAGACTCCGATACTCTTTTCCTTTTTTTTTTTGTGCCTGAATAATAAGAATATAAAAAAGGAGGAAGGCCTTTTATATACATCTACATTATATAATTATAGTATATGTATAATGCTTTATTTATTTTTCAGCAGCAAAAATAGTGTCGAAAATATCTTTCACATATTCATAAACTTGATCAATTGATTGGTCACAGGAAACCTATGTATATAATATGAATTATAACTATCTATAATACGAATAATATAAAGCATATTCACATAAATATTACCTTCTTCACTTTATCTTGTTTTTCAAATGCTTCAATAACAGGCATACTAGTATCCTTAAAGATAGCAAAACGTTTTTTAATAGACTCAATATTATCATCTACACGTCCAGAACTCTCTCCTCTTTTTAATAATCTCTTTAACATGACTTCTTCAGGACATTCAAAGTACAACACTAATTTCGAAGGCACAACTACTTCTTCAAATTTGATAGCTTGATCCATTTTACGAGGAAAGCCATCAATTAAGAATCTTTTTTGTTTACCCTCAGCAATTGCATCTTTCATAGCTTGTTCTAAAAGTGCAATCGTAACTTCCATAGGAACAATTAGTCCCTCTTTAATATAATGATTAATTAATTCTCCATATTTTGATCCTTCACGTTTTTGTTCAGCACGTAATAAGTCTCCCGCTTAAACAAACAAACAAACAAAAAAATGTTATTTCAAATATTTATGTCTCCTCCTTTTATTATTTAATTTTACCTGATAAATGAACAAATCCATAATCTCTTTTCAAATTTTCGCATTGGGTCCCTTTACCAGCACCTGGACCACCCAGAACGAAAACAACTGTAACTTCATCAGAAGAAAAAGCAGGTATAGGCTTATTTTGTTGTGCTTCCCTTCTTGCTTTTACTTCAGCTATTTTTTTCAACCTCAATGCTTCTTCTTCCTCTGCTGTAGTATATTCTTTTCTTCTAGGCATAGCTATAATGATATTAAGCTAACTTTTTTTTTTTTTTTTAAGGAAAAAAAAAACAGAAAAGAAAAAACTTACTTTTTCCTTCTCTAGATTTAACTAAAGTATAATAGGCGGTAAAACCCATGGATGCAACTGCTAACATTGCTGCAATACTGGGTCGTCCATTATTAGATGGTGTAGGAGGTGGAATGGCAGTTGAATAAAAGCGATGAGCTGTAGTGCGCCGAAAATTAACATTAACTAAACGATGACTATTATGAATAATGTTACGAAACATGATGTATATAAAAAAAAAATTAAATAAATATGAACTGTAGAATAATAACAAGTATTTTTATAGTCTGGCAATTTTTATTTTCATTATTATTATTATTTAACAAATAAATGTTATGCCCCGGCATTTTCTTTTTTTAATATTGATATTTGTGTGTATAAAAAGCAAATCAACTGGGTTTTAAAGTTTGACAGGAGGCAGACAAAAAAAAAAAAAAAAATTATCTGGCAGGACTAACTTTATAATTGTCAATAGGTTTAACTTGATCTAAATTTCTCTTCCACTCTTTTGTAACAGGTTCATGGACATTATTCCAAATATAGTCAGGCACTTTATTTTCAAAATTACTTCCTTTATCCCATTTTGTTTGTTTGAACCTTTGTTCTATTTCTTTTTCATCTGGGTTCCATTGTTTAAACTTGTCTTCATATTCATATTCCCCCAGTTCTTCAGTTTTAAAGCTTTCGCCTTCATTCATCTCATCTTCATTTGAAATAGAAAAGGATCCTGTATCCTCGTTCTTATTTGCAGCATCCGTATAATGATCATAGTGTTGTGATGTATCGCCTGAATCTGAATCATATTTATTCTTCAAGACATTCATATCCTGTTCAATAAAATTTGAACGAGTTTTATTTATACTATGATCATTTAAAGCCTTTGACTGATCAGGAGATGTCTGAGGCTCTTCTGTATCAGAGACAATATGATACGGAGTAGTATCATCATGAGCCATTTTGTTACTTATTGGAATTTCCTGAGGAGGAGGAGAAGTAGTAGTAGTAGTAGTAGCTGTTGTTGTATTTGGCGGATGATCCACATTATTAGCAGTACCTGCTTCTTCTTGACATTGAGCTGTTGCTCCTTGTGATAAGGGTCGAGGAGGTGGGCCTTCATTTTGATCGAGATTATTATCATAATTTCCACAACAGTTGAATATAAAAATGAAAGCTTGTTTAATAGTGTTAATGATACCGGGCATGATAGCTACTATATATATATTAGATGAAAAAAAAAAAAGAAAAGAGAAAGAGAGAGAGAAAAAGATAAACGCAGTGTAATTTCTTTCTTTTGCATAACTAAAAAAAAAAAAAAAAAAAAAAAAAAAAATAGATGATAAAATACACTATTTTGTACAAGCCTAATATTATTTATCATATGTATTTATTATATATAATTATTACTTGAACATATAAATGTATATATCTTTATGAATCATCAGCAAGTGCTATTAATTCATGAAGTATATCATAACATTCATTTAATAAAGCAACACAGATAGCTTGACCTTCCGGTATATTTCCTTCTTCATCACAAAAAGTACCATTCACGCGCATGTTATCTATACTTGCTAACTTTAATTGATAACTATTGTTCATATTTAATCATACAAGTAAAATTAGTTGTAATACATGTTTCATTTTCTTTTTTTTTTTACTCACGGATAAAGATCTCTAACTAATTAATCGTGTATATAAAAATAAGTATTAGCATACACACATATATATTCATTTATATGTATATATTTATATAATCCTATCTTTTTTTATACCTGAATCAGGTTTTCCCCATTTAGTGACTTCTATTAAGCATTTTCTAACCGTACTAAGTTGGTTATATACAGGCATTAATGCTTCTGCTACAGGTACATTTTCACTTAACATTTTAGCCATAATACGATAGCATCCTCTTAATAAGAAATTGACTACTGCTTGACCTTCTGGAATGATATCTGAATTTGGATCTTTGAAATGTCCTTCTGTTCTTAATTTTTCAATATCTTGTAATTGTAACTATTGAATCAGTAAAAGGAAAGTTTAATTTTTTTTAGATGAAGCCCCTTGATTTTTTTTTCTTTCTTTACATGGTATGCATATAAATCTGTTTCTCGTAAAGTCCATTTATGTGTCAACGCTAATCGATCCAGTTGAGTTCTAATCTTTTTTAAACGATCTACAATTGGAATGAGTGATTCTGAGATATTATTATTTGTAGACACTTTCAAATCCTGTGCCTCTTCATGTAATTGCTCTAGTAACCCTTCAATAAGCTCCTTTCCCTTTGGATTTAATTTAAAAAGTTCAACCTTCGTATTGTCTAATTCACGTAACTTTTATACTATTGGAGTTTGTAAAGAAAAGTAAATAAATATTGGATGAATTTACATACCTTTTCTATTATTTCTTCTATTTCAGTCTTCGAATACCCGTTTGTTTTCTGAGCCAAAAGCGCCAACTTTCTTCTTATACTGAGCAGTTCCTGGTGTAATGGTTTCCTATTACTCATTATCAATATTTGATACAACTCATCTCTCTTCTTAAGTATCTAATAATAATCATTCTACTTACAATACATCCGAAACATCTTGAATATTTGATAATAGCATAGATAAAGCTTGATCTATTATATATATGAATATGTATAATATTCGACATTTTTTTTTTATTTTATATATTGCTGCTCTTTACTGCATTTTTCTAGTTTATACTTTAAAACATTAATAAAACATGAATTGCTCGAATCAGAATAAAGAATATTTTCAATGTCCTTTAATCTTTCTTGGTTCTCTAGTAATATTGTATCTGTATAAGTTCCCATATGTGATATTTGCTCTAAATAACGCTAATATAATGTATTTTTAAGTTAACAAGGTGAGAAAAATGAAAAGTATAGATCTATGTTGTATACCTCTACTGTGACTAACTGAACATATACAGCAGGACCTAATAAAAATATACATACAAATATATGTACATATTTATATATAGTAGATTTTAAGTATATATTCAAATATAAATATCTATTTTTCTTTTTAATCGATAAATAATAAAAAAAAAAAGAAAAGAAAAAGCGTGATAGTTTCAATACATTACTTTCTCTACTTCTGCCAATGGTCATAAAGAATAAGGATAAAAGAGCCATAATGTCATCCAATACATCATTGAGTCTATTACGAGAAACAGGATTCCAAATATCACCTGTGCGAATATTGTTAACCAACTCTACTTGCTTTTCGGTTTCTTTATAAAGTAAGACGATTAGATCTTTATCTGGATATGAATCTCTATCTTTCTTTAATGCATAAAGCTTATGTCGAATTGTAATGAGGTTTTCTAGTATTGGTATTTCTTTTTAAATAATAATCAAGGTCATTCATGTGATGATTTTTATTATTTACAATATTCTTTTACCTTCAGAAGGTACAATTAACATGATGAATATAGTGTAAACTAAAACAAGAAAATAATAATAATAATAAAAAAGAATGAAATTTATTAAAGAAAAAATAATAATACGTTTCTTTTTTTTTTTTTTTTTTTTACTGAATAAAATTTTAAAAATTCCATTTTAGCACAAAACATTGTATTGTTCGGGTCAAATAAATAAATATTTATATTTATACAGATATATAAAAAAGGAAAGTCGACAAAGACATGACAATGAATATTACCAGCATCAGCTGCATATAATTGCTATAACAAGTGTTTGTCCCATCGACAGTTATTGACTGGAATACGCAAATAAGGTCAAGTTAATACTAATTGAGGTATTTGAAAGTTCCTAAGGCTGTATTTTCAACACATTTGTTAGCTGTGATAAGGAATAGATTCATCTGTATTTTAAGCAAAGTTTTAATATTTTCTTAAAAGGGTCTTTCTTTATTGTTATCCTCATTACTGGCCTTTAAAGATCTAGACAGCCACTTTAGATTTGTGAACAGGCTATTTACGGGATGGAATTCAAAAGTAAATGTGTTAATATTGGATTAGAGTAATATCACAATTATTAGCTTGCTATTACCCTTTTGTTCTATGAAACACTTTCAACCCGCTGAACTGATATGATTGAAAGTCAAAATAATGCTCTTGTTAGCCCCCCCATTGTCCTCTATTAATGTCAATCATACGGGATTTAATACGCCTATCTTCATGCGCTTTTTATGTACAAACGGTTTGTTCACAATTAGACTATGGCTTTAGCTATTCATCCATTTACCTCATTTCAATATATCAAATTTGGTGATATCCAAAATCAATATTTTCAAAGAATCTCTAGTGGCTCTAATCTTTCCCTTTATACAAGTTTTGCTTCACTTAACAAAACTTCTTGGAACTCATATCTCAACAAGGAAATTTGAATAGTACACTCTTTCTAAAACCCTCTCTTATGGAAATTATGCCAGTCCAAGATATGATAAGTAATTCAAACACTTTTACACTTTCAATAAATAAACAAAGTGAACACTCAGATTAACTCTAGATGGAGGAGAAGAAGTTTTCTTTTCTTTTCCTTTGCAGACCTACCGTCTTCACAGATCTAATCTTATCTTATGGTTACCTATACTATGTGTCGAATGCAATAAATGTCTAATGTGGGCTTCCAAATGAATACACTACACTAGCTATTGTCCACATCATCCTCAAGATTATTACCTACCCAAACAGCTTACAATCATATACTTACAAATGTATCATAGATTACTATTGCTCAAAATTCTATAAATAATTCCTTTGCTCTTCCTTATAGACCATCTCATCTCAAATAATTAACCAATTCGATAGCCCATCTTATGTATCTTTTTTTTTTTTTTTTTTTTTTTTTTTTTTTTTTTTTGCATTTAACTTGATTACCTTCATCGCAACAAGTCGATATCTTCTTGTTTACTCAACCCTGAGGAAACGTCTTTAGATTAGTTTCCAACTCTCCTACTACAAAGAGCTAGTTTTATTCTTATTTACCTTGCACTATCCGAATCGTGGCTCTCAACAAAGACTTTAATTTCAATTTTAAAAACGGGAATTCAAAACTATCAAAAAAGAAATTAAAAACAAAACAAAAAAAAAAAGATTTCGAATGAATCAGTTTATGCAGAAAGTACAATGATGACTGATATAAACAAGTGAAATAGCATGGTGATATATCAGTGAACTTGTGTCAAGATAACGTTTCGTAGCATACTAATTATGTTATTGCAAAAAAGAAAAGAAAGGAAAAGAAAAGAAAAAATTCATTACGTAATTATTAGGAAAAAACAATAACAAGATTATTATTTTTTTTTTTATACAACTTGCTCATGTATTGAAGATTCATTGTCCGCTATTTAACTTTTCAAGGGAATTATTGGCAACTTGTTTCTTTCTTTTTTTTCCTTTTTTCTATTATTATACAAATTATATTTTAAAAATGAGTTTTTTGTAAGTCATCAATAATAAAACAAGAAATCAAAGAAAGACTCATATTTTATTTTGTCCTTTAGATCAGAATTTAAAAAGAATTTAAATAGAGCTGGTCAAAGCGTAAGGATAACACAAAACAAATAGTGTTATACAAACTAAACTTTTCAACAATGTGTATATAGATTAAACAAAGAACAGGTGGTAACGATAGAACAATTGATAGTGAATTTGAAGAAGAATATGAAAGATTCAAGACGTAATTATTAAAGAAACATGAACTTACATTATTCAAATTTTGTTAACGCGAATTTACATAAATTTTAGTCTCGAAAAAAAATCTGAAAAACTTGCGAAGGAAGCAAAAGGTTATCTTGATTCAATAAGAGGTAAAAATAAATAAATAAAATAAAATAGAATTATGTATATTTGATAAATAAAACTCATATATGAAAAATAGCTATGACAACTGCTCAAGTCCGTATCACTCAAACAATAGAGCATTTTTATGACGAAACTGCACCTATGGGACAAGGTGGTGTTGAATATAAACGAGTCATTGAAAAGTTAGATGAAGAAGCAAGAACTAATTTGGTAAGGAGTTATTAAAATAAGACTTATATTAGTTTATACTGAAATATGACTTAAAATAGGATTCAACTTATCGTACTACTGTACTTGAACCATTAAGTAGATTTTGTTCCTATTTCCCTGAAGCAAATGAAGCTATTAAGCGACGTCAAAAGAAATTATCGGATTACGATTCTTCAAGAGCTAAGGTTAGAAAGTTAGTTGATAAACCAAGCGAAGATCCTCAAAGATTACCAAGAGTAAAGACAATACATATATATAATGTTTATATATAATGTTAATAGTTTAACAATAATACATGTATAGGCTGAACAAGAAGCTAATCTGGCTAGGGAAATGTATGAAAACTTGAATACAATCATTGTTAATGATTTACCAAAATTGATTGAATTAAGAGTACCTTATATTGACCCTTCATTTGAAGCACTTGTCAAGTCACAATTAAAGTTTAGTCAAACAAGTTATGAACAATTAGAAGGTTTAAGGCATTATTTTCCTCCTAGCACTGAAGAAGCTGATCGTCGTGTAGATGATATATTACAACAAATGCGTGAGTTAACCATTTGTGGTAATTTTTAACCTCTTTAAATAAAATATATATATATATATCTATAATAATAGTAATAAATAACTTCTCCCTTTAACGTCTCATAAGCATATACTTTAGAATAAAAATAATATCACATCATAGTTTACTTTTGTCTATTTAGAAAAAAGTCTTCCAGTTAGTTCAATCATATACTCTTCTTGACTCATTTAAAGGTGATTCTTCTTTAATAAATTTTTAATTATACGTAATTACCACATGAGTGTGACTTGAGTTTTGAAAATACTTGATATTTTTTCACTCAAATGGACATAGTTATCTTGGTGAATTTTCAACTTGTTCAAAGTAGACCCATCCATAATGGAAAGAAGGAAATAGCTTCTGTCGGAGAAAGAATAATTTCCCTTGAGATGAAGAGGGATTTTTTTTTTTCATGCTATTCTTCTGAGAAACTTTTTCTTTTTCTTTTCTCTCTCTCTCTTATTATTTTGCATGTGTATTTTATTTTGGACAGTAGACAATCATCCTAAATATCGATTGTAAAGTAATGAATAAATATATATATATATATAAATGATATAAATGAATGATAATATGTGTATGTATACATGCATATATATAATTATATACAAAGTATTTTTGCTAGTAATCGTGACGAATTTTTAAAACGACCTACAGCAAGAGCTCATTTCTGGGATGAACCTCACCAGAATGTATTAGCAGGAATAGATCTCGAGTTTAATTCAGGGGACCAACAACTAAAGAATGGTACCTGGTTAGGTATCACTCGACAAGGTCGTTTCTCAGCATTAACAAATTATAGAGAACAAAACTTTCGAGGTTCAATTTCTCGAGGTGTTTTGGTCAGGGACTTTTTATGGAGTTCAGATTCAGTTCATGCATGTTTAGACAACCTGTATGAACATCGAAATGATTATGGAGGTTTCAACTTGATTCATTTTGATTTTAGCAAAGATCCAGTTGAAATGGCCTATCTTTCAAATCGAGAAAACCAAAATAGAATTGATTTGAAACCTGGTGAAATATATGGTACCCTAATAAATATCTATATGAATCTTCTTTATGAAAAAAAAAAAAAACTAACATTCAATTTATTAAAGGAATTTCAAATTCTGTCTTGAACAATCCATGGACAAAAGTAATAGAAGGGAAGAAACTATTTGAAAATATCATTAAAAAGAAAGTGAAAGTGAAAAAGAGTTAATAGATAAATTATTCTGTCTATTGAGGTAATTAAATCTGCCTTTTCTTCTTCTTCTTCCTAATTTACTCCTAACAAAATCTTCGGATATATATGTATATATATGTGTGTGTGTCTATGATATAGTACAACAAAGCCAATGACGAATGTTCAGGATATGCAACGCATATTTGATGACCTTAAAGAACGTATATGTATACCACTATTCGAATTTCCAGAATGTCCTGGTGTAAAAGATCTTTCTTATGCTACAAGAACAAGTACTATTGTATTAATAGATTATGATAATAACGTTACCTTCATTGAACGTTTATGGCGTGATGAAAATGACCTTACACTTTTTAATCCTGAAAATTATAATGATGTCATTTATCACTTTAAGCTGGAAAAATAGGACGCCAACATAAGTGAATCATGTAATATATAATAATAAAAAAAATTGGAGTATACTTTTTTTTGATTGGCTATTTATTTATTTTTTTTAATTTCATGATTTACACGTGAAAATAAAATAAATGGGGTCTGGTCTATCATAATTACATGAATATGATGTCGTTGCTAACCAAAAAAAAAAAAAAAAAAAAAAAGGACCCTTAAATAATTTATTTATATAGATGAAGAATGAACACTATTGGATGAGGATGGTACAGAAGGTGAAGGATGTGATATAGATAATGGTATTTCTGCTTGCACTTGAGGAGATAATAATAAAGGAGAAGGAATGGCAGATGCGGTGGCGAGTGTGGAGGAGTTAGAAGCTTCTAGTTCATCAAAAGACAATAAAAGAGGTAATAGCATTAAATCAACATTTTCATAAGATACATTACAACACATGGATATCAGTCGTTTATACTCTTGATGTCGTTTACTCGGTGTTCGTAATTTAAGTTGTATTAGTTGCTCTGTATTTCTCTTTCTATTTTCTTGTAATTGTTTTAACCTTTCTAATAAGACTGTAGGATCTGATTCAGGATTTTGATTTTCCTTTTTAAATTCGGATATTAAATTATTAATACTTTCTTTTTGAATCTTTAATGTTTGTCTTTTTAAAAGCTTAGAAAGTCTTTCAGATCCTTGTTCAATGACTTCTAACTTGGACGGATCATATTGAATCTGTTCAAATGTATGTTGAGTACCGACTAAACGTTTCTTGACAAGTTCTAAATCTTGTCTCTTTTCTTTTATAAGTAGTTCCTTTTGAATTAATTCTCGTTCATAATTTTCAGTAAAACTATTAAATAACTGGGATTCCATAGAAAGATGCGGTGAATGTTGATGGTATTGAGAATCAAGATTATTATTATTATTATTACTGAGAATTTCTTTAAATAATCCTTCCACTTTATGCCGTAATTTCGTCCTTGTTATCAATTCATGTCTATTATTATGACGCATAGTATTATTATTAACATTTGTCTCATTTCCTATCGTGTCGATATGATGAGAAGAGAATCGATTCAGTTGAATAGGGCAATATCGATTGATATGGCTGCTGCTACCCTTTTCTATTTCATTTATATATTCTCTAGCTGTCATGCCTTCTTCATTCATAATTTCTGTACTTGCTCCTGCATCTATCAATAATTTAACTAATTTTTTATTTCCAATTTTTGCAGCAATTGATAATGCTGTATCACCATAAACATCTTGCACATTTAAGATGGATACTAATTCAGTGTGATCACTACTCAAGGTCTCTATTAAACATTCCATATAATATCTTGAAGCATGAACTTTCCCCTTCCAACTAGCTGTCGCTGCTACATGATGAAATACTGTTTGATCCTTTTTATCAATGTTAAATATCGTTTTCTTCAACATGCCAATTAAATAAATAAATGATTTTGCATCAAAATTATTTGTAAATAATACAGATCGCATCAGTGCTGTTTGTCCCTTATAATTGACACGATAAATATCAGCACCTAAATTGATTAAAAGACTGACAAGTTTTAACCTTCCCATAGCAGCTGCCCAATGAAGACTTGTGTGTCCTTCATCATCAATAATCACATTGACATCTAAATCCATAGGTGGCCGTAGTAAGATGGCTGGAATGCCTGTATCATCTGAGATAAAATATTGTAATAACTGTTGAGCATAACTACGCTCTGGTCTATCAAGAGTGTCATTATTCTCTTGATTATCAATTAATAACTCTTCTTCCAAATTAAATGCTTCAATCAAAGGACGTGCTCGCTTCCTCCTTGAATGATTTATATTATTCATCTCTCCTGATTCATTAAATGATCGATCATTTGCAATAAGATTGAATGGTGTGTTATCCAACTCATGATTAAAGTGAAGATTAGAATCTAATAAGAGGCTCTCGTTAGTTGTTAAATGTTTAGTAAGGAGCTTTTTCCTCTTGGGTGTTGTAGATCGTGGTTTTCTAGGCCGTGTAGAAGCTAGTGTTGAATGCTTAGGAGCTAATGGAGGACTTTGATCACCTTTCACAAAATCGAAAATAGGTCGTAATAAACTATCCACTTTATAATGTTCAGCTAATGCGACTCCTCTTTCAAAAGGAACCCAAGTACCTTATTATTATTTTGTAATAATTAGTTGACTATTATTTTACACTAACAAATCATATATATATATGTATATAAAACAAACAAATAAGATTTGTTTATAAAGGATTATATATACATAAAGAGCATATATACATACATACTTATATATACATATATATACGCTTTATCCTTCTATACCTCTTTATTTACCTTGATATTTGCCATAACCACCTTGTACTTTTTCATGTTCACCTGTTTGCACTTCTCTTTCCAAGATTCGAGTTCTTTGAGGTTTATCGAATTCAGCTACCTTTAAGATCTGTGTAGCATTTAAATAAGAATCAGATCTTCTTTTCATGACTGCCACATTCTTACACATAAATTCATACACAGGCACACCTGAATATGTTGCTTTATATATTTGTGCCATATTTAATATATTTTATTATGTGTATAAACAACAATAAAAAAAAAAATGGTCTGCTAATCAAACAAAAAAAAAAGTTTTTCCAGCTTTATAGTATTCTACTAAATATGTATTTAGTCTGCCAATGAAACCACGTGCGCTTCTTATTTTTTTTTTTTTTTTTTTTTTTTTTTTTTTTTTTTGATAATTGATAAAAATCATTTTCTTAGTACTCCCTCCCCTTTTTTTTCCTCTTTTTTTTTTTTCTTAATTTATTCATCATTAACAAAAAATGTCATCTACAACAGGCATAGAAGGTCAAACAAATACACTTAATGCTACTTTAAATGGAAAGCCAAAACAAGTTAAGCTTGTCTTATTAGGTAAATAAATGAAAGAAAGAGGGTGAAAAAAAGCTTACAATTTTTTTTTTTTTTTTTTTTTTTTTTTTTTTTTTTTTTTTTAAATGTGTTTATTATAGGTGAATCTGCAGTAGGAAAATCTAGTATTGTTCTTCGATTTGTTAACCGAGAATATATTGAAAATAGGGAGCCTACTATTGGTGGTAAGGATTAGGAGTTGATACATTTTTATGGTGTAGACTTTTTTTTTTTTTTTTTTTTTTTTTTTGTTAAAAAAATTCTATTCTATTATTTTTATTAGCTGCCTTTTTAACCCAAAAGTGTGTCTATCAAGACCGAACTATTAAGTTTGAAATTTGGGATACAGCAGGACAAGAACGTTTTCATTCTCTGGCTCCTATGTATTATCGTAATTCTCAAGCAGCTATTGTGGTTTATGATATTACGAAGGCAGTAAGTGTATCTACTGTTCACTGCTTTATTAAAGACTAAATAAGATAATATATATATATATATGTGTAGCTGACACTTGATAAAGCCAAATCATGGGTAAAAGAATTGCAAAGACAAGCTAATACAGATATTGTTATTGCTTTAGTTGGTAATAAACTTGATCTATGTGATCAAGACGAAAATGAACGTCAAGTACCTAAAGAGGATGCACAAGCATTTGCAGATGAGGCAGGCCTTTTGTTTTTCGAAACGAGTGCCAAATCAGCTCAAAATATAGATAATATCTTTACTGCTATTGCAGCAAAGATACCATTGGAAAATAATCACACATCAGGAGGAAGTGGAAGAAATATGGGTGGATTAAGAACAGGTCTTCAAGGCAATGGTGGAGGAATTAATTTAATGCAGCAACCTTCTATTGAAAATTCAAATGCATGTGCCTGCTAGAAATAAATAAATAAATACCCTGCCTTACATATATCCTTATATATCAGTCATATACAAAATAAAAAAAATAAAAAGCATTATTATATCTCTATTTATTACAAGTGTCTATTATAATTAAATTAATCCTCGGTTGAAATGACTTTACAGAAACCTGTCTTTTCGTCCTTTACAACTTTAGATCTTCCTTCAGCCAAATCAGCAACTACCTTTTTAATTTCTTCAAAGGAGTCAAAACCAATATAAGGAATATCATGACGATCACAATAAGTCACCAAATCTTTACCATTTCTAGCAAATAAAAGATCAGCATTTCTAGCAGCAGAGATATCTGAGACACCATCACCACAAAACACAAAAATAGTATTAGGAGGAGCTGTTGCACGAGCCTTTTCTAAAGCTGTACAAAATCAATCTTATTAGTATCATGTCAAAAGAAAGAAAGAAAACGTGTGCTTTCAATTTATCCATTCATACTTTACATCTTGATTTATCATTGCCAAATGGACTATTATTTTTTAAAAGAAAAAAAAAAAAGGAAAAGAAAAGAAAATAAGCATAGATGCCATGACGCTTGTTGTGCTATTCTAATAAATAAATAAAACTACTTACGTATCATCAATGTAGATAATTTCCCATTTTCTACCTTCAATTCTACCATTGTTTGCAATGATTTCAATTTCATTCGCTTTTTCACCCAAATATTTGACAAGCACTTTATGAATCAATGGTTTTATACCGCTAAATTATTAAAAAAAAAAGGTTTACAAATCTATTCTGTCTTCCCGAGATTTACAAGTCAATAATACCTGCTAACAATCGTAACTGGGAAATCATTTTCTTTACAAAAATCATAAAATCCAGGAAAACCAGGATCAACACTACATTCTTTAATACGAACAATAAATAAGAGTTAAAATTTATATCCTTTTTGTAAAATAATAATAATGATTTTTACTGCTTAAATATTCGTCCCAAGCTTCTTCCCAAGTCAATGTACAGGCATCCCACATTTGCCAAACAGCATCCCTTTCATATACATAAGTTGAATGTTATCGTATTCATAAATTTCCACGCTCTATTTCATAAATAGAGTCTTACCTGTAGCTTATTTCATTATTCATAATTTTATGTTCTAGCATTTTTCTTTTCTCCGTTCCCATACAACGAGGATCATCAATGATCAAGACACCCGTATCTTGAGCCAAAAAAAAAAAAAAAAAAAAAAAAATTATATTCCATACTAATTTACTATAAAAGTTCTAAATTCAATCCACCTTTATATTTTGTATACCTTCAATAGATAAAGTTCCATCAAAATCGGTAAATACTTGAATATTGACTTTAATGTCCTTTGAAGGCATGTTTATTGTTTATTAACAGAAAAAAAAAAAGAAAAAACAAAAGGAAAAGGAAAAAAGAAAAAAGGATTGTGAAACATATCTAATAATTAAAATAATAACCTGAATATGACAAAAAAAAAGTTTTTTTTTTTTTTTTTTTTTTTTTTTTTTTTTTTTTTTTTTTTTCAAAATAAATAAATTTGAAAGGAACCAAGACATAGCCTTACTTTTTTTTTTTCTTCTTCTACTATTATTCCTACTCTTATTTTTTTTTTAAAAAAAAAAAGAGGTACTAAAATTTGATTATATTAAAGGGTTTTATTTATTTTATTTTTTCTGTTGGACAAATTATATGCATTTTTTTTTGAATGAAAGAATTGCTATGGCATAGTTATAAAATGCATTAAAAAAAGGGTCATTTCAATAGATATTAAAACAGTCACATTTTTTTTTCTTTTATAAATTTTTTATTAAAAAAAAAAAAGCATTTTGACATTTTAAACATATTAAAAAAAAAAAAGATGCGTAACCTTGTTGTATTTGGTGGCTCTTCACATCCTGAGTTTACAGAAAAAGTATGCAGCCATTTAGGTATTCCACCTGGAAAGACACGTTTAAGCAAGTTTTCGAATAATGAGACCAGTGTAGAAATGAAAGAATCAGTTCGTGAACAAGATGTATATATTATTCAAAGCGCATGTGGCAATGTCAATGATAATTTCATTGAATTACTCATCATGATAAATGCATGTAAGATAGCATCGGCCAAGCGTATTACTGCCGTTATTCCTTGTTTCCCTTATTCTCGTCAACCTGATGTTCCCTTTAAACAGTCTGGAGAACCACTTACATTTTTGCCTCCCCAGACTCCTCTATCAGAACAACCTCCTAGTAAACCAGAGGAGGATATGTCGAGTCAATTATTACGTAAATTGGGTCAAGCTGCTATGGACCAACAAGAGGCCGAGAAAAAGGGAAAAGAAGAGAAAGTCCCTTATCGTGAATGGCGTGCTCGTCCAGGCGTTTTAATCGCAGATCTTTTAACTTGTGCAGGTTATATATCATACATGGGATATCTATATCTATATATAAAAAAAAAGATGGTAAAAAAAAAAAAATTAATCTGATATACTTAAATAATATATAGGAGCGGATCATATCATTACTATGGATCTTCATGATGCACAATATCCTGGTTTCTTTGATTGTCCTGTTGATAACCTTACCAGTTTATATACTGCCATTAATTATATTCGTTTAAATATTCCTGATTATTCAAATGCCATTATTGTTTCTCCTGATGCAGGTGGAGCCAAAAGGTATATACATGTATAAAGATTGTATATAATTCATTTTAAATTTACCTTTATATTACATATTTATATGTAAAAAAGAGCCACCGCTATTGCCGAAAAATTATGCATGGATTTTGCACTAGTACATAAAGAACGTCCTAAAGTTCATTCTCAAAAGAGAGAATCTATCCTTGTGGGTGATGTTCGTGGACGTAACTGCATTTTAATTGATGATATTACAGATACTTCATATACCATCACAAAGGCAGCTCGTTTATTAAGAGAAAAGGGAGCTCGTAAGATATATGCGCTCGTCAGTCATGCTATCCTTTCTGCTGATGCTGTAAATCATATTGATCAAAGTGCTATTGATGAACTTATCGTTAGTAACTCATTACCTCAAGATCAACATATTAAAAACCCAAAGATAAAGGTCTTTGATGTCACTCCACTCTTTTCTGAAGCTATTCGTCGTACTCACTTTGGTGAATCTCTTTCTCGATTATTTGAAGCTTAATTTTTTCTTTTCTTTACTTTTTTTTCTTTTCTTTTTTTTTTTAGGAATTAGAACTTATAGAATAAGATACACACATGCATACAATCCACCAATTCAACCTCATTTTTTCACAACATAGACCATATGACAAATAAAAAAAAAAAATAGAATAAATAGAATAGATATTTCCCTACTTTTTATTATTATTATTATGTATATGTTTATTATAATCATTAAAATAGTGTGTATAAAAGTAACAGTAAAATTAACAGTTAAAAAGAGAAGAAAGCGCGAAAAAAAGAAAAAGAAAAAAAAAAAAGTACAAATTGTATAAGACATATACGTAGCAGGTGTATGCATGTGAGTGAGTGAGTGAGTGAGTGAGTGTGTGTGTGTGTGTGTGTGTGTGTGTGTGTGTGTGTGAGTGAGTGTGTGTGTATGTATGTATATATATGTATGTATGTATCTATAAGATATTAGAAAATAATATAAATATATATTTCACTAAACAATAGGATGCTATTATTTTTTGTTATTTAACAGTTCTCTCTTGGCTTTGTCTGAAAGTGCACTTAATATTAATGCAGAAGCATCAGGCTCTTCAAATTGATTCACAACCTTGGATACAGTAATAGATCCCAATTTATGAGATGAGAGCTTGTTTAAATAGGGTAAAAGTCGTGGACATAATACACGATAACGACCTACAAGTCCAGAGGAATCCAAAAACCAATTGAGTAATAACACACCATTTGCATTTGTCGTAAGTAGAACAGTGTTTTGGACAATAGCTGATGCAACATATACCTTTTAAAAGGTGAAATAAAAATAGATTAGTTTATATTCAAGATGATTATTATTATTATTATTACTTACTTGTTGCTCTTTAGTAATGATTGGATTTTCGAGAATAGATCTAACAGCACGAGCACCAAATCGACCTTGACCAATTTCCCAGCATTTATCTACAATAGCATCAAATATGTATTGATTATATGTTGGTCCTTTACGTAAACAGCATTGAACAACATAATTTCCAAACTGATCCAGCAACAATAAAGGCACATAAGGAGCAATGTATTGTTGAATTAATTGGATCTAAAACCATATCAAGTTATGTTATGTTTACTCTTTAAATACAAAAAAAAAAAAAGGAAAGACTTACCTGTTCTGATGTATTTGAATAGTCTATAATCTTTTGAGCCGCCCAGGTACCATTTTTATGAACACCAATGGAGGCTAAGAAAGGTGCGATTTTTTGAAGCATTTTAAACTTGGACTCTTCTGAACAATGTTCAAATAATTTTTGAATGACAGTATTGCCAATATAATCTAATACAGACATAGATATAGATATTATTATGTGTGTATTTTTTTTTCTTCAATAGAATCTACTTACCACTACATAGTTCAACTATGTTATCCATACATTCAGTAGCTATTGATTCTATCTCTTCTAATGATAATTGTTCTTCTTTTTCTAAATATTTTCTCATTTCACGTAAGCGAAGGGGCTCTACTTTTCTATCAGAATTGAATTCTGGAACAGCAGGAATAACAGTGAAATAAGTTAATGGTATGCGATCCTCTATAGTCAAAAATAAATTGTTAATTTTACAAGGAACTCTACTCGTTTTCATTTTCATACCTTTTACGGCTTTAAAAGAGTCTTGACCTAATTGTTGCATAATTAATTGTCTTTCAGAAGCAATAGCAGTATACAAGTTAGGTTGAGTTGTTTGTTGTTGACCTGAAGCATTCATCATCATATTTGTCATCATGACAGCTGTTGCCCATTGAGTAGCTTGAAAGGTATCTGCACCGGAAGAAGCCGCTGCTGATTGAAGCGCCATCACTGTTCGTGCATTGTTCAATGTAGAATTAAGCGTATTATTATTAATATTTAAATTTAAAGAAGGTTGAGAAGCAATGAGTTGAGGTGGTGTAACCTGACCATGTGTCGTTGTTGTTGTTGTTGTTGTTGTTGTTCCAGAAACTTCTTCCGTTTCATCTGGATTGTTAAGTAATACTTTAGCAAATCCAATACGAACAGGTCCAGTACCAGGACCGAGGATTTCTCTATTTTGAAACGCCTTCCTAGCACGCACTGCATCCTCTTGATGCTCAAAATTGATAAAGCCACAATTTTTATGGGATAACACCCGTACTGATTCAATTGGGCCAAATGCTTGAAATATCGTTTGTAGAATAGTTGGATTCATATTAGCAGGAATATTACCGACCCCTTTGTGATAATAATAATAATAATAATATAAGATGAGCCTATTCTAATCATTGGATTCTTAATATACACTTACATAAAGCACGAGTTGGGCCTTGAGCATTTGGACCTGCCTCACTTGAAAGAGCCATCGCTAAATTAACATCCGCTTTACCATAACCAACACGAACAGGTGTTCCACCTAGTTTTGAGCCCAATCTTGTTTCTAAATCTGTTTTCGCTGCTACAGCGGATTCTACTGTTGTAAAGTTGACAAATGCGCATTCTTTATCTGATAAAATTCTTGCACTTTCAACTTGACCATAAACAGAAAATAGTTTCATAAGTTCGGGTACATTGACACTTGGATTGACATTGCCTAACCAAAGTGCACGAGAAGGTATTTGTGCTTGTGTCGATGAAGGTGAATCAGCATCATCAGGTGGACCATATAAATCCTTATATATTTATATAAACATACATACAATAGTTAGAAAACACACTATAATAATAATAATAATAAAGAATTTTTACCTGATCGTCAACCAAGTTATACATGTGCTCTACGTTCATTTCCATTAAATTGTTAGTACTATACGAGGGTCTAAGTGGTGAATCAGGTTGAATTTGTTGTCTTAGGCGCGATTGAGGAAATACGTTGGAAGATGGATTAGGTATCATAACAGATGAATTGTTTTGAGACATGTCAAAAGGTGAAAAGGAATCAGCCATACCTAAACTGATTGCTCTAGGACGATGCAATAAATTAGACCTTGTATGAGGTGAAAAAGGACTAAATTGGGGAAGTCTTGAGGACGACAATTCATTTTCTAATTGATCTGTGACGGTATAAGAACGAGCACGAGTATGATGCTGAGTATCAACAAAATTTGTATTTTTATTTGAAGAATGGGTATGGTTTTCGTCATCAAGGCCGAGAGAAGCTAATGTCGAAGCAATTGTACTCGAAGCATTTTCGTCAATTGGACTTGAAGGATCATAAGGAATATAATCAAAAGGTGTATTAGAATATCTAATAGTTTCACCCAACTCATGATGTGGAAGTGAAAGGGATCCAGAACGATGACGAGAAGAAAGAGGTAAAGAACTGGTATTATTATTATTATTATTATTATTATTATTATTATTGTTACTATTATTGTTATTGTTATTGTCATTGTTATCATCATTGAGAGTCATGACATTTGAGAACATGTCTGTTGCATAAGGAAAAGCCGAAGATTGAGAAGGCATAGTATCAGCACGCGATCTTCTTAAAGAAGTCGTGGTATTAGTAGAAGAAGAAGACGTTAAATTTTGTGTAAATGATAAACGCGAAGACACTTTATTGCTATTATTTTGTTTATTCATATCATTTGATGTTCTATCATATACATATTAATGACATTTATTTTTTATTTATTTATTTTTTTTTATTTTATTTTATTTTGTTTATTTATTTATTTATTTTTTTTTTTTACGTATCTTTTAATTATATTATTTACCTGACAGGTGATGAAGATATTAAATTAGTAGGGGTTTTATTACGAGGATTTTGCCCGTCGTTTACCCAAGTAAAATCCATATAACTTTATTAAATATATAAAAATATAGAAATGTGAATTTATATATATCGTTATATATTATAAGAATAAAAGAGAGAAATAGAAATAGAAAGAAATACTTGAATTGACTTTTTTTTTTTTTTTTTTTTTTTTTTTTTTTTTCATTTCCAACAGTAAAATATTGTATAGTGGTAAATTAGACCTGCGTGACGGCTATTTTGAAATGAGCTTATATACATGTTGTTGAACGAAGTAAATAGTTAAATTTATATCCTTAGTGATATAAAATATTGAATTAATAGTCTTAAAAGAAGTAGAGTCGATATGTATTGCGTTCAAGTTATTTATCTATAAAGGATGTAGGTCTTGCATTACTTTCCCAAGTATTACTTGCTATCTTTCTTTTACTATATTTTATATAGTTCTTCTACAAGTTTTTTTTTTTTTTTTTTTTTTTTTTTTTTTTTTTTTTTTTTTTTTTTATTACTTTGCTTTGCTTCAATTACCGTTTGCTGTAGTCCATGATAGAACTAAAGGAAAATCCTATATTCATACTTTAATAGATACTTGATGTATTACTTGTATACCAAGTCGTCATTTCTTTTTCTTCCATTTAATGATTTTACTTGCTTTCATTATACTAGTTGTAGAAATAATGCTCATATATACTAGGCTTTCTCCAATTGTAGCTATTTGTTTAGAATTTAGTGGTTTATGATTCGATATGTAGAGCATGAATGAATTCTATAACTATAGTTTTGATAGAGATGAATTAATGAGTATAATTATCTCTGTTTAGTAAACGAACATTTTCCTTCTTTTATAGCAAACATCTAATTCATTCTTTCAACATATCAAATACAACAGTTAGAACACTCATCTACAGTTAAATAGGACTGTTGAAAGTATAATAAACAAGTATACTTCAATGATCTGGTATATATATATTTTAATAGGAATATCTATAATCAAGGCAGAAGAGTGTATAGTTCAGTGAAAACGACCACCTTAAAACAATGCTTTTTATTAACAGAACATAGAGTTGAGTTGTATTTAACAAAAGGGCTTCTTCATTGGAATCAAACTAACTAATCCCACAATAGGTACATAATTAAACAAAGTCTCTTGAACAAACAAAATAAAGCATGTATCTGTCCTCTTTTGTTTTAATATACTTTTTTATTCTTCTTTTATTTTTTTTAAAGACTATAGTTTATCATTTAAATGCTACTAAATGCATGTTTTTATTATTTATTTGTTGTTGTTTTTATAACCATGTTTCAAAATATGGCATATGATTTACTCCTTAAATGTGCAACATCAGTCACAATGATAGGAATATAAATCAAAAAAAAAAAAAAAAAAAAAAAAAAAATAGAAAATAAATAAATAAATAAATAGAATGCATTCTCTATCTCTCTCTCTCTATCTCTTTCTTTTTTATCCTTTTCTTTGTAAACCTTTATACCACTTATCTTATATCCTAAAATGTCTATAATTGATTTTCTTAACGACATTGTAAACGATCTTGCTTTAGACGGAGAAGAAGGTAGATGATCAAATAGATGCAGTTACATTAGATAGATCTAACTTAAATTTAATAGGCTGGACCCTTGATCGTCTTTTCACTACATTTAAATCTTCATACAGAGAAACATTATTAAAAGATTTGCAAATTAACATTGAGCCTAACTTTGACGATGATTACATGGAAATTGTCTGGAATGTTTTCAAAACTTATAGTCAAATTATTTACATGGAGGTAAAAAAAAAAAGTCCAACAATAATCATGATGGATCTCTTTTAATTAATTATTTGAAAAAACAGAACGATCAAATAATTGATCCCAATGCTTTTACTTTTAAAGGTATTAAACATAAATTAGGAACCATTAAAGTCAAGGCAAGAGAAGAAATACAAGATATTAATATTTATGGAAAAATACAGGTACATAAAAAAATAGATATAAATACACGTATATAAAAAATAGATACATATTTTCTTTATTAATGCATTTATAAAAAAAAAGGCAATAAAATCACAGCTTTCAGACACGCATAAATTAATTATGCATATAATTGCCAAGTGTCGTGCCAATGGAATAACTCAATATGATTTGGGTCAAAAGTTGAATATGGATAGTAAAAAAATATATTATTACGTTAAGAAGCTTGACAGACTTGGTTTAATGTAAAAATAGTATTGTATTGTTTTTTTTTCTTTTCTTTTTTTTTTTATAAATATGTTTACATGTTTATATTTAATTTAGCTTCAAGCAAAGAGCCTATGTATCTAAAATGAGTACAAGACTTTTAGTTTTACAACGCTTTAAAGCTGAAAATGAAAAACTTCAATTAAATAATAACGGCGTTATATATTGTCATTCTAACTTTGATAAGAAAATTAAAGAAAAGTTAGCTGGATCAAAAGATAAAATGATGACGCTTATGGATCTAATTAAATTAGTTGTAAGTAGGAAAAAAAAAATAATATTTCTCTTGATTCATCTTTTTTCTTCTGATTTATAAAGGGTATAACTGAGAAAACAAAAATTAGATGGGCTAGATGTCGTATTAACGAATTGGCCAAACGAAAAATTTTAGAACGATTTATAGCTCACGATGGAAAAAAACAAAAGCATTGCGTTAGGCTTGTGGAAAAGGAAAAAAATATTGGAAGAACAAAGAAAGTTGCATTGAAAAAAAATATCAAACGTAGTCGTAAAATATGTAGAGATTTACCTTTATATCAAATATTTTACAACGAAGTTGCAGAAGCAGGTGATAAAGGCCTCATAAGACAGGTTTGTACATAAATAATAAGAATAATAATAGTAGTAATAGTAGTAAATACACTAATTTATTATAATTCTATAGGACTTGATTAATAAATATCCATCTATCGATCCAGATTTTTTTCAACTATTTTTTATGAAAGCAATCAATCTACCCAAAAATATCGATTTATCAGAGTATTGTTTATATCGTATCGAAGAGCGAGAGAGAAAAATAAGACGTTTTAGATACTTTACTTTGGATAGCTGGAAGTCATTTAACGAGAAAAACGAAACACCACTCTCAGATAGCGAATATTTGCCTATACCTATTCCACAAGATATCTTAAGCGAGCGCTTAGAGAATGAAGTGAGTACTGATTTAGAAGAACAGAAATCAATGATGGATGCTGTCAAAAGATTTAAGCGAAAATATAAACCTGGCTTAAATAAAAACATAGCTTTAACAGAACTACAAACACGTTGTAAAGCTGCTTCAAGTAAACTTGAAGGAACTAACGATAGATTACTCCCAGTTAATAATGAGCAAAGTAATCCTATATTAAAGCCTTCAACTAATTCTATATCTTTGAATATGAAAAGAAAAGAACCCCCATCAGAGGCTGTATATAATGATCTTATATCAACCTCTCAAGATTCAGTTCGTTCTTCAAAACGATTAAAAAAGGCGTTAACAAGCGATAAAAATCAAAACGCGCTGCCAAAGGTGCAATCCAAAAATACAAATGATACTATAAATGCCGTTAATAATGAGACAAGTCAATCAAGCCTAGAAGAATCGGTCAATGTATCAATTTCAAATCAATTAAAAAGAAAATCAGTACAATTAGAAACTGAGAATATTCCTATACCATCATCTTCATCTTCTTCTTCTCCTCCTTCTTCTCAAGAAACGACATCAAATTCTAATTGTTCAAATAAACGATTCAAACAAGACTCTAAAGGGAAAAGATCCGCTCCTTTCAATGCCACTAAAGCACTTCGACATACCATTTTATTAAATATGCTAGAAAAAGATCATATTCGTGAACTTAATAATGTATTAGCCTTAGAGTTCCATACAATTGAAAATGAACGTGGGACCTTGTCAAATAAAATCTCAAGACCTACACTTAAAAAAATGGCTGAAGAATTGCATGAGCAAAAGAAGCTAACTGTCTATGTCTGCTCAATTAAACAGCTGAATGGTTTTACAGCAACCAAGACCTTTCTTTTACATCATTCTTTAACAAGCGAAAGTGAAGAAGTAAAACGCTATATGAATGATTATAGTTTTGAAAAATGTATGATGCATACTACTCTAAAGCCAAAAAAGCTCAAGGTAGTTAACGTGGATGAGATTCCTACTATGGGAGAATCACAGAATAAGCAAGAACAAATCAATTTAAGAGATAAAATAATGAAGATGCAATCAAATTCTACACATGGTACATGGCGCATAATTGCTCGTGAATATGGTTGGATTGACTCAAAATGGTTACGAGCACAGGAGATACATGAGACTTTATTTGAATATTATGAAGCACATGAAAGGAATCAAGTCATTGATTTAAATTTATTTTGGCAAACAATTCGACTACGCACGATAATGAAAATTTATGCATTACTCCCCTATAGCAATCCTATCCTTGCTAGCTTTTTAAATGTCGAATCCAATCGTAATATTTCTTTAAATAAGCTTCCATCTGATATTAAACTGATTGTGAATCAATATATTCCAAGGATCCGGTATTCAGCAATGGATTCAATCAAAGTACTAAAAGAGCTAGAGCTTATTTTAATAGATGAAAGTAACGCTCATCGAATTGGTATTCCGGCTACAGTTACCTTATGCTTCACTGGTATTGTTAAAAACTATACATCAAAGGACCGACCTGAAAAGTTGAGGCTACCATTGGGTAATAAAGAAGAAAGACAAGATTTTTGGGAAGTATTAGAGGCCTATTGTACACAACTTTTTACAGAAAATGATGTTGTTAATGACAAGAATGATCCATTATACAATATCACAGCGAAACAAACTTGGACATCCAATATAGAATTAACGGATAATCAAAAATCAATATTAGATTCATATGTTGACGTAGACGCACAGACAATACCCAATGAAAACGATGTTGGATTATACAGTTACATCAAGAAGAAAACTAGCTTGACAATAAACCGTATCAAATTATACTATAACTCTTTATTAGTCTCGTTTGACAAATATAATAAGAAAAAACAGAAGCAGTCTCCTAAAAGAAGATACGTTAGAAAGCCGCCTTCCTTGACTATAGAACAACTTATGGAGACTTCAAAAAAAGATGGAATAATACCAATAATACCTGACGAGCTTGGAGCACAGAGCAGTTGCTATTTGGTGCCTACTTTTGTTGGAAGTCGTCCATTTCAAAAAATAAAAAATTATACCGAAATAATACGTCCAGGTAAAGAGAATAATAAAATATATTATTACATTTTAATTTATACTTTACTTTCTTTTGTATACACATATACATATATATATATATATATATATATATATATATATAGATAAATATGCTAAAGATGCTTTTAGTAAAACTGAAAAAAAACTACTTATACATGCTTACGCTATTATGAAAACAAGAGGAAAATCTTCTATCTTTCGCTGGGAACCGATTACGAAAATAATACCTAATCATTCTGCAGAAAGATGCCGTCGAGTTATTTCAAGTATGCAATCTAGAGACCCTAATTTCAGTAAGTCGGTTGACAAATTATCATCGAAATGGTTAAAATACTATTCAGAAGGCATATTAAACAATGATATAAAAGATGATAAACCATGGGAATACAAAAATTATGATTTGCCTTCCTTCTTGGACTATTTCATTAAAAGACTAGCTGATGAACCTCCGTAAGTATATGAATTAATTATCTAATTCTATAATAATAGGAGTTACTAAATATGTTTGTATATATATATATATATATATGTAACAGACCTAGAGCATCCATAGAGACTAATGGTGTTTCCCAAACATCATCAGAAGAAAAAGCTGATTCTGATGACTCAGATTCTAACAAAAGTAATGTTAGCAAAGCTGAAAGATTCCAGCTTGTAAAAAATAAGCCTGAAAACAAAGAGGCTAGTAAAGAAGAATTACGTAAAGCAGCAAGGAAAAAAAGAGAAGAAAAGTCGAAAGAAATCTGTATCAGAAAACATAAAAAAAGATTAGAAGATTTTACTCGCAGATATCCTTATCCATTTGCTGTCAATTATGAAGAAATAAATAGTGATATGCCATCAACAGCATCAAAGATTAACCCTGATGAGATACAAAAAAGAGTAGTTATGATTATAATTAAGGTAAGTTTGGTATTTGTATATATTAGTTACATTTCAGTAATAGAGTCATATCCTAGATGATTATGATGACAGAGCATAATAAATATAAGCCAGAAGATGCGTATCTTACTCTTAGAGGATACCCAAATGATATTATTGAAAAGGCCTTGAAGACATTAAAAGATAATCGTATCATTGTTAACGATAAAACAAGATATGGTCGAGTTCCAGGAAGACATCTTAATGTTTCATCAAAGTATGCCGCAACACGTTGATAAATATATATAGATAGAATTAATAGTTTATACTCTTTTAAATAGATTTCTTGACATTATTTCAGGAACACTTCCATATGATCATTTTCAAAATGCAAAAGAATTTCATAACGCATTAGCTGTCAATGATACAGTAAAAATAAAAAATTCCGAGTTTAATAGTGGTTCTTTAATGACACTCTTTGAGCTTATCTCTGAGGGAAAGGTTAGTATAATATAAATATATTAAAAAATAATAATAAACTATATTAACTTGTTCTTTTTTTTTTAAAAAAAAAAGATTCAAATGAGTATCGAAAATGCAGCTAAATATCTTGAAAATAAAAACATAACGCCTATACCGAAAAGAAATGATGGTAAAGATTTTCTTTTTTATTTAATTTTATGTAGATAATTTATTCTCTCCAAATCTTATTTTTTTTTTAACATAGCGGAAGCACGTAGGAAATTCTTTTTTGACAATTTACGCTTGGTAGTTGAGAAGACAGATGAATTACCAGCTATCAAAGATCAAAAATTCAAAGGAAAAGAAACAGCAAATTGCTTTATTCCACTAACAAGTCATAAAATAGCAGAATATTTTAAAGCAAATTCATCAGAAGCTTTATTAAAAGAAATCTTTGAAATAGTACATAGTTTTAAAGACAGAGGAGCTACATTTGCAGAAATACTAAAGACAGCAGAATCAATGATGCTCTGCTCTGAGAATGAACTTATGAAAATATTAGAAAAGCTTTTAAATAGTTCCCCAGCAATGATTCAACTTGTAGGCTTAGATCATTTGAAATATATTACTTCAGAATTTGTTGGCGAGTGGTTAATTCATAACAAGCATAATAAGAATGCTGCATATATCCGACCATTAATGTGGAATGAATTAAACGGTAATATCATACAACCAGCCATTGAAGGGCTTGCACATACAGCAGTCAGTCATATTTTAGATAATCCTGGAATATCATTTGTAAGTACATTCCCTTTTTCTTTCCTTTTTTTTTTTCTTATTTATTCATTTGGTTTATTCTAGACTGCATTAAATTCTAAACTTGAAGAAGTTTGTACCAAGTATGAATTATATCATATTTTAGATTATCTTTTGAAAACGAAAAGAATTATTTCAAGAAAAATAATTCATAAAGGAAGTTCTGGTATTTTTACCAAAAAGTCAATTTTAGTAACTGGCATCTCTAATACAGCCATGGTTAGCAATGGCATGACTTGTTATTGGGTAGCTCCTGAGTACTACCATCATTAAATAAATTGGCTTTGTTTTAAAAAATAAAAAATAAAAAAAAAAGGCTAAACAGTTTACCTACCAATCAGCATAGAGAACCATATTCTATTTTCATTTGTCATGAGTTTTTCTCATAAATTTGGATTTTTTTTTTTTCTCTTCTTTTGTTTCTCTTTCAATTTTTTTTTTTCTTAATAAAATGCCATCACCTCCTAAGCCTTGGGAAGTAAATAATACAAACAGCAATGGAATGACAGCTATTACATCGCCTACTACAGCAGCAACTTTAGCAACAACAACAGTACCAGAAATTCCAAGTAGATCAACAATAACAACAAACTCAGCATTGCCTACTAGACCTACTGCAGGTAATTAAAGTAAAAATGAACTATTTTAATCAGCTCAATGTGCATGTGTGTTTTATTTCTAACTAAATAAAAAAATAATTAAATTAAATAGGTTATAATACTGGATATAGTTCTTTAGGCTATGGTTCAAGTTATGGCGGTTATGGTTATAATCGATATGGCAATACATATGGTGGCTATGGTAGTGCCTATGGTGGTTATAATGGTTATGGTGGAGGCTATGGAGGCTATGGAGGCTATGGAGGTTATGGAATGAATCGATATGGTAGCACATTGGGTCGTATGGGAGGTGGACCTAATGGGCCGGATGATGTGAGTTTAACTCAACGTATGGAAATGGGAACTCGGCCCGCTTTTGAAGTGATAGAAAATATTGTTGGTTCCTTTGGTGGATTTGCTCAAATGTTAGAATCTACCTTTATGGCTACACATTCTAGCTTTATGGCCATGGTTGGAGTTGCTGAACAAATAGGATTTGTTAAGAATTATTTAGGACAAGTCTTCAGTATCTTTGCATTATATCGATTTGTAAAAAAAGTGATGAATAAGATAACAGGTCGTCACAATCCAACTTTAGATATAAATGTAATAGATTTTGAGAATTTTGAACGGAAATCATCTACAACTGTTTCAGGATCTAAAATGTCTCGTAAACCATTTATTATTTTTATGTTAATAGTCATCGGTCTTCCTTATATGATGCATAAATTGATCAACATAATTACTGCAAACCAAAAGAAGCAGCTAGGTCTACAAGGAATTGTTAATAACACGAATAGTAATCTTGCTAGCATTGATCCTACTAAACTTGAATTTGCTCGTGCTATGTATGACTTTACAGCAGAATCTCAAATGGAATTAAGTCTTAAAAAAGGTGATATTGTTGCTATTATTTCGAAACTTGATCCTGTAACAAATACTACAAGTCAATGGTGGCGTGGTCGTTTAAGGGATGGTACAATGGGTCTTTTCCCTGCAAATTATGTAGAAATAATCCAAAAGGCTAATTCAGTATCAAATGATAATCAAGATATATTGAAGAAAGAAGAGCCAAGTACACAACAGCAAGAAGTTACTACAAAATTAATATAATTTGTTTTATATGTATTCCCCTTTATTTTATTTTTTCTATATTTATTATTCTTTACATACCAGTGCTTTTAATATAAATATTTATGTATGTGTATATATTTATATATGTATATAATATCATCATTTTGTTTTATTAGTATATTTGTATATAAAATATATATTATTATCCTTAATTACAATAAACTATTGCTTACTGAATATCTTCAAGACCTTTCTCTCTCTGTCTTTGTCTCTGTCTCTGTCTCTTATTTACTACTCTAAACTATTATATATATATATATATATATATATATATATGCATATTATCTATTTAGGTTGATATAGATATTCACTCTCTAATTTCTGTTTCGTCGCTGCAAAGAAACTCTTATAAATGTTGGACTGTTCAGCAAATAATAGGAGTTTGGGCCTTATGTATAACTACAGTCGTATTTTGATGTTATATTAAAAGTTGAAGGTTATTGTATTCGAATAGAGTTTATATGTTAAATATTGGTTTCGGTACCAATGTCTCTTAATGTAATCAGCTATTGTCATATTGCTCTCCTGCTTTATTTTTGTTTTATTTCATATATGTATTAATTGAGATTTGTTATATTATACAGGCCCATTGTGGTTAAAGCTACTTTTTATTTATTTATTTATTTATTTATTTATTTATTTATTTATTTATTTATTAGGATCATCATGAATATAGATCGTTTATTATAAGCGGCTCCGTATTATGGGTTATTTACTTTATTTTATTCCTATCCAAACTGAAACGTATCTATACTTAGCTTACTTGAAGATGTTTTATTTAAAGATTTGTACCACATTGAATATTGATGGTGAGGAGACTAATTCATAATACTCATGTAACCATTTGTAACTGACAAGCACATAATAAAATAATACTGTATTGCTCGGGTCAGATAAAAAGTGGAAAATAAAATAAAAAATTATATACATATTATCTTGCTAACTCTTGTTTAACTTGTAGCAATTTTTATTTTGAAGGGAAATATGCCAGGAACATTCAAATGAATGAGTAATAGAAACATATCAGGGCAGATATTTTTAGTCACACTTGCCCTAAATTATTTATTAGTGTGATACTTATTATTTATTTATTTATTTTTTTAGATTTAACAGCTCTAAGATGATTTTCGTTTATTCACTTTACTGGTATAGAAGCTTCAGCAAATGATGATAATATATCGACTATGAGAAGGTATACCCTGGCTTCAAAACATGAATCCTCCAAGAATTGTGTTGGTATCCTTCCTTTTTAAACCATTGTTAAATGGTTCATGTCCCAATAATGAAGCGCGAAAGCATGAGTAATACAATACAAGTATAGAAGAACCTTAGGAGGGCCCTGAAGAAAAGCCTTCTAAAGACGCACATAGTATCACTCCTGGCTGTTGTGCCATCATGTTAATTTATAAAATTAAATGCAAGAGTATTTCTTTAGAAATAATGCGTTATTTATAGAATCAAACTAAAGCTTAGTGACTTATTATTATATTTATAAATTGAAAATAAAATAAAAAATATGAAGAACATAACATGTATGCAATTATGTAAGTTTCAACTAGGCTTCAATTATATGATATTTAAGAATAAACATCTTATTGTATACATCAAACGATCGAAATGTTTAGGATTGAGCAGGTAAAATGACATGTATACATATAAAATAGATGTAGTATGTTAGCTAAAATATAGCAGATAAGTAGCAATATGAAAAAGACAGTATATATAGATAAATATATATATATACAAATTTGTATATATGTACATGCATATATTATTTTTTGTAGATGCCATGTCGGTAATAATATAGAAAGATGGATCAAACGCTTTTCCTGATACCAAAACTTTAGATATCGACACAGAAGAAATCAAATTATTATATGAGCGAATATATATACATTATAAAAACATAAAATAGTTCTACTACTACATTAGTAGAGCTTCAAACTGATTTAGCAGATATACTACAAAATATTCAATTTTACAAGATCATTATAGAATATTTAGATGAGAATAAATGATTCTGTGATGAGTAAGGATGGTGTAATGAAAGTAGAAGATATTAATTTTATAAAGACAACATTGATACCAAGTTATTTTATATTATATTTAGTAGAATGATGTGCTAACTTGTTGGTTAATTCAGAAAAAAAAAAAATTACAAGAACTAAAAATAGCTGTTATTTTTTTTTTTTTAATCAAGACCATTTCTCTTATAGTTAGATAAGCTTCTGTAGGTTAATATCAACTTTTAAAATTAAGAATACTTTTATATATTAAAGAAATCCATCCATTTATTTATTTATTTATTTATTTATGTATATATTTATGAGAGTAAGAAAATAGTTTAATTGTTTAGTGTACTATTATTTCAGTACAAACTTGATTGTAGAGCTTGACTATTACGCGTTTTTTTTTTTTTTAATATGGCTGTAGAGATAACAAAACCCAGTTTTTTAAAGGGAAGAAGATTGATTCATTTCTATTAACCAGAGTCAAAAAGAATGTATGAAAGAATGTTTAAAGTAGCTAGAGTTTAGAGGAGGCCATTATGACGAAGAGAGTCAGTATTAAATATATAGAGTAGGCAGAATTTAGAGACCATCATGAATAAAAGAGTCAGGATTGAATGTTTAAAGTAGCCAAAGTTTAGAGGAGGCCATTATAAAGAAAAGAGTCAAGATTAAATATATAAAGTAGTCAGAGTTTGGAGGAGACCATTATGAAGAAAAGAGTCAGAATTGAATATTTAGAGTGACCAATGTCCAGATAAGTCCATTAAGATTGAATATATAGAGTAACTAGATTTTAGAGAAGAAGACCATTATGAAGAAAAGAGTTAAGATTAAATATATAGAGTAGGTAAAGTTTAGAGAAGACCATTATGAAGAAAAGAGTCATAATCGAATATTTAGGATGGACAATATCCAGAGGAATCACTAGGATTGAATATTTAAAGTGACCAATATCCTTAGAAGCCCACTAGGATTGAATTTTTAAAGTGGCCAATATCCTTGAAGCCCACTAGGATTGATTTTATAAGGCGACCAATATCCTTGAAGCCCGCCATGAAAAAAAAAGAAAAGATAAAGAAAAAAGAAAAAAAAAAGGGAAATGAATAAAAAGATGAATAAATAAATAAAAAAAAAATATGCGCATATAAAAAATATGAATATGTAAATAAATAAAATATGCATATAAAAAAAAAGAAAATAAAGTTTGAATACGTAAAGGGACAAATATTTAGAAACTACTCCCTAATATGATGAAAAGCAAGCAATAACTGATTTGTTTGCACTAACTAAATTTTAGGGAGCCTACTATAATTAAAATTTATAGTAACTAGCATCAGAAGAAAATTACGATATGAAAACACATGCTTCTATTCTAAAGTAAAAAAAAAAGTATATGTGTGTAAAAGTATATGCATTTATTCTACTAAAATAGGCAAAGTGCAGTCCAAAAAAAAAAACGATTTTATTAAAAATAAGGAGAGACCATGAGAAAGTTTGGCTTAATGCACAAGCAAAGAAAATTTCTTTCTAGGAATAATAGTCAGTATCTCTTTGTGGCTTATTATTATTTATCTTTCATATCTTTTATACACAAAAATAATTACGATACTTATTAAAGATATTATATTAAATTATGTTGAAGAAGCTTAAATGCTTTCTTTACTACTTGATGATAGATCATTAAATTGTGTAACTTTTGTTTTGTCAATTATTGTTTTATTTAAACGGAGCTACAGCCAATATTTCATTTTGCAGGTACATTTTTTTTTCAATGAATAAAAAAACCTGCTGGTTAAAAAAAAAAAAAAAGAAAAAAAAAGTGTTGGGAAGAAGGCTTAGAAAGCCTGTTTATCAGAAGTGACGCTGGATTGAGGAAGGATACTGTGAGATAAAAAATTTCTTATCTGACCTGGGCAATGCTCAAATGAGGTTTTAATCATAAATCGGTTCAGGAACAATTTATATTGACTAGTAATAAAGCCTATTTAGACTAGACTTTGTATTATGGCCTTTTTTTTTTTTTTTTTTCTAGGTAAATTACATTATAATGCCACAAATTAATATACAACAAAATATAACATTATTGTACACACATAATAAATTATACTTCAAGTTAGACAATAATGATAATGAACTATTTATAGTAGTAGAATATTTTAATTTATCTTTTTTTTTTTAACTATAAAGAGTATGTCCACCAGAACTTTGTATATTGAGTCTTTACATAACATATTTAATATTTTATTTTACATTCATGTATTTTTTCGTGTACTTGACTTATTTTGTAGCATGTTCTTTTGTTGAAAATTTGTTCGTCATTTTCAAATGATTCATATAGAAAATGTATTCTTTTATTTTATTCGTTTTCGTGATATATAAACAAGTTTATGTATGCATGTCATAGCTTGATTTTTATAATAACCAATAAAATAATATGTAGATCAAGCTTATAGATATATTTATATACATCACATCAAAAAAAAATCGCTCAGTTACACTTGATTTAGTTTGATTATAGCTACACATGCGTGGAAAAGGCGATTGGTCAGAACCAATTTTTATTAGAAGAATTAATATTTAACATACAAACATTTATATAGTAAGCAACGATCTGAAACAGATGAATAATAGAAAAAAATTATTTATTTATCTGTTCCAATGATCATAATATAATAGCATACACAAATAATGTCTATAACGTATATAGTAATATTTAACAACATGTATAACAGATCAACGTCATTTTTGTACATGCTGTAATTAAGTTCAAGTTGTAATTTTTTTAAAAAAATAAATAAATAATAATAATTGATTTTTGATACAAGTAATATGTTTATCAGATTTTTTTATTATGTAATTTAAAAAAAAAAAAAAAGAAATAGAATATTATTACATGCCCCTGTCAGTTATCATATAGACAAAAAGGGGAAACAATAATTGATTTACTTTTCGTTTCAAACATATTTTGTATAAATACACAATTTTTATCTAAACCGCTCTTCTTCTTTTTTTTTTTTTTCTTTTCACTATACACATTCTTTTATAACACAATAAAAAAAAATGAATGAAGAAAAGAACGAAACTACAGATGAGAAAGTAACAATAGTTTCTTTAGAGGATATAAACAAGATCAAGTTTGCTAAAATACATCGTCCTGAAAGAACAAAAACGATACAGACGATTGATACCATTGCCTCGCGTAGACCTTCTATTAGTGCTCCTAAACGTCCATTAAAAAAAATAAAAAAAGAAAATAAACAAGTTGATATTGTAAGTTAAAACAATCATTAGTTAGCTAGCACACACACACACACATACACACATACACACATACACACATACACACATACACACATACACACATACACACATACACACACATTATTAATACTTATTATGTATATATAAATATAGAATGAATTTTTATTAAGTCCTGAAGAATGTGCTGATAAGTATAATACGTGTATTGATTTATTAAAAGCTGCAGAATCAAAAGGTCTTACTTCTCAACAAGCTGAGGATATACTCATCAAAACAGGTCCAAATATGTTGAGTCCACCTAAAAAGAGACACCCATTCTTAAAATATATTGATTGTGTTTTAAAACTGTTCAATTTACTTTTGATTCTAGCTGGTCTTTTGGATTATATATTGCTGGCAATTGATTATAAAGCTAATTTTCCTAACGTAAATATATACATATAAATATAAATATAAATATATATTTACAGATGATAACGATTATGATGTATATAAATAAAATTTTTAATGTTGTAGACTTATCTTGGTGCTATTCTTATTGGTGTATCCTTGCTAAATGCATTTATTGAATTCTATCAAGAGCAAAAATCACAGGCCTTGTTGGAATCATTCTTGAATATGGTCCCTGCTAGGTGCATGGTGATTCGTGATGGTAAAGTGCAACAGATCGAAGCTGTTCATCTTGTTATTGGAGATATTGTATTGGTTCGTATGGGAGATAAGATACCAGCTGATCTATTTATATTTGCTTCATCAGATCTCAAAGTAGACAATTCCCCTTTAACTGGTGAATCTGAGCCTCAAGAACGCTGCGCTATCAATACTCAAAAATCTATCTTTGAAGCTGAAAATATCGCTTTCAATGGCACTTTGGCTGTATCTGGTGAAGGGTATGGTATCGTAGTTCGTACAGGTGATAATACTGTACTAGGTCAAATTGCTGGGCTCACTGCAGGTGAAGCAAAGACTCAATCACCTCTTTCTCAAGAAGTAAGTAGAAAATATCTGAAAGAAAAAGAAAAAGAAGAGCTAAACTAATTAACTAACTTACTTACTTCTTGTCCTCTCTTATATATATATATATATATACATTCATTATTATTTTTTAATAATAAGATTTCTGAATTCGTAAAAATTATTGCTACAATTGCTTTTACTACAGCTGCTGTTTTCTTTGGTATAGGTTTTCCTGTAAATAACAATAATATTTCTCTTACACTTAACTTTGCTATCTCTGTTTTCGTTGCTTGGGTTCCAGAAGGCTTACCTGCTACAGTGACGATCCTATTAACTGTCTCTGCAAAACGTATGGCAGCAAGGAACGTACTTGTGAAGGATTTACAAGGTGTTGAGACATTAGGGGCCATCACTTTACTTGCCACAGACAAGACGGGTACATTGACGCGTAATCAGATGACGGTAACTTATGTATGGTCCTGTTTTACCTTAAGGAATGTCATGGATAAACAAACGCAACAAAGCCCTATTATTGATTCCCCTGGCATGAAGGAGATTATAGAGATCTCTACATTGAACTCTCGTGCTAAATTTGACCGTGTGGATGTGCCGATATCTCAACGTCAGATCCTGGGTGACGCTACTGAAACAGGTCTAGTTCGATTTGCTGGTGAGCAATTGGGTAAAAGATATGACAGTATCCCTGATCAGTTTCCTAAAGTATTCGAGATACCTTTCAACTCGGATAATAAATGGGCCATGACAATTCATAAAAAGAAGCATCAGAACAACGGTTCTCTTACCCTGTATGTGAAAGGCGCCCCCGAGCGTGTACTTGAATTATGTGGATCCATCTTACTTGATCAAGATACCTCTGTCCCTATTACTGATGAACATCGTGCTACCTTTCAAGAGACCTATTCCTATATGGCTGGTCAAGGTCATCGTGTATTGGCCTTTGCTCAGGTTCTATTACGTGATTCAGAGTATCCAGTTGATTATGTATTTGATAAGAATAAAAAGAATTATCCAATGTCGAACATGACGTTTGTCGGCTTAGTATCCCTTCAGGATCCTCCAAAGCATGGTGTTCGTGAGGCGATAGGTAAATGCCGTGAAGCAGGTATCAAGGTCATTATGGTCACTGGCGATCATCCGTTAACGGCTGAAGCGATTGGGCGTAAAATTAACTTGATTGTTGGAGAGACGAGATCAGAGGCTGCGAGACGGCTTCAGTGTACTGAGGACCAAGTCAATGAGAATGAATTCAAGAGCATTGTGATTCATGGTGATACGATTGATCAATTGACAGAGGAGGATTGGGATCTGATCTTTTCCAAGGATGAAATCATCTTTGCACGTACTTCGCCAAAACACAAACTTGAGATTGTTAAACATGCTCAATCTATGCGTCATATCGTTGGAGTCACAGGGGATGGTGTTAATGATGCCCCAGCTTTGAAGAAAGCAGATTTAGGTATTGCCATGAACATCTCAGGATCTGATGTCTCTAAGGACGCGGCTGCGATGATTCTGTTGGATGATAATTTTGCCTCTATCATTCATGGTATCGAGGAGGGACGTTTAATATTTGTTAATTTAAAAAAGTCGATTATGTATACCATTACTCATTCAATGCCTGAGGTCATCCCTAACTTACTTTACATTATCGTACCCCTTCCTTTACCGTTGTCTGCTATCCTTATCTTGGTCATCGACCTTGGCTTTGAATTGTTTGCAGCTCTTACGTTTGCTTGGGATAAACCGGAGACAGCTGAAGGGCTAATGAAGTTAAGGCCTCGGAAATCGGTGACACCAGCCTCCATTGACCGCTATCGTCGAACTTTACATCGTAAGGCACGCTACATTGAATATGATGGTGAGACGGGAGAAGAGATCCGACCATCCTTCCTTCGTCGTATCTATCATCGACTTCATGAGCTTTCCTCTAAGGCCTATTGGAGAGAAAAGTTTGAGAAGAAGGAAGAAGAGGAGGAGGTCCTGGTTGATCTGCCGTTACTATCATGGGCTTATTTAGAATTTGGTATGATCGAAGCTATTGGTAACTTGACTTGCTATTTCGTTGTCCTTTGGTATAATGGTATCTCACCTTCTGATGCAGTTACTATGCAGCGTGGTACGAGTTCCCCTACCTACTATTTCTCTAATGGGCCCACCATCTATGCTCAAGATTATGTGACCCTTGCTGGTAAAGTGTTAAATGCAGCTGCTCAAAGGCGTGCCCTTAGTCAGGCACAATCGATTGTCTATTGGAGCATCATGATCATGCAAATGTTCAATATGTTTGCTTGCAAGACACGATTTACATTACCTATCGGTAGATATATGTTTTCCAATAAATATAACTTTCTAGGTATCTTGGGCGGTGCCTCCTTGGCTACTTTAATTGTCTATTGTCCTCCATTCAATATCCCCTTTGGCACTGATTATCAATTACTACCTCTTTGGTGGCTAATTGCTATTGGATTTGGTTTTATTATCCTTGCTTATGCATGTATTCGTATGAAGATTCGACAAAAGATGACTCCTATTCATTTTAATCCAGATATTCAAGGTTTACGTATGTATCCTACTATTCACACAGTAGCTACTCAAGATTCTCGAACTACAAGTAAAATGGTTTAAACTCTTTATAGATATGATATATATATACGTATATGGTATATGTATATAACATTGGCAATAATAACGATAATAATAATAATAAAGGACATATATTTGTATACAAGCATTTTTTTTTAAAATTTTTTTTTTTTTTATTTTAATTGGAAGTAGAAATATGATATGTGTGTATGTACAAGTAAAGATTATAATTATTTCCAATTGGAATCGGTATCAAATTTATCTTCAGTTAATCTAATAAAATAATCAATAACCTACACAAGAAGAGAGAGAGAGAGAGAGAGTAAATAGAAGATTCAAATTGTTTATTATTTCGAATACTTTACCAAGTCTGGCCTTTTAACTCTTACTAAGCTTAAAGGATGAAATGATCGAATGCTGTCTTTCCTATTGTTTGTTTGTTATAAAATGAATTCAATTCAGTTCAATTTAAATATATTTACCATTTTACTGCACAATATAAAGGCGATTCTTTAAGTTCTTTTCCAATATATTCAACTTTATCTGCCAAAGTATTCCAATCAATAGGTGGATCAAGCCCATATTTTTCATCAAAAATGACGTTATTATCCCAGTTTTTATCAATTTCATTGGACTGATCATTGCTAGATGTAACTGAACTGGTAGTTGAAGACATATCATCGTTATTATCACTCTCACTAATACGCAACTTATTTTCTCTCTTTCTTTTCTTTTTATGTTGTTCAAGGAAATAATCAGAATAAGCAGGTCTTTTACGTTTTTGCACGGTTTGTTTACGCGTAGGTGCTTCTTCTATAGTTTCTGTTTCATCCATAGATGAATCTTCAATTTCATCAATCTTATCATCATCATCCATAGATTCATCTTCTAATGCCAATTCATCTACTTCTTCTTCATCGTGAACTGAATTGTTTGAAGATGTAACATAATCAGAATCAGAAATAGTAATTGCGTCCGTCTGTTTGCTATTATTCTTATTGTCATCGTCTATTTCATCTATAGCATCATTTGCTATAACAACTGGCTGTCTCTTTTCAGCATTACCTGCGTTTGTATTCTGAGCAGAAGAATGATTTAACTCCTTTGTTTTTCCTTTATTATCGTCATCACTTTGAACAGGTTTGGGTGGCAACACTCTGAGAATGGGTTGCAATTTTTGTTGTTGTTGTTTTGGTGCAGGCGGGTGAGTAGTAAATGGATCAGGAGAAGAAGAAGTTGAAGCAATAGTTAGGGGTGTATTTAATTGATTAGGTTTCTTTTCTTCTTGATTCTTTGTAAATACATCTGTAATTTTTATTGTTTTTTGAGAATTGGGTGAATCTAATTTTATGGGATTCTTTTTCTTCAGTTGAATTTCTTTGAACAATTGTTTTTCTTCAGAATCTTCCGGAAAGGCTTCCCAATATTGTTTAATTAAATCAATGGCAAAACTAGTAACAAAAAGTTAGGATATTTTTTTAAAAAAAAAAATAAATAAATAAACAATGTAAACCACATACACATTATTTTCCTTTTCCCAGGTATTGTCTGCATCATCATAATTAAGCCATTTGATGAGGTAAAGTAAATCATATTTCTACAGGTATAATGTAGTTTATAAATACTCTATTTAATGGATCATTTAATATTGTTTGTTTGTTTACCTTTCCTTTTTTTATAAATTGATGAGCGACAATTCTTTCTACTTCAAACACCTCCTCTTCTTCTAGTGGTGCTGGGGATGATGCCATGATTTATATTTAAACAAATAAAAAACTAATAGTTTTTGAATACGTGTTTTGATTTTTTAATAATGATAATAAAAAAAAAAAAAATCTCAATCTGAGAAAAGCCTCTGATTGGTCATATCAATTCAATCATTACAGTATTACAATAAAAATACTGGGTTTTATACTATCGTATGTGTCTATTGTAAACATGTATTATACACATGTATATGAAAAGGGAAAAAAAAAAACTACTGTTAAATATTTATATAAAATTTTTTTTTATCATTCTATCATGTATTTTATATGTTGAAGCTATAAGAAACTATTCAAAAATTCCTCCCCCCCCCTCTTTGAAAAGAATAAATAAGAGCAAAAAGGTACACGAATAAGCCACAGCTTAAAAAAAAATTCAAATTAAGCTAGCATATTATAAATACACATGCATAATTCATTTTTTTTCTCCTTTTTTTTTTCCAAGTTACAATAATGTTGAAAAGACATAATTTAGAACAACAAGAATCATTTTTAAAGCTAACTGAGGATATACGAGACTTAGAAAAAAGACATGGAAATGATAAAGAGGGAATTGTATCAAATACCGTATTTACACCTTTAATAGACGATACGCTTAAAAGGGCATCTTTAAGAAAAGATAGCATATTAAAACGATTCATATTCTATATATCACTCTATTATAATAAGGTATTATATATTATTAACTACTATGATATATATTATCTAAAATAATATGAGGGGGATACAAGCTAGCCGTTAATGTATTTGGGTTTATAACCGGTTGGAATTGGTATAATAGGTAGAGTCTATATATGTATATATATATTGTAAATGGATGTTGACTTGTATTCTATATTTGGATATACATATATGCACATAGAATCGATGAGCTTGTTATATTAGGTGCTTTACCTACATCAACATTCATTAAAAGATTACATCAACAAGAAAGAGTGGGTACAATAGTTAACTTATGCATCGAATTCCCAGGTCATGAGAAACTATATGATGAGTTAAATATGAAACAAATAAGACTAGAAACAAATGATTTTAAAGTACCTTCACTCGAGACTATTCATAAAGGAATAGACGAGATTATGTCAATTAAGAATGAACAACAAATTCCTTTTAATAGTATATATTTACATTGTAAAGGTATGACAGAAAGTAATGTAAAATGATTATGTAATAACTATCATATACATGTTCTGTGTAAGCTGGAAGAGGTAGAAGTGCAGCCATTGCTTTTTGTTATTTATTAAGAACTTATAATTTAAACTTATTTGAATGTCAAAAGGTTTTAATGGAAAAGAGAATCCAGGAAAGACTTGAATAGGCGTAGAATTATTAATGATGCCTATATTTACATTTATTTATTTATTTTTGTAGGTCGATAGAGATCTATACGAAAAGGATGAAATCAAAGCATTTTACAAGGATGTATTAGCAGATGTAAAAGCAGGAAAATATACAAGAAAGCCTTTTTTTGTAAAGGAAAAGACACCTTGATAAAATAAGTCAGATAATGATAGAATAATTTTTTTTTCTTCTTCTTCTTCTTCTCCCCCGCATAATTATTAGTTTCTCCTCCTGAATGTTTGTAACGTCGTATTTTATTAATCCCGATCTTTTTTATTATTAAAAGATTCTTTTCTTTTATTATTTTTTTTCTTTCTTTCTTTCTTTAATCTAAATATTTTAAGAAAAAAAAAATGACAAGAACTATTGAAGAATGTTTAAGTGTAAAAGAGTCAAATAGTCTTGAATCAGCACAAACATGGAACACAGAGATTACTCATTCAGGTCGATGGTTTAAAGATGAACATGGTAGAACATTATTAATGAGAGGAATTAATATTTGTGGGTCTTCAAAGTTACCTACAAGTCCTTATTCAGGCTCAACACACCTTTATGACGAGACTTTATTTTGGGATCATCGTAACGTAAGTTTTATTGGAAGACCCTTTCCTCTTGAAGAAGCAGACGAACATTTTAAACGACTCAGGGCATGGGGATTAACTTTAGTTCGGTTGTTAGTCCCTTGGGAAAGTATTGAGCATTCAGGGCCTGGACAATATGATGAAGACTATATTGATTATTTGAAGAAACTAATTCTTTTAATGCCAAAATATGGTATCAAATGTATAATTGATCCACATCAAGATACAGTAAGCAATCTATAAAGAAAAAAAAAAGAAAAGAAATAGATGCACTATAAATAGATGCATATATATATATATATATATATACATCATTCCTTATTCACTCATTATGCCTTTATGTTAGTGGTCAAGGTTCTCAGGAGGCTCAGGAGCTCCTGGTTGGACGTTTGAAGTGGCAGGAATGAATATTAAAAATTTTAAAGAAACAGGTGCAGCCTATGTTCATAATACAAATGCAGTATCTGATGATCCACCACCGATGGTATGGCCTACTAATTATACGAAATTAGCTTCATGTACTATGTTTACTTTATTCTTTGCCGGAGATACGTTTGCTCCAAAGAGGAAATATCAAGGAAGATCAATTCAACAATTTTTGAATGATTGTTTTATTCAGGCTTATCAATATCTTGCTAAAAGATTGAAAGATTTAGATGCTATTTTAGGATTTGAATTCATGAATGAACCTCATCCTGGATATATTGGATTAAAACGACTTGATAAGTTTGATCCTATTGTCAATCTTATCTTTGGGGATTCACCTACTCCTTTACAGTCTTTTGCATTAGGTGACGGTATCTCTCAAAAGGTGGGTGTTTATGTTAAATCTTGGCCATTCCCTACAAAGAAATCTCATGATCGTATCATCAATCCTTCTCGTAGTTCTGCTTGGTTAAATTCATCATCATGCATATGGAAGGAGCATGATGTATGGAAAGTAGATGAACTGACAGGGGAACCCGTTTTAGTCAATACAGATTACTTTTCAAAGCATCCTCTTACAGGTCAAAAAATCTCCTTTTATGATGATTTTTATATTCCACTAGTCAATCGATATGCAAAAGCGATCCAAAGTATAAAACAAAACTGGTATTGTCTAGTAGAACCATTAGCCAATGAGGTATTATATAAAGAGGGAAAAAAAAAAAAGAAGAGTATACTCATTTTATATATATATATATTAAATAGAGAGCCCCTATGTATAAAGAAGATGACCATCATCATAACATCATATTCTCTCCTCATTGGTATGATTTAAATTCTGTATTTTATAAGAAATTTAATGGCAAGATAACACACGATGTTCAATGCCTTCAAAGAGGCGGTAATGTATTTAAGGCAACTTATTTTGGTAAAAGTGGTGCGAAAAAGAATTATAAAGGGCAAATCAAGAACATTAAAGAAGATGGACATCAATCGATGGGAGAAAAGCCTTGTGTACTTGGTGAAGTAGGTATTCCGATGGATTTGAATAATAAAGAAGCATTCAAGAATGATAATTATTCAAATCATATTCATTTTTTTGATGCTATTCTTCATGGGCTTGAAACAAATTTAATCAATTTTACGCAAGTAGACTCAAACAAAAGAAATAGATGAGTATGTAACTTATATATTTGCTTAATAGACTTTGGAATTATGATGTCTGTAATGATGATGAATATGGAGATCATTGGAATGGAGAAAACTTTTCTATTTACTCGGTAAAGAAAGCAAGAGAAGATTATTTTGAACATGATACTAAATCATCAAAAGAACATTTATATGATGGAGGAAGAGTATTAGAAGCAGTTCTAGTAAGTCTATTTTTTTTTTCTTTTTTTTTTTCGCCTCCATTTATTATATATACATTTTATTAATCATATATATATATATATATATATATATGTATAGCGACCTTATGCTTCCAAGATAGCAGGAACACCTGTTTTATCTGAATTCAACTTGGAAAAGCTTAGTTATACCTTTTCCTTTATACCACACGCAACAGAAAATCAAGAGCAAAAAGGATGTTTGACAGAAATATTTGTACCTCATTTTCATTATGGAGATCAACCAGTGAGTTATGAAGCTAATATTGGTGAATGTGACTATAATAGAGATAAACAAACATTATATCATTCTTATAATCCAGAAGCGATATTAGTAAATAGCATCATCACGATTACAATTAAAGTGTTAAATCATTCTACTATGAAGTATATTAAAAAGAAACCTGAGTATTCATGCAATATTATGTAATCAATCCTTACTACTGTCGTTCAAGAAAACTCAATAATAAATTTACCCCTTATTTTCTGTCTTTTTCTTTTTCTTTTCTTTTCATTTTACCTTTTTGTGATTATAATTACAGTAGAATTATTTGATACACATATATATGACAAAGGTAATTAAAATAAAAGATCCTTTATAAATTACATTTCTTCACTAAAATAATAATAAAAATAAAAATAAAAAAAAGGGACCTTATGTTTCACCTTCTACAGGAGCAAGAAAGCTTGGAGGATCAAGTAGTTCAACACGTTCACCCAATGTGAGTAATGTCTTTTCTCATGTCCCATCTATTCAAAACCAAACTCCTTTTCGACATTACTTGAAAAGATGTTCGTCTTCTGAGGAATGGAATGATGAGATGGATGGTCATTATATATCCGAATATTTTAAAAAATATGAACTAATGACAGAATTGTAATGACAAAGATATTTATCCTATTATTCGTTTATATCTATATCTATTCTATTATACTATTTCTTCCCTAGTATTAACCTAAAGAATCAACATCATTGTCCACTTGGAGTTTATATGATGCCCTCTTCTGAAAATTTATATAGTAAAAATCATAAGCGTTAGAGATAAATAAAAACTTAATTTCTTTCTCTTTTTTAATAGTTTGGTATGGAGTCATCTTTGTTCATCAAGGCTATTATAAATCAGGCATATTTAAATTCAGAGTTGCACTTCCGGAAAGTTATCCAGAATATTCACCTTCAGTTACGTTTATGAGTGATATGTTTCATCCATTGATTGATGGAGGTGGCAATTTATCTCTTTCTCAACAATTCCCCACTTGGAGACCTAATGAAGACTATATATTTCACGTATTGCATTATATTAAAAACATATTCAAGAAAACTATTCTTGACAGACTAGTCAGTAAGCATTGTTTCAACAAAGAAGCCTACAGAATGTAAGTAAACTCATCCTAATCATACATTATATAGTTAAAACTAATTCCTTTTTTTTTACTGACTGTATTCAGGTATAGAACAGATCATTCGACATTCATCAAGTTATCAGAACAATGTGCTAATTTGTCTATAACTGAATCTTATTTGTTTGACCATTTTCCAGATGATAATATGATTCGTTTCTCACCAATAAGTGATTCAATGTTTGGTAAGTTAAATAAGGAAAAAAGTCATTTATAAGCTATAGCTATTGATATTTGTATGTATTGTATGTTTATACGCATGTATTTTTTTTTCCTTCTTTTCCATTTTTATAATAAGAGAATTTTTATTCAAAAATCTTTAATGATATAAATTCGAGTAAACAAGAAGAATTAAATGATAATCAAATTGAACTTCAAGAAAACAAACCAATTGGTTTAGTTGAGGTACTAGTAACGCGTTAAACTTAACTATAGCCAATGAATAATTTTTTTTTTTTTTTTTTTTTTTTTTTTTTTTTTTTTTTTTTTTTTTACTTTATTTTGGTATAGGAATATGTTAAATCTCCTACTATTACACACATGAATGAAGAAGAACAACTTTTATAATTATACTTAACGATTGTTGTAGCTGATCTGAAATCTTTATTTAAATTATTTTTTTGTTATTGGTTGAAATAAACAGTCATGCCAACTCAGGGCAAAAAAAATTTTTTTTTTTTTGTGTGTTTATAAAGTTTTTACCGTGCCCGTCATATTATTAAATTTTTTTTTTTCTTTTGTTTATAACTAATAACATCGCACAAAGGAAGAAAGAAGGTAGAGTATTAATCACATGGGCAAAACTATGAAAGAGAAGGAGAAAAGAATAAAAAGAGCTGCTGATGATAGTTTAAAAGACATTTGCACGTCAGTCTGATGTTTTAATGAAGTCTAACAAACGCTATACCCAAATTTCTGAAATCTTTTTTTTTTTCTTCTTTTTCTTCTTTACTGCCTGAAAAAAAATTTTTTTCTTCTTTCATTTACTAATTACATATTTATATTATATAGATTTACTGTAAAACGTATCTTGTTTCTTTTATAATTATTATTATTATTTTAAAAAAAAATTCTTTTAATAAAATAAAAAAAACAAATCATTGTATTGAACACATGTATATAAGTTATTTAAAAAAAAATTTTTTTATGATTATACATCGTTCTTGATGCCTTCCTTACAGAGTGGATATAAACGAATGGGCGTATTATGAATGGGAATTAAGAGTTTTAGAATAAAATTACAATTTAAAGATGTTTGGAAGGGAGAAAAAGATTTTTTTATTATTTTTTTTTTATCAGCCCATGCTTTGTTGAAATACAAGTAGAAATTAAGAATGACCTTATTTCCCAAGTAGGATGACCATTATGTCATGTAAGGAATAATGAAGCAACAGTAATAGTCACTATTAGTTTGACTAATATTAGAAAAAGAAGAAGAGGAGTCATTATTGTTGTATTCAGCTGCAACTGAAAAAAAAAAAAAAAAAAAAAAAAAAAAAAAGAAAAGAAAAAGAAAAGTAGTCTGTTTCATGATATAGTGCAATGACTATGGTTGAATCGTTTCTCTCTTGTAGATTCTTTTTTTTTTTTTTTTCATTCAAGCGAGTAGGCCACAACAATAGCATATCGACTGGCTATTCGTCTCATGTTTTTTTTTCTATGACTGAGATCACTTTTATCCTAATGAGTTTTATTTTACTTTGTAGACTAAACCGAATGATATACATATACCATGATCGAAACGCCTACTCTACTTTTCCCTCTCTCTCCCCACACACATCCGTTTGGATGGTTCCACAAAATCATAAAGTACCTTCTTCTTAATGTACAACAGAGTTTAAATCAACGACCTATTTTATTTTTTCCCACAAGAAGACTAATTTATTTCCACTAGGAAGAAAAGAGCAGCAAGTCTATTTTAGTTTGAATCTGATATGTTACATAACAAGAGGGCCACAATCTGTGCAGCGACGGTATAAAGGTCTACTAACAAATAGACAAAATCGTAATTAAACAAAAAAAAAAAAAAAAAAAAAAAAAAAAAAAAAAAAAAAGTGGCCTCAAAGTGTTCGACCACCATGTTGATATAAGAACAGCAGTAGATGTTGTCTTCTTGATGGAACCTATACTACCGATTTGCGACATGACGATAAAACAGGAATAAGAAGAAGAAGAAGAGACCTATTGCATACGTATATTGATTGGTTCGGATGAATGAACGAATAAGTAAGTAAGTTATGTTCAGCTGTGATACTACAATAACTAGTAGTCTGAAATCAATGTGTTGATTGAGTGTGATTATTTGAAACATGTTTACCTCCAAGATAGCTGGTTATCTTTAGCGTGGTTTCGTGTACGTCAGAAGAAACGATTTCCAAAGTAGAGGTGAGAATAGGGATTGCTCTTGTATAAAGTGTCCTCTCAATGAATGAATTGTATTGATCTTTGTCCAAGAGGAACTCGTTGATTCTGATAAATCATCCTGTAGATTTCTTTTAATAAATTCACATCTCTTTTCAAGATACAAATGCCATATTACTTTATCGGAATAAAAATTGAAGAGCTAAACTATTTGAATGATAGAGGGTAATTTTATACGGGAAAAAAAATGACACTTTTGCTAGAATACAACCAATTATCAATTGTTTTCTGTAAAAGGATTACAAGAAGTTGTAATAAAAATCAGTTACTTGATGGCAATAAAAAGTTTCTAGTAAAAGAATATCATTTTGTAGTAGGGGCAGATTAACTATGAGGAAAAAAAAAATATGTATTTATTTATCAAAAGCAGAATGTACGCTATAATTTATTTCCGTGCGTCAGAATTTTTTTTTTTTATAATAAAAATATGTATAACAACAGATGTCAAAAAAAAAAAAAAAAAAAAAAAAATCTGGAAGTTTTGCCGTTGGTCTTGTCTCTAGTTGAATATTTATTACGTAATAGTGTAACGAAATGTTATTAAGCCAATAAAATAAAAAAATAAAAAAATAATACCTACTGCTACTGCTACTGCTACTGCTCATGATAGACTAATATGGTTTAGTAGTTTATACATATAAATAAAGATGATTCTTCTTCTTTATTAATAGTCTGTATTTCTATACCACTAAATTATTTATTAGCTGGAATTAAAATAGATTCAACTCTATTATCAAACAATTTAGAACGTGAGAAATTAAACTACAATAAGAAATGGCGCAATTAAAGTAATTTCAAATCTAGTCTAAAGAAAAAGGGTCCCCCATACTAAACAAGTAGTAATAAAGACACTAGTTTTATATATATGTGTGTATATTATTCATTTATTTTTTTAATAAGAAAAAAAAAAAGTCAATAAGAGTAAGCCATACTAATACAAAAGAAGTATAATACAATAAAATAATAATAAAATTGAGAGTGTTTACAAAAAGGAAAGGATAGTATAAGGAAATAAAATAAGAGATGTATCATAATACAAGATATATGTATATATAGATATATATAAGAGAGAAAAAGTAAAATAAAGTAAAGTAAAATAAAATAAAATATACAATAGGGTAAATAAACTCTATTTTAAAGGAATAATACGGTGACTATGATAATAACCATTAGAGAGTTGGCCATCCTTACATACTTCAAATGTGTCCATCCAAGAACATTTTAAGGCTTGATCTATCGTCCATCGAGTAGTTGGATCAGGATCTAACATATAAGCAAGGCATTCTCGTTCAGGCTGTGTAAAATCCTTAAAGAGTTCACAATCACTTGGATCTAGTTTTTTACGTTGATCGATATAACGTTTATAATCCAAGTCACCCCCATCTTCAGCTTGAGCAGCAACTGCAGCAGGTGAACCTACCATTGAACCTTGAGGTGGCTTACCAGCTGGTTTACCAGTAAAGAAAGAAGCAGCAAAAGGTAATTGTTGAAATCGAATACAAAAGTAAGTAGTAGCTGCACTCCAGACATCAAGTGCCTTACCATCATAAAGTGTTGTATCATCTTTAATTCTCCACATTTCAGGTGACCAAAAAGGTTCTGAACCACACCATTTTTTACATAAATGAGCTTCCTTTTCAAAACAAGTTTGAACCACCTCTGCTACACCGAAATCTGCAATCTTTAAAGTACCTGTAGAGGTCAACACTAAATTTTCAGGCTTTATATCACGATGAACAATACCAAGTTTATGAAGATGTTGTAATCCTAATAAGAGTTGTTTAAATAAACAAGCTGCATCATCTAAATTCATGCTTGATTTTTCATGTAACAAATTGAAAACATCACCACCAGAGCACTATTGTATGTGTATATTTGTATAAAAAAGAAAGTTAGATACATACACATATACATACATAATAATAAGAATGACTTTACATATTCCATTACTACACACCAACGACCCTTTTCATCTTTCACAAGATCCATCGTTTCAACAATATGAATAAAATTAGAAGCAAATTTACTAATGGTATATTCATTCAGCATACGCTTTTGATATTCTCGTTCATGTTCAGATTTTTCACGCTTCTTGAATTCCTTGACGGCTAAAATACGATCACCTGGTCTTTGTCGTACTAACCGAATCACAGCTGTTGCACCACTTGCAAGGTTCTTCTTGGAAGTTGATCCCATTCCTTTCGTGGAACGATGTTCAGGCTTAACATAATCACCGTATTTTTCAGATAATAAAGGTACAACACCAAAGGTACCGCATGTCATGTCTGAAGGTGTTTTCTTGAATGAAGAACTCATCATACGAGAAAGAGATTTACTAATTCGACTTGCTGTACTACTGACCGAACTTGAACTATTTCCAGAGGCACCACTGAAGCTTCTATGATGACCGCTTGTCTCCTCTGATGAAGAAAGTTCAGATGGACTATGATGTTTAGGAGAAGCGGGTGTCATCTTTAAACTACCAAATAAACTACTGCTAAAGACATTACTGAGCCGTTTTTTAGGTTTCTTAACAGGGATAGGCTTTACTGTCTTCGTCTCGGTCGTTACGGATAAAGAAGAAACAGGTGTTTCAATAGAGGAGACTGTATCGTTCGATCCTTCTCTTCCACTGTTTATTAATGAAGGACATATATCATGAGGATGTGTTGAGACTGTTTCTATACATTCAGGTGAAGTGGATCTAGGAATAGGATCATCTGGAAAGAGTTGTCTAGACGAGGTATAATCATTCTCTTTAAAATAATAATTGTCTTTACTATTCGAAACTGCTAACGATGCCATTGGTAAATTATTTCTTTTATTCTTGGGAGGTTTCTTTCTTTTCTTTTTCCTATATATAGTATGTATGTATTTATATATATATAAATAAATACATGTATAAAAATGTATTTATATATAAAATCTTTCTGAACAAGAAGGTTGATATAAAGACTATGTATGTGTGTATGTGAATTTATAAGATATATAAATGTATGTATGTATGTATATATCTAAAAGGATATTTCTATGGTTTATAAAGAAGAGGGAAAGAAGGAGAAAATAGTAACAGTTTACCTTATTTAAATACATATTAAAAAAAAAAAAAAAAAAAAAAAAAAAAAAAAGACCAGTGATACAAAATGATTCGGATTGGATAAGACAGAAATCGGGTATGAGTTAAGGACCAATATTATCTATTTCGTAAAAAACGTTTCGGATTTTATTAAAAAAAAAAAATTGAACCAACTATTTTTCTCTTTCTAATTAACTCATTATATAAAAAGTTGTAGTATAGTAAAATAAAAAATATAAAAAATAAAATAAAATAAAAACACTATAACAAATATTTATTATGGTTATTTCTTTTCTTATTTTTCTTTTTTATATTCCCAAATAATTTTTTTTTAAAGGAAAAAAAAAAAAAAGAAAGCCTTTAATTAAGCCAATTATATTTAATCTGATAAATATATAGACGAGTAAGGAAGAGGAGAAAGGAGCAGCTACAAGTAAGAAAAGATCAGTCATTCATTCTTTTCTTTTTATATTGTAATTTTTTTCTATTTTTCTTTTTTCCTTTTCTTTCTTTCTTTCTTTTTTTTATTTTTTTATTTTTTTAAATAAAATAAAAAAAAATAGATATACATCTATTCATTCATGTTGTAATAAAACACTGTTATTATTTTGAAATGGTATTTTTCACCCTTATTATTAAATGCTCTTGTTAGTGTTAACATTAGAATAAAATAACAAAGTAAATTGAATCTCAGTTTAGAAATATAATACATTTTTATACATCAGACCCTTACATTTGTTGTTTGTTCCACTAAATTTATTCCTTAACCACAGGTACACCTTTTTGCCAAAAAAAATAAAAAGTGTCGTACTTTTAAATATATTATCATTTGCTTTTTTTTTTCTTTTTTTTTAGAAAATTGTACCGTATTTAAATTAATATGCACCGCGTCGTAAAGAGTAAAATCTGCTGCAATTATTCGTCACAATGAAAAATTCCTTTTTTTTTTTTTTTTTGTTCTGCTTGAATCTAAAATGTTCATAATAACGGTATTTTCCTTTTTTGGCGTGGAATCTTCTTTTCTTTAGATTGGCACTATAATGGATAAGTTTGAAAAGTTACAATACAAATCATTATTCCTCTCCCCCCCTCTTTGCTGATTTCATAACAGAAATACATGGATTTTTTATTAATTAATTCTATTAAAAAAAAGGGGGGGGGAAAGTGTATTTGCCTTTGCGTTGTTCGTTAATTTATCATGATATTCTCTCTTTTTGTTTTGTTTTTTCTCGACTCCCTTTTTAACATGCTATTTAGGGGACATTGTCGTTCCAAACTGTTCCACACTTGGAATCTTTATGAAAAGAAATGATGATTAATATTCATTTCGTTGTTCATAATACCACTAGTAAATGGTATATCCATAAAAGATAAATGACTTTATTCTATTCTTTTTACAGTGCACTCTAAATTCCACTTTATTTCAGACATCTTCATCAATTGTTGTATCAGCGCTACATTGACTCTAGGTGCTATCCAAATTAGAATATTTAGAAAAAAAAAAGAGCAGTTGATTCAATTTGTCTAATAAATCATTACTTAATTTAATCTAAAAGATACTGTTACAAGTAATACTTGTCGGTAGAAAAAAAAAAAAGGACAAATCTATCGATTCGCTTACTTATAAGCATAAAATGGTAAATAGCGGCACCTAATAAATTGTTCAACAGAAGCGATTCCTAAATCATATGTCATAACATTCAAAGAAGACGTTCATCAAAGGGAGGGGATGCAAGTCCCAGACATCTCTTTTATTATTCAAGTTATTGAAGATAAATTTAAAAAATTTTCGTTGGACGCGTCATTTTTGCACGAGGTTGGGTTTCAAGTGAGTCGCTTCCCTTTTCCTCTGTCCTTCCCTCCCGCCCCCCATCCCCTTAGAAGATCAATGATAGATCAAACTTTTTTTTATTAAAAATAAATATGTATATATATTTTATAGTGGGATATAATCCCTTTCTTATCCGCCAGTCTATCTACCTAATACTAGTATGCTGTTTTTGAATTCATCTTTTTTTCTTTTCTATCTTATCTTTTTCCCCCTCTTTTAAACCCTTCATTTTTTTTATATAACATATTCAAAATGCAATGAGTTCATTGGCTCAGAATAATAATCATAATAAAAAGAAAAAGCAAAGTTGAACTGATTATTATCATATACACGATTTATTTATAACACTAATACTACAGTTAAATATGCAAAAAAAAAAAGGTAATAATAGTATAGCTATTGTCACTAATGGTCCATTGTCAATAAAATATATCTCATTTTTGTTATGAACACGTACATTTCAATTACTGAGTTTAGAGAAAGAAAGAAAAATAATCTAGATACAATCAGGTCTTGTTGTTAATAAATAACAAGTTTAAAAAAAAAATAATTTATAAATAGAATGTTGCTATGGGTACAATATATACATATACATATACATTTATATATATATATATATGTATATATATATATCATGCCCTAATAAAAATCTTTACTGCCATATTAAAACGTGATAGTCTTTTTTTTTAATAAGTTATGATAAAATCTCTTTCTTAATGATTGGTAAAAGATATGTTGTACATGATATTATAATAGATCAAATTTACTATTTTAGTAATAAGATAAAGTTGCCTTTTTCTTTTTTAGTACACTTACTGGTCAATTTATTATTAATTGTACCCTGTATTTCCATGTTGCAGTATTATAAAACTAGCGTGGTATAATTATTGTTGTCCTCATTCACGGGTAGTAGTAATGATAAAAGTGTTACGGAAAGTGACGGATATTTAAATATTGTTTAACCGTTTTTTTTTTTTTTTTTTTTTTTTTTTTTTTTTTTAATATAAAAATAATAATTATCTACTTTTAAGCATGTTGAAATATCTTTGTCAAATTTATAAAGAGAAAGAGAGCCTTATTTAGGCCTCTCTCCAGCACGGATATATTATACGCTTTTAGAATATTTCTAAATAGATGGAAATGCTTCGTAGAAATATATATTCCATACGCTTCTCTTACATCATGTCTATTCCTTCTTAAATTAAATTCCATTGAATTGTTTATATGATGATGAATAATAAAGACGACTTTATAGTTTGATAGTATCACAATTGTCACTTTTTCTTTTCTTCTCTTCAAGAAGTAATTGTGGGAAATTTTTTCTATCTTTTTCCCTCCCACTAAACTATTTTGTTTTTTTTTTAGTACAAAAAATTGCATTTTGTTCAGTATGGAAAATTCTTTCTTTACATGCATTATTATTTAGTACAAAAAAAATAAAATAAACTCGATAGATTAAAAAAAAAAAAGCTTTACAACTGTTGTCTTTTATTTCATACTGAAATTTGTTGTTGTCAATTAAATCTTAAATAAATAAAAATAGTTACGCGTGGTCTCGTTTATTTTTTTTTTTTTTTATGTATAATGATAAAGCTTCATTTTTATTTTATTTTATTTTTTTATTTTTTTAGTCTTTATGTAGTTGACAGAAATAAAAGAAGATAAAGTATTATAAAACAAAGTATAGATCTCTTGAATAATAAAGTGAACAAGTCTATAAAATAAGCCATTATATATCACTAAAGAAAATGAGACTAAATTCTGTGCTGCATTCTACCAAAATGCTAATAAATTATTTATTCAAGAATGGAGTTGATTCCCTCTTTATCTTGCCATCCAAGGATGTAACTACATATATAATTAACTTCTTGTTAACATTTCCAATATATAAAAAAAATACCCTTATTCATTATAAATACCTTTATTTCTTTTAGAGTAATTCTATCTTTAGGATTTTTTTGAAGCATTTTATCTATTAAATCCTTTAGTAATGGATCGATTTCTGCTGAATGTAAAACACTATAGCAAGCGTTAAATAAATAAATATACACATATATACATATAGGATAAGAAATACTACTTACGATTTGTTTTGAATATCAAAATATAGGTCCAATAGATGAGTTCTTTCAAAAGGTAAATGTCCATAGACTAGACAATAAAGTGTAATACCCATTGACCAAATATCAATACATGTTGGAGATGATGGCTCGGATCCTTCTTTTGATGCTATATATATATATATATATATATATTTATACAAAGGAAGAAGAAGAAGAAGAAGAAAAGGGTCATTCTATAGTTGTATATATATATGTATATTATAATCTTTTCATACTTTTTTTCAAAAGCTCAGGAGCCATAAATGCAGGTGTGCCACTCATTTTGTAATCATAGTGAGTAGCCTTGTTTATAATAAAGGTAGCAGTGCCAAAGTCAATCAGTCTTAATGAATTATCTTTTGATAATATCAAATTTTGGGGTTTAATATCTCCATGAATAATTTGATTTTGATGTACTAAGAAAAGAGTTTTTTTTTTTTTGTTAGTAAAAAATAAATGTTTAAAATTCCAGTTATTAATTACAATGATCTACAGCAGCAACTAATTGTTTAAAAATGAGATAACATTGGATCTCTGAGTAAGGTTTAGTGCTTGAATGAGGTATAATATCCATAACAACTCCTTTTTCAACAAATTCAGTAACTAAAAGAAATAGTATCATAAAAGAGTCAATATGGAGAGGTATGGTGTGTGTGTATGGTGTATATATATATATATATATAACCTATAAAGATAGAGTCCTCATATTCAGAATCTTGAATCATTTCAATAAAATCAATAATATTAATATGTTTAGAAAGTTGTTTTAATATAGTTGCTTCTTTAACAACCAATGTCATTTGCTTTGTGATTATTTGCTGCTGAATCGTGTTATTTAGTTTTCGTTTTTTTGAATAATCAGTATTTGATACAATCATTTCTTTTGAGTAACTCATGGAGTCTCTTTTTTTATTTTGATAAAATAAATTTGACTGATATTGACGTGCAAGTCGAGATTTAGATATTTCTTTAATAGCCTGTGTAAATAAATAAATAAATAAATAAAGTAAAATAAAACAAGACTGAAATTCTTACATATTTTTGTTTTGTCTTTAAATCAATAGCAAGATGAACTATACTTGATGTGCCTTGACCTATTTCATGTAATAATCTATAACGACCATTACCGATGTACTGTTTTTCATTTTTTGTTTCTTTCCAGCGACGATGAAATTGTAAAGGTGAATTAAACCAATGTACCATTTTATTGATGATGAAGAAGAGTATAAAAGAAAGAAATACAGATTGCTTTATATACTAAATTTATAAAGAGAGAGAAAGAGAGGAAAATAGAAAGTAGGGGAGGGAAAGGAAGGAAAGAAAGGAAAGAGTAGGGTGAAGGGTAAAGGGGTTGAAATAATATATATAAATATATATAGATTGAATACAGGAATTAAGACATAAAATACATTAAATAAGCTATTATTCAACCCTTTTGTTTAACTCCCTTCCGCTTTCTTGGCTCACTACACTACAACAATACATAATAGAATCTTATTTTATAACATAATTAATCAAGTATGGCTATTTATATTATTCAACTGTGAAATAATATATCATTTTATTATTTTATCATTTTTTTTTCTTTTTCTTTCTCTCATTACTTTCAAAAAATAAATAAATAAATAAATTGCATATTGACAACAATTGTATTCATGTGAAAAGATAAAGACTGTTGCTACTGCTTCTTCTCCTCCTCCTTCTCCTTCTCTCCCCCTTCCCCCCACATTTTATGTATAATGGTTCTTTATTATGTAAACACCAATTTTAAGCTTTTTTTTTTTGTACCTGATTTTTATGGTATATTGAAGCTTTATAATTAAATTTATTTTTTTCATTTATTATTTATTAAATCCTCCTTTTTAATTAATTGCTGTAGTACAGCATCTAAAATGATTTAACAAATATCAGTGGCTGCAGTATTTATTTATTGTAGTCGGAGATTCTACTTTCTTTTTAAAATAAATGCATATACCCATTCACTCATATCATTTTGCAACAACTAGTAATTTTTTTTTTTTTTAAGAAAAACAAGAGAGAACCTTTTTTTAATTCTTCTGTTTATTTTTATTTTAATAAAGAACACGAGTTTTAATGTTGGCAGGGGTAGCTACAATAGCATTATAAAGTGTTTGTAAATGTTCCTGTGTAACATTGGAGATATCTGCCATTACATAAGCAATTTCACCCTTAGAGTCCGAATATTGCTTTTCAACGTTATGTTCTTCAAAGATTTCATTAATAGCCTAAAAGAAAAAAAAAGATAAGAACCAAAACACACACACATACACACAAAAACTTACTCTAAGAACACCAGGAATATTACGATGGATATAAAGAACACGAACTGTATCTTTATCGTCTTGAGAAATTGCACGTAAATCAATTTCAGGAAAGTTGACAGCACCAAGTGAAGTACCTTCATTAATAAACTTTGTTAAAGCAGAAGAGACTTCAATACCAATCATTCTTTGAGCTTCTTCAGTAGATCCACCAATATGAGGTGTTAAAAGTAAATTATTTGCTTTTAATAATTCAGGATAATCTGTGAAATGAGGTCCATTACTAGCAGGTTCTTTAGGATAAACATCAATAGCAGCACCAGCAAGATGTCCTGATTGCAATCCCTTTATGAGTGCAGGAATTTGAACAACACTACCACGAGCATTATTCAAAAGATAAGATCCCTTTTTCATATATTTCATAATTTCACGTTCACCAATCATATTCTTCGTATCTTCCGTCTCTGGAACATGAAGTGTAACAAAATCGGAGATGGATAATAATTCTTCTAAGGAATCAACAGGTCGTGCTTGACCAAGAGGCATAATTTGTAAAACATCATAAAAATAAACAGACATACCCATAGCTTCAGCCAAAACAGAAAGCTGTGAACCAATATGTCCATAGCCCACAATACCCAATACCTTGTGTCTAATTTCATAGCAATTCTTAGAAACCTTGTTCCAGTTACCTTGATGCATTTCCATACTACGATCCCCTAATTGACGAGCAAGTGCAATTACTTCTGCAATAACTAATTCTGCAACAGATCTTGAATTACTGAAAGGAGAATTGAACACAGCAATCTTTTTTTTTTTTTTTTTTTTTTTTTTTTTTTTTTTTTTTTGTATGTTAATTTCTTTTCTTTTTGTTTTTCTTTTTTCCTTTTTTTCCCTTTTTTTTTTCACTCTCTTTTTATTACAAAATGAATAACTTACACCTTGATCAGCAGCAGCTTTCAAGTCTACTTGATTTGTACCAATACAGAAACAACCAATGGCCAAGAGGTTTTTTGCTTCATTCAAAACTGCTTTTGTAAGTTTTGTCTTTGAACGAATACCGATGATATGTACATCTTTAATTTTTTCAATTAATTCTTCACCGTCTAATGCTTTTGCGTAGGTTTCAACCTATATTATTTAAATCAACACGTTAAAATAAACTAAAATTAAAATAAAGAGGAGGTGGACGGAGGGAAACTTACTTGATAACCTTGCTTTTTAAATGCTTCTACAGCAGTAATATTGATATTTTCTAATAAAAGAATCTTGACTTCAGCTGTGTTAAAGGGTCTAAGTACTTTAGGCTTGGATTGACTAAAAGAAGAACCACGTGTACGGGTTTGAGTATTGCTTTCTTGATTAACCATGCTTTTATGTCAAATTATTTTTTTAATAATAATAAGAGAAGAAAAGAATATTTGATTTTTTTTTTTTTTTATCTTCTTCTTATCTGACTCAGTGGAGTAATAAAAAAAGGAGATTCACGTCACAGATGGCATATCTTTTTTTTTTTCTTAGATGAAACTACACCCCAGCAGCTTTTTTTTTATATATTTTCTTTTTATTTTATATATAAAAGTAGATGCTCTTTTTTTTTTTCCTTTCCTTAATAATAATCAATTTTACATATCAAGAAATCTTCTTTGATCTCTGCACATACATTTTTATATTCCTTTTCATGTCCTTGATCGTTTTTTTAGTGTGCGTAGTACTGCATTTATTATGTTATATATTTAATTTTATTTTTAAACATCGCGCCAATTATATTTAAGAAAGTTCTCTCTTTGATTGATGAAATGTCAAGCTTCTTATCATCATGTATAAACCTTGATAAAAAAAGAAAAAGCGCAGACTAAAACTGATGCAGATCTGTACATTAAACAAGGTTTAAATGATTCACAAAGTCCCGAGAGAGCGAAATTCAGACTTGAATACATCAAAGATATTAACTCAACTACTGATCAAACAAAATAGTCTTTTCATCGAATACATTTTTCTTTAATAAACAAAATTAGCTTATAATAATCCTCAAAAGAAAAGAAAAAAAAAAAAAAGACAAAGATATATACTATTTGAAAAAAAAAAGATCGTATAATAGCTTGAGTATAGGCCTTTTATTACGTAATAATTGACAATCAAAAATTGCTAATGAATGGAGAGATGAAAAGAATTATGACTATTATTTTTTATTTTATACCATTTCCTCCTTTACAATAATCACTTTTGAATGTGTGTAAACCACTACTTTAATTAACAACCAAACATACATGTATATATTTATACATCTTTTTCGTATACAGACTTTTTTATTCTTTATAAACAGTGAAATTTTAACGGTTCAAAATATATACTTAACGTCTTTATACAAATATGAATCATTATTAAGCTTGTAAATAGCTTGACAGTATCATAATTTCTTAAATAGGGCACATGTACCGTATGCTCGTGTTGCTTCACTGCCTCTTTAGTGGTTATATATATTATCTAAAGTAAAGGGAGGAGAGAGAGAGAGAGAGGGTATTGAGTTATATGTTATAAACCTTGATTGTAGACAGAAACTTTTGTTATCAATTCTTTACAAGCGAGAGCATAAAACTTCTTATCTCCTTTGATTTTTACTACAACACTAAAGGAATTCTTAAGGTAGGATACTCAATATATTTAAAATAGCAAACAGTCCTAACAACTCATCATAGGAATCCCGTAATTGTTAACATTAACTGAAGAAGTAGATGTATTGAAACATCACATGTACTCCATTTATATAAACCATTTGCTTAAAACAACCCTCATCTTCGAGAAAGAGTAATATAACACTATCATTTCTATAAACATGTTTTTTTCCTTTTAGAGCAGTCACCCCAATATCTAGATTTAGGTGTTTAAGCATAGCTCTATTACTATTACTGTCTACTTGACGAAAAAAAAATAAAGTGTAATTTATTGAGCTGGTATTTTCAGGAACACTAGAGTAAAAAAAAAAAAAAGAAATACCTACTAAAAAAAAAAAAAAAAAAAAAAAATTTGGATCCCGATTGATTCGAAAACCAGCCAATTGGAATTTAAAGAACTATGCTGATTGAGATTGGAATTCTTGCCATTTATCTACTATTTAGCACTGTATTTCCTTTCCTTTTCTTCGTCCTTTTCCCTGCTTACTAACACTATAAATCTTCATACAGTGAATACAACAACTAGAGTAAGCTATTTAAATTGATTCATTTCATTATCCAACTAGTCACTTTGGAGAAATACATATATATATATATATGTGTATATACATATAAGATAAAAATAACTACCGGGGCTGTAAGCATAAGAAATAAATAATAGTATTGGATTTATGTCATTTATTTGTTATTTGATTGGATAAATTTACTGCAGTTTAAATGGATGATCAAAATCATCAAAAGATATGATTTTTTTTTAATACAATATAATTTTATTTTACTTTACTTTATATCTTATTTTTTGTTTTTTTTTTCCTTTTATTTTATTTTAATTTATACTTATATCAATAAGAAAGTAGAAAGAACTTTATCTTTTAATTAATAGAAATAGAGAATCATGCAAGAATATAGAACTTATGTAACTTTAAATGAGTGTCCGCCTGAATTAAGCAAAAACAAATTGATAAAGCTTGTACCTAATCAGAATATCACTGTTATACCAGAATTCACTTTAGAGTCAGGAGTCAAATTAACTAATATACCTATTGCTTGGAAATCATGGGGTAAATTAAATGAAAAAGGTGATAATTGTATGATTATATGTCATGCTTTAACTGGTAGTGCTGATGTTGAAGATTGGTAAAGAAAGAAAAAAAATAAATAAATAAATACGTATAGTATCCATTTATTATATATATATATTTATTGATATATATATATATATTACAGGTGGGGTCCATTAATGGGTCCAAAGAGGGCATTTGATCCTACCAAGTTTTTCATTATTTGTTGTAATGTACTTGGCTCTCCTTATGGTTCTGCCTCTCCTTTGACAATTAATCCTGAAACAGGGAAAATATATGGCCCGGAATTTCCTCTAGTAAGTATTAGAGACGATGTTCATCTTCATCGCTTAGTGTTAGACTCTCTTGGTGTGAGACAAGTGGCTATTTGTATTGGAGGTTCCATGGGCGGTATGCAAGTATTAGAATGGGCTAAAATGGATGAAGATTATGTTCGAACAATTGTACCTATCGCTACATCTGGGCGTCATTCAGCATGGGGAATTAGTTGGGGTGAAGCGCAACGTCAATCAATTTATAGTGATCCAAATTATGGTAAAAAGAAGAAGAAGAAAAAAAAAGTGAAAGCAATAAAGAAAAAAAAAAAACGACTAATCCTTCTTTCTCTTTCTGTCTTTTTTTTTATCCTTATTTTTTTTATTTATTATTATCATTGTTACAGTGGAAGGATATTATACAGAGGAGAATCCTCCTGTTGTTGGTTTATCTGCAGCTCGTATGTCTGCTTTATTAACTTATCGATCTCGTAATTCCTTTGAATCAAGATTTGGACGTAAAGCAGCTAATTGGAAACCAAAAAGTCGACCCAGCTCACCTGCAGAAGCAAATCGTTTAATTCATAATGACGGTCATCGTTCAATCCATCTTTCAGAAACTCAAGATGAAACATCTAACCTTTCAGCAGATCCATCATCTATGCCTACACCGTTTATCTTTTCTGCACAATCCTATTTGAGATATCAAGGAAACAAATTTATTAACCGTTTCGATGCCAATTGTTATATTGCATTGACACGTAAAATGGATTCACATGATATTTCAAGAGGCAGGACAGAAGATTATTATGATGTTTTAGCTTCCATTGGTCAACCTGCGCTTGTGATTGGGATTGAATCGGATGGATTATTTACTATCTCTGAACAATATGAGTTAGCAGAGGGTATGGCAGATACAGAAATGATTGTGATTCAATCCCCTGATGGACACGATGGGTTTTTACTTGAATTTGATCAAATCAATAGACATATCCTAAATTTTATTAAACGTGTCTTACCAGATATTTATAACACAAGTACCTTATCTGAAGAAGAAGTAGTAGAGCAAAGTGAAGTACTTCAGGCTACAAAAACGAGTTTATTTGGTGAGGCTGAGGTAGATATTACTCAATGGTAGACTTACACACACACACACACACACATGTTATAAAACAAACGACAGATATCCTTATATTTTTATTTTATTTTATTTTATTTTATTTTTTTGATTATGTACGTACATATTCCTCACATTATAATCTCATCAAAAAGATATATCACATAATATACATACATAAAGGAATTGACAAAACCCTATTTCAGTATTTTATTATATACATATTTTTTTTTTACACACAACAAGTTATATATTTAAACTAAAGCATTTTGACCAAAGGTGTCATCCATCTTGGAAGCTACACCTTCAAAGGTTTCAGGATCAGTAGAATGCATTGCTTTAATATCAGATGTGATATTATTCATTAGTTTTTTATCCATATTTGTTTCTAATCCTGTTCTTTGGCCAAGAAGAGTGGTGCCTGCTGCTGCTGATGGGTTGCTACTACCCCCCATATGAAGACCACTGTTACCATAGTCACTACTTGCTGTTGCATTTTGTACATTTGTATTCAAAAAGTCTTGTGTTTTATTTGCAGCCTATTTTATTTTATTTTAGTTATTCATTAATAAAAGACTCTACTACATTGCACTTACTGTATCAATCTTATCAGCAATATGGCTGATGGTATTCTTTAAATTACTATTACGTTCAATAAATTGTGCTTCCATTTCTAATTCAATTATTATATATAGATGATGTATTATTATTAGTTAAAATAATTATAATACTACTACTATATTGCTGTGTGTGTGTGTGTGTGTGTGTTTTTTTTTTTTTTTCTGTTATCATACCAGCATCAGTCATTGCAGCTTCCATATTATTTTTTGTTGTATTCATCTTCAAGTATTATGTTATATAACTTTAATTCAATAAAAATAAAAAATAAAAAAAAGGAAAAAAAGAAAAGATAAAAGGCTTTTATATATATATATATATATAGATAATTGTGTTGTTGTTGTTGTTGTGTATTTCTTTTTAGTAGTGGTAGCAGTAATAACAAGCTTTACTCATTTTGGTTAAACAATCACTTATTATGCAGAGCCATAGAATTTTAACCTTTTATAGAAAGTTCTTATTATGTCATATTTTACAACAGTTGTAGTCATTATAGGAGGAGGAGAACGACCATTACAAACTCAGATTCTTATTTCTACGCAACAGTTACTATTGCAGTTCTATAAATAGTAAAAATGATATATTTACACCATTACTTTTTAATATGAAAAATCATCATCATCATATAATGCTTCTTCTTCTTCTTCTTCTTCTTATCATTGATGTTCTAATTCTTTTATTTTTTTTTAACACTATGTCATTTATTATTATAAAGTATAACCTTAAAAAAAAATAGGTGTCATACTAGGAAAAATTTAGATAAATTATTATTAAGATTATTATTAAGTATGTAAGTAAGTAAGTAAGCTTGTTTGTTAATTAGTTGGAATTTGTAATAGTAGTATTGGACCTATAGGATGGAACAGACGTTAGATCTTCTAATGTTTCATCGTCTACTAAAGATGGGACACTTGATAGAGTAGAAGAGTTCATCATGGTATTATTATTATCATCATCATCATCATTATCCTTCTTTGTAGTAGGGACACTACCATAAAAAATATAAGGTTGACATTTGACATATGAGGAAGGCGTATAAAATTCATGCCTTTCATTAACGTGACTTGTAAGACATTCTGAATTCATTGGTAAATAAAAATCCATGATATCTTCTTCATTTATTTCAACCCAATGATCCCTTTTACTTTCTAATGTGGGTGAAGGGGGTATGTATAATCCAGTTGTATCATCAATCGTAGATAACTTGTAGACCTCTGTTTCACCTGATTCCTTTAATGCTACAATAGCAGACTTCTTCTTTGCAAAACTAAAAGAAGAGGCAGAAGGCAAAAGCTTTTTTTTAGCAACTTGTTTATTCTTATCCTCTTCTTCACAATAGTCTCTTTTGATAAGTTCATCAATAGAGGAGCCCCTTTCAGATTTTTGCCAAAATTTGATAGGTTTTATAAATGATTTATATGTTGTTGTTGATGTTTCTGAAGTTGCTGATACCATTGTTATTGTTATTAGAGGGGAAAAAAATTAAATTAAATTAAAAAGAGAGAGAGAGACAAGGGAATACTTTATATTACAGGAAGAAATTTCTATTTATATTACGACAATGATTGTTGAAAAAAAAAAAAAGGTGTTATTATTGCTGTCATTGTTGTTTAAATAGCCAATAATACTATAGTATTTTGACCATAGTCATTTTTAATTTCAGAAACTCAAAATGATGTCTTTTTTTTTTTTTTTTTTTTTTTTTTTTTGGTGAAATATACAAGATAAAGTGTTTAGAAAAAATATTTCATCATCATCCTTTCATACATGTGTTTGATAAAGATGGATTTAAAATGGTGAATACAGAGAGGGGACAATCGTTTTTGATTTTTGGAGGGGTGAACCAAGTTTGAAGAGAGAGAGAGAGAGGGACACCAGAATGGTTGAAGAAGTTTCAATGAATTTCTTGGAAGTTATTAAGCTGTTTCAAATGTATGAGACACTATCGCGTAACTTGAAGAGACTATGAAGATATCACTTTGCGCTTGATAGTTCACTGACAAAGCTAGGAAAATTGGCCGTCTTTTGAAGAACGCCAAGATTGAGATGATAACCCATATAGTGTACAGAAGACAAGATATATGAGTTATTAATCCAATAACTTGTAAGTGGGATCATTATCTCCAAAATATTGCCTTTTATAAACTATCCATGTTATGTTTTCCTTTCGGTAATAATTTAGCCGAGTCATTATTGATTGGTCTAGAGATTCAGGTACACAAAATTTAGCAGCGCCAAGATCAAAGAAGAACTAAATATCAATTTTTTAAAATCAACAATTTTTGTTTTGTTCTCATATAGAGTAGTTTCTTCATTAGTTGAGTCAATTTTTATCAGTTTTTAAGCTTATTAAATTGGTCGTGGATGAAGAATAAATGCTTTGAACACCCAGAACCCTTATTACTGTGGCTTTTACATAAATATCAAATATTCATTACACAATAATATTGTATTAAACGATATCATCACGTCAAACATGAATTGTTAAATGTAAAGCCTCTAAATAAAACTCTTATTAAATAAGCAGTCTATCAAACACAATACCCCCCGATCATGCTTGTTGATAATATATATTATCAAGAGGTCAACATCTAACACAACACCAATGAAATAAAGAATCTTTATCATCTATTAACCACAAGAAAAGTATAAATTGCCAGATAGTTTGCGCAAGAAGAATAGATAGTTTTTTTTTTCAGAAATAATATGTTATGTGTGAAAATGTAGCAGCTAGTTTTCGTTATGTATTGCATAGAGAAATTATATCATTTCTTTATGAATTGAAAGGCAGTTGTTGCTGTTGTATTCCAAATAGGTAAAAGACATAGCTACGTTAATAACTTCTGATTACATTGAATCTTGTCATTCCTGACAATGTGTACTAGCAGCTTGAACAAAACTCTAGCTTAAATCGACTCTCTCTTTCACATAAATTGATAAACAGGCAGCTCCATGACTGTTACGACAATACCTCTTTATATAAATGTCAATACTTTTTTGCCTAAAGTGATAACAACAAAATATATTCTAAAAAAAAAAAAAGAAAAATTACATTATTCTAAGAGACAGATGTATACATATAAAATGTTATTATCAGAATAGTCAGTTGATAGAATAGGAATAGAATAACATAAAGACCTTTTATTGCGATAAAGTCAAGTATTTTATACATGTCTTTTTTTTTATTTGTTTTGTTAAACATTATAATATAAACTATGAATTATTAAAGTAATGGAAAGAAAAAAATAAAAATAAAAATAAAAAAAATAATGATATATATTTATATAAATTCATTTAAGCAGATTCTGCATGAGAAAGATTTTCCTTTTTTTCAGTGAATATTCCAGAATTGGCGTCTTCTTCACGACGAAGACCTTTTTCTGCAATCCACTTTTCTATGACTTCATGAGGAATCTTTTTACGAGGATTGTGTTCGAAAACAATATCCATTTCTTCAAGCTAAAAAAGAATAATAATTAAACTCATATTATATTCTCTTTTTTTTTTCCTATTTACCGTATAACCTTTAGTTTCAGGATAGGCAATAAAGACATGAAGAGCCATTAAAAAGTTAAAGGCGGCAAAAAGGAAATAAAGACCATATCGAATACGTTCCATTAATAAGGGAACAACAAAATTCAAAACCCAATTGAATAACCAATTTGAAGCAGTCGACAAGGAAACAGCCTTGGCACGAACACGAAGAGGATAAATTTCAGCAGGATAAATCCAACCTAAGGGGCCCCAGGTAGTAGCAAAACAAGCAACAAAGAGATAAATACAAGCTACAACTCCATCTGCCTTTGATTTACTAATCAATACTTGCCATTTACCATCTTGAGGGTTAATAGCCCATTGACCTGTAGATAGGACACCGCCTACAACCCATAAGAAAACAGACATCAGTAAAGCACCCACTATCATAGTCGGACGACGCCCCCATCTGTCGACATAAAGAATAGCAGGAATAGTCATGACAACATTTACAACATAGGAAACACCAGAAGAAACGAGTACAGCCTCTTGTGAATCACCAATACCAGCTTGTTGAAATAAAAAGACGACATAAAACATAATAATATTCATACCCGTCAATTGCTGCCAAACTTGAAGACATACACCAAGGGAGACACGATAGAACATACCTGGCTTCAATAAATCAGCATAACTATGAGAAGCGATTTCTTTATCAAAATGAATCGTAGCATTGATTTCCTCCATTTCAAGTTGAACTCGAGGATGATGAATATCACCATTACCATGAATATCAGCAATCACTTTTAAAGCTTCCTCTACTCGTCCTTTGCTAGCTAACCAACGAGGAGAGAAAGGAAAAGCCCACATACCTAAAGTAAGGATGATAGCAGGCACAGCTTGAACACCCCATGGAATACGAAAGGCAGCTGTATTTTTAATAAATTGACAGCCATATTGAATCCAAAAACTTGATTTAAATTAATATAAGTTACTATGATAATAATAATAATCAATCCATCCATCAACTTACGAAATCATAATACCCCAAGTGATAGCCCATTGTTGAACAGCAACTATACGACCACGAATTTCTTTTGGTGCAATTTCGGATTGATAAAGAGGAACAACCATTGAAGTAATACCTACTGAAATACCATTCAAGACACGACCTACACAGAGTAATGCAACACCATTACTTGCAGCTTGAAAAACTGAACCTATAATAAAGATAACCGATGCACCAATTAAAGTATATTTACGAGAATATTTATCAGCAAAGAAACCAGCAATTAAAGCGCCCACAAAGCAACCAGCTGAAAGAGAACCATTTATACCACCTTGTAACACTGAACCAGGATCATGAAAATAATCTTTATATCTACAAATCATAATGAATACCAGATTTTTTTTTTAAAAAAAAAGGTATAAAAAAACTACTTACTGAATGGTACCAATAACGCCTGAGTTTGAGCCAATATCAAAACCAAACATGATACCTGCAATAGCGGCAAATGCGCCAATTGCCTAATAAGTATACAAATATATATATATAAACATGTAAATAAATACTTTATAAATCATGATATATTTAATATTTACATAGACATTTGATGTGAGTCTCGTCAAATAACCCATATTGACGATTATTACTTTAAAATTAAAGATAAGATCAAATAATAATAATAATAAAAAGAATAAAAAAAATGTAAGAAAAAAGGTAAGAAAAAAAAAAAAGAAAGAAAGAAAAGGCTAAATTAATGAAATCAAATTTTGTCTTTTATTATATATATATATATATATTTTTTTTTTTTTAATTTTTAATTTTTTTAATTTTTTATTTTTTTTACCTTTATTTACCTCCTCTCAAAATACTAAATTCAGGGAATGGAGTACACATTCATCAAATAGGAAGTATTACTTAAGCCTTGAAGTCCTTCCATGTGATTTGTATAATGTAAAATTGTATTGGACTGGAAAATTTCATGTACAGAAGATGACAGTGATTAAGTAATCAAAGAAGTACAAAAAAAAAAAAAACTTACTGCTTTTCCCCTTAAGAAAAATGATCTTCTTGTGAGAAAATATTAAAAAGTTCCACAAGAATAAATAAATAAATTCCTGTCTATTGTTAAATATATTTATGATTCTTTTTCTTTTTTTAACAGGTTAGAATTTTACTATTCCACATAAATATGCATACAGGAATCTCTCATCTTCATTATTGACCACTTGATAACCTATTGAAATAAACATGTCAGTTACACAATCTAGTCATATTGTTATTATTATTATACACATATCCATTTCTCTTGTACGATAGCAAGTAGTAGAAGTAGTAGAAGTAGTTATAGTAGTCATTTCTGTATTACATTGAGTCTCGTTTCTCTTTTTTTTTTTATTATTATCAGAATAAAAAAGAAGGATATTGTACTTTACCTTCTACTTATTTATTATTTTATTTATCTATTTAAACAAAAAAAGATCAGTTTGCAATAAAGCAGAATATTTCTCTTTTGTTACTATTTTTCAAATCATCGGTATTCCGTGTAACAAAGTGTATACATGATAAATAGTTTCTTTTCTCTTCCCGCTTTCTTCCCCACATAAATTAACAAATTGGAGAATGTCTTACCATAAATTCTATGTGGGGACAAAATCATTCGTTTAATAAAAGTCGTTGTCGTTGTTTTAAATTAGGATGGATCTAAATCAACCATCTTTTATGCAGGAGATGTACATAACAACGTTATTTGACATGATAATATAAACTACTAGATTTATTATAAGAAAGAAGGGGGGGGAAGGAAAGAATGACTTGTAGCCTAGTTGAATGATCAGTATACTATGCTACAATATCAAATACGCCGCATTCTTCTGCTTTTCCTCAAAAATAGTGCTACTACTAAGGGGCTGTTTTCTACTCATTTAGAATTAGAATATTACAAGATGCGTGGCGGTGCTCGTTGTATGATGTTCCCCCGGTTTTATTAAACTGTATAACTTGATTCAATTACAGGGATTACAAGAAGGGTGCATTTATTTCAGTAAAAAGAATATCATGTCATGTTCCAAAAAAATAAATAAAGGCCTACACTATTATTCATGTTAAAGAACCGACTTCTTTTAGCTACAACTTGTTTCTTTTGTAAAGTGAATAAGTCAAAATAATCTCGATTTTTCTTTGTTAATCCCCATATATTCTTTTTTTTTGGTTCGCTTAATTTGCTATATAGTATTTTCAAATACATATTAAGAAAAAAAAAAAAACTATATTTGTATATAATGCATTCAAGGCAATGAGATTCGTATTGTTTCTGATAAGAAAATTGCAAAATGAAGGGTTTTGAACCAGCCAGTGTCTCATTAGTGAGTAGTCCATTCTTATTGTTGCGGATAGTATAAAATTAAATAAATTGTCCGCAATTATATTTAGCCTTCCTCCTCCTTCTCGCACCACCACCACAACATAATGTTGTGACTCTCTATTGACATAATACAAAGTTCTACCGAAAATCTGTAGCTGTAAAGTTGACTGCAGTTCTGTAGATATAATAAAGTCATTAGTGGCTATACAATCATCTCTCAAGCTGATCAAAGAATACTATGGTTCAAGATAAAGATATATATCTATATACATATATATACATATATCTATAAAGGGGTTCTAAATTGAAGAAGCATGTATGCTTGTTAACCTAAAGAAATTTTACTAGTAAACAAAAGAACATTTAGAATAGAATAGACTCAGATGGTTGGAACTTATTAATATAAATATCTCCTGTATAAAGAGATGATTGACTTAAAATAGCTTCAATAGGCGACAATAAGAATTCATAAATATTAGCCAATATTATACACATATAAAACATCACTTTCTCACTATTTTTTAACTTGTCAAGAAAATTGTCGTTCATGTCCATGCTATTTTAATTGTGACAATAACGGACAACTATCTACTGCTACATTACGTAATTCTTTCCTTCAAAACCATACAAATTTCCATTTACTCCAGCTATTATCTCATGCCTATAGATCTTTTTTTTTTTTTTCTACTATAAATAAAATTATCTTTGAACGCGTTATTATGAATTTTTTTTTACGAGCACGACGACTGAGTCCTTTTTCTTTAATCACACATAAAAATTTTCGGACATCTTCTTTGTCTGCTATATTTTTTAATCAACTCAACATGTCCACAGCAAAAAAAACTACAGTTAATTTAACAGAAAAAGTAGCTGTGAGCAATAAACGCGCTTCATCTCTAGACGATGGATCCGATAAAGATGTTAAAAAAGTAAAAACAACAAAGACAACAGTAACAACAGTCAAGAAAAAAAAGAGTTCAACATGGGAACCTTTTGATCCTTCATTACCAAACAACATGACATTTCCTACTCAATTTAATATTTCATCTAAACCTGAAGGTACCGTTAAAATTGCTTCTTATAATGTAGCTGGCTTAAATGCTTGCATCAAAAAGGGCTTCAATAGATATATTGATGCCGAAGATGCTGATATTATATGTCTCCAAGAAACCAAAGTCAACGCCCCTTTGTCTACTGCTGTTGATGATAAAGTATACAAATATCGTTATTGGTCATTTGATGAGAAAAAGGGATATGGTAATATAGTATACATGCATACATACATACATATATAACAGATTGCTAATCCCTCTTCTCCCCTCTTTTTTTTCTTTCTTAAAAAGCTGGAGTCGCTATCTTTTCTAAATTCAAGCCAGAACATGTAGCTTATGGAATACCTGGCTATGAGCAAAAGACGCGTGGAAGAGTGATTTCGTTAACATTTCCTGCTTTTACTTTAATTGGTTGTTACGTTCCTAATGCAGGTGATAAACTTGTTCGTTTGCCTGACAGACGTGTCTTTAATGATCACATGGAAAAATATATTCGTTCACTTCAAAAAGAAGGAAAAGCAGTTATCTGGACAGGGTAAGATTCATAATATATATATATGCATATATAAACGTAGATTGATGCACTCAACTTTATTTTATTTTTTAATAGTGATTTGAATGTAGCTCATACAGCTGATGATCTCGCACGTCCTGATACAAATCAACGTTCAGCAGGTTTCACAATTGAAGAAAGAACTGATTTTGATAAAGTTTTAAATCCCTCAACAGAAGATAGTTCTTTACCTGGCTTGATCGATACTTGGCGTCATTTACATCCTGACCAAAAAGGACATTATACTTATTATTCATATCGTTTCAGATGTCGTGAAAAACTGATTGGTTGGCGATTGGACTATTTTACAGTTACACCTGATCTAATCAATAATGTTGTTTCAAGTGAAATTAGACATGAAGGATGGGGTGCAAGTGATCATGTACCTTTAGTTTTAACACTAAAAGATGTGAAAATGGCCTAAGGAAGAAGAAGAAAAAAAAAGTAGTTACATAATAATTTTTCATTTATTTATTAGTGTATAAATAATATATGAATATACATATACATATACATATACATATACATATACATATACATATACATATACATATACATACATGTATATATATATATTTTTTTTTTGAAAATAGTTATAAATATCAAAAAAAAAAAGGAGAAGGGGGTTTTACAATGTCTACAAAAAGAGAGGGAGAGAAAAAAAAAAGTACATGCATAAATTAAGCAACGTTTGGTTTTTGTTCAATTTGATCCGGTTTTAAATCATGATGATGACCATCGGTAGAAACAGCAGCTGTCAGTGTAGGTGACGTTATATTAGATCCAGGGGCATGATTATAATAGGTGCCTGATTGTTGATAGTTAGCAGTAGAGCCCATCATATTACTTTCAACAGGATGATGGCCATAATCATGTGACATATAATCATGTTGAGGTATATTATATTCTTGTCCTTGTTGTTGACCATAATATTCTTGACTGTAATTAGAAGGAAGAGTTCCTTGTTGTTGTTGTTGTTGTTGTTGTTGCTGTTGCTGACTATAGATATCATGATAAGCCACGTTATTATTGTTATTATTATTGTAATCTTGGTATTGAGGTTGATAGGCTGTCATGTTTGCATTTTGATGATATCCATATTCTTCGTCATTTAAATTCATATAACCATTTGGATTAGAAGTAGGCGGTACAAATCGACGAGCATGTTGAAAAGGTGATGTAGAAGATAAGTTTTCGGAGGAATGCATAGCACTCGCTACTGCTCCTGCGCCAACAGCATTACTTAAATTATGATTCTCTGTCATCTTTATATCATAATCATCATCATTTGAATCAAAATTATTAGGACTATCACGACGACGAGTACGACTCGTACAACCTCCACGACGATTCAACCATGTAAAGATACCAGCAATCAATGCAACGCCAACTAAACGCAAGTATTAATTATTAAAACAAAAACTAGTATAATAAAAAGAAGACCTTTCATTTTCTCTCTCTCTCTCTCTCTCTTTTTTTTTTCTCACTTACCAAGACCACCAACTACTGAACCAGCAATAATAGCAGTTTTGTTCGGATTATCTTCTGTGTTATTGTCCTTTTCTTGTTGAGGGTTATTGATATTAGTAGAGGAACCTTTAGTTGTATTTGTAATGCTGGACTGATTATTTGAAGATTGTGTTGCTTGTTTCCCGGTCGATGAATTAACATTAGAAGTCGCAATAACATCAGCAGAGGAGTCGCTTGTGGGTTGTGGGTTACTATCCGAGACGAGTGTATTAGATGACGTAGCTACTATAGGATCTTGAGTACGTGTTGATTGAACGGGAGCCTGAGTGGTGAGTGGTTGAGTAGGAGCTTGTGTCTTTGGTGGTTGAGCTTGAGCTTCTGTCGTTGTTGTCGTTTCTTCTTTGGGTGGATCCACTTTTGAGGTAGTCACCGCAGGAGGTGGAGGTGCTGCTGTTGTTGCATCAGAAACAGCTGATGTTGTTGTATTAGAAACAGCGGGTGGAGGTGCTGCTGCTGTTGTTGCATCAGAAGCAGCTGATAGAGATGCTTCTGTATTAACTTGTTGTTGACTAACTCCAGCTTGTTGTGAATAAGTTAGACTTATAAAATGTATAACTATACAAAAAAGTATTGTTTTCTTTAAAGTAAATTTCATTAATCGAAAAAAGAAAAAGAAAAAAAAAAGAGAGAGAGAGAGAGGAAAGAAAAGAGAAAGAAAGAAACAAAGAAATATAATAAACGAGTTTGAAAGACAGTATAAAGTACCTGGTTTATTTTTATGGAAAATATTATATACTCCTTTTATTGTCTGAAAGAATCCCGAACCCATTCTAAAAAAAAAAAAAAAAAAAAAAAAAAAAAAAAAAAAAAAAAAAAAAAGACTGATTTATGTTACACTGCAAACTAACATTGATGTCTTAAATTAAGGAAGAGCAAGTATCAGCATCTATTTTTTTTTTATAATGGAAATAATCTGACGAATGGCATGATGTGCACTTTGCTACATAATAAATTTTATATCAGAAAGAGGAAGAGGAAGTCACTTTCTCGAAGTTTGTTGCAAATATGAAAGGTGCAATAGAGCTTATTTTGGACAAAGGTCTATTTTTAATAATATAATAAGTTTCGTGTTACATGTATCATTGATATGTAGAAAAAAAAAAGGATAATTTCCTAGTTCCCCTTTTTCTGAAATGCGGGGATTAAAAATATATTTGTGCCCTTTTGCTATAAGCAGTTATATCAATTATTTTATATTTTTAGTCTAATCCTTGCCCATTTTAATGTGATTTTGAAAAAAATAAAAATAAAAATAAATAAATTCTAAATATGCACAAGTTTGTTATTAAAGTTGTAATTAGTATCCTTTTTTTTTTTTTTTTTTGTAAACAGCATCTATATGATGGCTTATTTACCAATTTTAGTAAATTATAATAATACGCTTAGAATAATATTTTATTTTAAAGACCTAATTAGCACGAGATATTATTATTTAGTATATCAAATTTGTCCGAGTTGGATCGATTAAGGAAAAAAAAAAGGAACTAAATAAATTTCTTTAGGATTAGAATGGAGAAAACTGAGAATAAGAGAATTTTATAGCTGAAATATTATGGTATGTGGAAGGGAGAGAATCAACTTATTGTGTTAAAGGTAATCAAGTTTGTGTAGTAAGATACAGATACTAGACCATCCTATTTTTCAAGGACTGATGAATTGTGAAGTTTGAGGCTTTCTGCATGGAAGGCAGTTTAGATGGGGGTCGATAACTGTTTCTGGCATTTGTAGTCTACTATTTATTTGTAAACAATATATAGCATGTTATTTTGTGAGAAGCTGAGAAGTATGTTTAGGACAAAAAGTGAAGTACCCATTAAGCTTCCAACGTTATCGACATTCAAAGGATCGGGCCTATAGAAATCGTTAATTGACAAACGAAAAGGTGTGTAGAATGAGTAGCAGACCTATTTTATTCAAATTATTTTGTAGGAATTGTTAGTGTAGATACTTGAATTTTTTTTGGTATCTGAAGAGTGGGCTTCTGACAGGTACTTTTTTTATGATGGGGCTTTAGTGAGTTCCTAAAAGACGGTTATACATAGACCAAGAGGGTTTTTGTTAACATTGATAAGAATTATTTATATTATTCGAGAGAAGCTTAAGAAGATTGAAATGACCACCAGGACGAAAAGCAATATCGAGATAGAAAAAAAAAAAAAAAAAAAGAAGGTTGTTTCTGCGTGAGATTCACCACATATTTTATATGTTAACAATTGACTCTCAGAATCTAAAATGACGCATTTATTGGGATTCTATTGAAACCCAAGACTATAATTATGCTGCTCACATATACATAAAAGTTCAGTCATCTTGTATTGTCCATCTATAAGTACAGCACCATCAGCATACAGTGAACAGTTAACAAGCTGTACAAGTCGAAGGGATGATAAGTTCTTAGAAGGCTATTGCTACCATAATAATTTAAGTAATTCTTTGATGTAAATAGAGAATAGGAATGAAGAGATAATTGATCCCTGAAGGACCCCAGTATTTGGATGGAAATAATATGACAATAAGCTGTTTAAGATAACTTCTATTTGAACTTTATCAAAGATACTTTGAATGAGGAAAACAAGCAAGTTGAGAGCTGTAGTTCAAAGTGTATTTCAAATATAATGACGACTAATAGGATCGTAAGCGAGTTTCATGACCAAAAAGGTAAGCATTGATAGGATTTGATACTGATGTCAAAGAGTAATTATAGAGAACTGAGAGACACAACACCTTATTAAGTGATTCACATACAATTTAGAGACCAACTTGAGCGATATCTAATAAAGGGTTATTTGCTATTAGAAACTTTTTTAAACAGTATCTGGGTATTTTTTGTAAAATTGAAGTAAGGCTAATTGGAGGAGAACTGTGAATTTTCTAGAGACTCCTCCCCCTCTCCCCCCCTTTTTTTAATAGATTGGTATGACCTAAGTAATAAGCTACTTAGCTGGAATGTAAGATTATTGTTAGCATAATTAGAACAAAATGAAAAGGTTAGATGCAATTTTATTTTGTAAGGGATATAGCATTTCTCTGCATATATGATCGATATAAGGATCTTTCTTTCTAGATAAATTTCTGATAGACGTTTGAATATCATCAATCATAATTGAACAATTCGTAACAAGGAAAAAATACTTTTGATTATTGATTAGTTTATCTACATTAACTAGAGTAAGATCCAACAAGAGATGACTGGATTAGATTAAATAAAGGAGAAACGCCATCATATCTGTATCGCTTTTAGGGATAGTAGGATTAGAGAAAGACGGTTTTAAGAGTTCCTTTCTTTTTAATTTTATTAAATCTTGCAATGGCTTTGGTATATTCTCCAGCTTTCATTTTAGTACAAAATCATCTTTAAGTTCCTCGTCGTATTTGTAGCACTCATTTTCGTAATTTAGTTTTAGCTTTCCGGTTTAGAACCCAGTTTTCTAGACAGTTAGGGCTGGAGAATTTTATCCATTCTCGGTAGTAATGTTACAGCATATGGATGTGGCGTCTTTTTTTTTGGTATGATTTAACTATCCAATAATTAAATAAATTGTGAAGCACAGTTTTTATTAAATCCCCTATCACTACCAATGGATATCCTTTTATCTTGCATATTGCCATACATACAGCAGTCCTCTGCCAAATCACAAAGGTGCAAACTTCCAAAAATACCATTATGGAAAAAATGCCAACTCGACATACTATCATAAGATGCTAAAAAAAAAAGAAACTTAGGCACTTTCAACAACAGTTTCTGCAAAATATTTCAGATAAAAATCAAATCACTCTATCCTATTCTCTGGATAATAATGTCATTTATGGAATGTTAAAGATGTAGTATCCGTTAGCAACTTATATAACTACCGAATGATGACTGTTCTAGACATCCTTCATAACTTCTCTTCAAACAACATGCATTACACTACTTGCAGATTCATTGTAGACTATAAATCCTAGGAACAATCATCAAACCTATGTCATTCATTTAAAACCACTTACCTAGTAATAGGCTTTGAGCTATCTAGTTAGTCATTCCTCAGCAAATATGAAAGCCTAAAATCTGTATTATCTTACATGAACTTGATTACCTTTCTCACAATAAGCCATTCCCTTCCCCCACATACACACATATACCACTAGTATATTTATTTACTCTGTTTCTAGATACTCCTTTCATGCTCATATTTCTTAATAGTTAAAATAATTATTATTGTATATCAAAAGACCTGCAAATAAATTATAACATAATTGAAGCATATATATTTTCTTTTTACTAAAATATGGCTAACAGTAAAATGACTTTATTCATTTTTATTTTCATAATTAACCCTTCTAGTAAAATTGCACGTTATTGTTTCTATGAGCAAATAATATGGGAGAATAAGGACGCATATGCTGATGAAAGATTTCATACTGCCTATTATGTTAGGGTCCCTTTTTCCTCATTAATATAAGCCTGTTTATTGAACAATTCTTCAAAAAAAAAAGTCGATTGACTATACCCCTGAAATCAATGTTTCATCTATTATGCTATTCAGCTCCAGATAAATAAAACAAATCATTATGCCTTTAATATCTTTATCTCTGCCTTCTTTATCGTTACCTTTATGTAAACCTGACTAAGTGATTAGAAGCAAGTGATTGAATATAAACCTGTCGTAGCTAATAGACTATTAGGAAAAAATGTATTTATCAGTCTATCTATCTATGCATAATATAACGATAACTCTTCTGCCTATTATTTGTTGAATCGAAATATTTTTATTTATTTTTTCTTTTTTGTATAAATTGAGTGTTCATAGTGTTCAATTTAATAGTATTCTTAGCTTCTCACATATAAAAGAAAACTATTTATTAATTTAATATGTGTCAAGTGTGAAAAAAAAAGAGAGACCCTTACATACAGAAAGGGAAATAGAAGGGAGTAAAAATAGTATGTCTATCTGTAGAAGGATTCAACAATCAATCTTTATTTAATGATATGTTGCTTAAAAAGAGCGGAAGGGTATTACAATTCAACATTAATATTAACTTGGATTTTACTAATATATCAGCCTCTTTATTCGGACAATAACTTATAATGAAGGAAATAGATTGTATAATTTTCAAGAGATAAAAGCTTTAATCCTATTAGCAGCAGTTTTAATTATCCTTGACAGTGACAATAAAGAAGTCAATTTCAAAGTACAAGTGCAAAGTGTGTTGCTAGTAGTGCTTCTTTTTATCCACATTTTCCTTTAAATTAATTATTTATGTGCGATTGTCTTGTTCAGAGTAGTACAAACTAATAAAAGAGACATTTATGGATTCCGAAAGTTACTACTACGATTGTTTTTGTAATCAATGTAATGCCACCATTGCTTTAAATTAGTACGCATAATATTCTTCTAGAAGAAGACGAATACAAAGTAATGTCATCTTTGTAATAGTAGAATACAAGGCTTATTACTCTAAACTATCTTTACGTGAATACAGTGAATAACCTTTTTTTTTTTTTTTTTTACTTCTTCTCGGTCTATCCTTCTTTTGTTTCTTTCTTTTAAACCTTAAAATATATGACTTCTTCTCCCTTTTATCGGAACTATTGTTACTCCTAACTCAAAATTAAATTTTAACATTTTTATTTTTTTCTTTTTCTTTCTTTTCTTTTATTTTTTATTTTTGTTTTTTTATTTTTTAGTTCTATCGACAATAATCCAACATTTATAAGCATCATTTTTTAGACAATCATGCTAGTACGACATCATTATCATTCTACTTTTATTATATTATGCTTTATATACATTTACTGGACTCAATTATTACTTGGAGAACAGCTTATTAACGATTGTATTCATCCTACAAATTATTCTGATTTCACGTTACTGTTAATAAATAATAGTCTTGTTGTTACAGGTGGAAATTCCGTAAGAATGATTATTTAGTTGTAAAATAAAAAAAAAATAAAATAAACAGAAAAAAAAAAAAGTTAATTCTATATCATAGGAGACATTAGAAATTTGGACTCGAGACTTATCAGATGGTTTAAACATAAAAATCGAAAAAAATTGCTGGAGGAATAGAACGATAATAATGAATTATGATTATCCTCCACTACCATCGCCTTACAGAAATGGAATTGGATTTAAAATATCAGATACATCGTTTGCAATACAGGCAGGCGATACTAGTTCTCCATCTCTTTTGTCAAATTTAAATTTAATTGATTTATTAAGCCATAATTGGACTAGTCGTAAAGCCAAAATAAAATAAAACAAAGGGTTCTATTAATAATATATAACATATACACATATTCATTCATTTTATGTAGCTTCTTTACAAGGTGTTCAGCCCTCGCCAAGAGCCCGTATGTCAGTCTCTATCAATACTACAACTAATATTGCTTATTTTTATGGAGGAAGAACGGAATTAACACAGTCTCCAATGAATTATGTAAGACAATACTAGTAATAAAAAAGTAAAAGAGAAGGGAAAAAGAATATTGGATAGTAACATTTATGAAAAGTTTAATTCATTTTATAATTTCGATATTAAAACATTAACGTGGAATTGGCCAAAAGTATTTTATTTTGGAGGCATTAGACCTGCAAGATATGGTCATAGCAGTAATTTAATGTAAACATGATAAATATATTACTTTTACTATGTTTATAAATATTGACTTTTTTTTTTTTTACCTACTTAGATCTAATAGATTATTTATTATGGGTGGTAAGACTACAATTTTCTCTTCTGAATTAAATGCTTGGACATTCTCTCCTAGTGATTTTCAAAGTATTTTAGGTACATTGAAAGTCATTTAGACATAAAGAATAAAAAAAAAAAAAATTCACATATATAATTATAGTCTATGATACGACTCAACATCAAGCTGTTACAATGGCAACTATCGGAGATGTACCTCCTGCTAGATATAGGTAAAATAATGAGTCAATCCTTTATTTGTCAACTTATTCATTGTTGTTATAAACTAGTTTTTCCACAGTTAATGGTATAAAATATATTTATATGTAATTCTATTAAATAAGTATACATATTTATAATAGTAAACAATTATCTTAGCTCCTGATGGTGAATCTATTGTTTTATTTGGAGGACAGAATGCTACTAGTCTGCAAGATATATTTGATGCGAGTAATGATGTATATATTCTAAATACATGTACATTGAATTGGTCACAGCCAATCATTAAAGGCAATCCACCTATTGCTCGTGCTGGACATGAAGCAATTGTTTATAAAAATAGATATATGATTGTCATGATGGGTACATGTTTTTTTTTTGTATTTATATACATACACATATATTTAATTTTTTTTTTACTGTATAAATTACTAATTACAACAACAAAAAGGAATTCAAAATTTTGTTAGTGGAATAGGTCCTGTTTATATTGATGATATTGCAATTCTAGACATGAAAACATGGACATGGATTTCAAGTATATCTGAAGATAAAGACTTTGTTAGTGTTCCAAACTGTCGATTTACCTTTCCTATTGTATTATCTGACAATAATACCACGTCTATTAATAATGACGGAAGCAGTAATAATAATATGACAACTGTTTCAAACCCACATTTGAATAGCAGCACTAAGCAACTAGCATTAGGAATTACTTTTGGTATCTTGGGATTTTTATTATTGACAACAGCTTTTGTGATATTTATCATGAAAGTAAGGAAAGATATTGATCCTAAACAAAATCCTCGGTGGATACCTAGTGTTTTAAAGAAAAATATGGATAGCAGGCAACATGCTTAATACACGCATCTGTATGTATACTCTATAAGATCTGGTATATTGACAACATTATTAAATGAATATAAATAAAATTATTTCTGTTCAATCCTTTATACAAATGTTGCTATTCATCTTTTCTTTCTCTCTCTCTCTTTTCTCCTCCTTCCCCATCTCACTCTTCTGTTATTTCTTCAAAGAAGAAAATGAGTCATAGTAATGAGGAAGTTGTATACACAGTTAACTTGCATGGTCATCATTTAATACCAACAAAAGAAGAGATAGAAACAAATAAACTACAAGATGCATTAGCCATTCCTTGGGATGACGACAATTTTTCATTATGTCTTGATACCTTTCCTACTTCTCGTTTCGCAAAAACAAAATATAACAGATTCCCTACTGTTTCTTCCCCACTTAGAAAACACTGGCATCATTCTAATTTATCTGAAGAAGAAGAAGAAGAAGAAAAAGTGAATGGTACTGTTTTATACGATGTTTTGTTACCAGGGGTAAATGAAGAAAGGAATGAATTCTTCACTCTCCATAATAATTCTACTACATCGACTCCCGGCATGAGTTTAAATACGAGAAAAAAGAAGAATGAAAACCCATTCCCCTCTAGTAAGCACCATCCTGTGAAAGAGGTTGTTATTGGCGGAAGATTTCCTTACAATAATAATGGTAATTTTTTACCAGACAATTCTGTAGTAGTAGTAGCAGCAGCAACAGCAACAGCAACAGCAACAGCAGCCAAAGAAACTGAAGGTCTTGCACCAGCAAATAAGAGTCATGGCAATCAAAAGAGAAAGCCATCACCTATTATTACTCGCACACAAAAGACGCATCAAGTAGAACATCTTTCTCCACTCTCGGATTCTTCTATATTTCTTCAAAATGAGAATGATGTCTTTAATAAACCACAGACTCCCTTATCCTATTCTTCTTCTCTATTATCATTATCCAGTAGAGGTTCTTTACCTTCATTAATCAAAAGTCCATTAAAACCTGTCACACCCAACTCACTCTCAAGTTATTCTATAAAGCATGGTAGCAGTAGTGCTAGTATAGTATCCAATAACAGTGCTACTACTGAGGCCTGGAAAGTGACTCACCCTACAAGACACCATTCTCCACATGCATCTTTAAATTCTCTAAACAAAAGCCTACCATCTCAACCTTTTAGACCTCAATATCCAGCTTTAAAAAATACGAACCATTATCTTCCTCAACAGCCCACGACTAGGCCTGTATATGAAAATTCTTGTTATCGCAGCATGTCTTCTTCTGACATTATTGGTCATGACTACTTCTCTCCAGAATACAGCAATCATAGCAGTTATCATACACCGAATGGTTCCATGTCAACAAGTAAGACACCATCTATGTTAAGCTCTCAATCTTATCATAGTGTTCATATTTCCAAAAATGCCGATAATCTTGTATTATATGAATCTTCTCTTCAAATAGATTCCAATATATCGGATCCAGTTAGACCTTATTCACATTTATTCAAACCTTCTACTCATCGACAAAATAGTAAACAATATAATCAACACTACAGGAAGAAAAAGCAAGCCAGTTTATTTACAAGACTTATGAAGAATATCAAGCATCACTTTATTAAAACAGAATCCTAATATTTTTTTTTTATTTTTTTATTTTTTTTTATTTTTAAAGAATAAAATAAAATTACTGTTGTGACTTGAAATACAAAAACGATTTATTCTCTCTCTCTGTCTCTCTGTTTTTTTTTTTTTTTTTTTTTCTTTTAATAAAAATTAAAATCATGTCATTTAGACCTACACAGAATCTACCAAAACCTACGAAACAAGCTAAACGTTATCGAGCAGGTCATGTACCCGAGAATTATGTTGACGATCTTTCTGACTCTGAAGAAGAGTCTGAGAATGAGCAACAATCATTATTAAATAATGAACATACTAAACGAGGCGAACTTCATTTTGCGCAAAAAGAAGTCAATACAGGTATTCAACAAATAACATTATCTGATAAAGATGTAAGCAGTGATCGCCGTTTAAGGCGTTTACAACAAGCTCAACAACAGAATGATGGTATAAGAAGCAGAAGAAGACGAGAAGTTAATTCCTCTGATGAAGAAGACCAAAATGAAAGTGATGATGAAGAAGAAAAAGCAAGAGAACGAATGCGTTTAAAACAAAAAGCTCTTCAACAACAACAAGAAGAAGAAAGTAATATACCTAAACAAGAGTCAGAGGAAGAATCAGAAGAAGAATCAGAAGAAGAATCAGAAGAAGTAAAAGCATAACACACACACACACACAAAAAAAAGAAAGAAAGATGGTTTTAATTAATTCTTATGTAATTAGGAGTCAAGTGAATATGATTCTTCAAGTGAAGAAGACACAATTGCTCGTTTACCGAAACCTGTTTTTATACCAAAATCTCGACGTGAAACAATTCTACAACAAGAGAAACTTGCCAAAGAAGCTGAAGAGCGTGAAAAAAGATTAGAAGAAGAATTAGAACAAAGAAAGAAACAATCTCACGATATGCTAGCAGAAGAACTTCGTCGTGAAAGAGAACGAGGTAATTATCAAAGATTCTCTTTTATGCATATATATATATATTTATATCTTGTTCATTCTAATCGTCTTGTTTAAAATAGCTGCACAAAAGGAGATTAATGAATTTGAAGAAACAGTTGATGATACAGATGGTTTAGATGAAGAAGCAGAATTTGATGCTTGGAGAGTAAGAGAATTAAATCGTATTAAACGCGATAGAGAAGAGCGTATTGCGTAAGTTTTCTTTTTTTTTTCTCCTCTTGTTCATGACATATATACATGTATATATACATATATTTACATACCTTATTTATTATTAAAGTCGAGAGAAGGAAGAAGAAGAACTAGAACGTAGAAGAGCACTTCCAGAGGAAGTTCGATTAAAGGAAGATTTAGAACGAGCTAAACTGACTAAAGAACAAAAGGATCATGGTCAGCAACAATTTATGCAAAAATATTATCACAAAGGTGCATTTTATCAAGATACAGATGATGAGATATTTAAACGTGATTATACTGCACCCACAGTGGATGAAGTACGTAATAAGGAATTATTACCAAAAGTGATGCAAGTCAAAAACTTTGGTCTTGCAGGTAGAACAAAATATACACACTTGGTAGATCAAGATACATCAACGCGTGATTCACCTTGGGAGAAGCCATTAGCTAAACGCAGAAGAAAGAATGATAGTACTAGATATTAACTGGACTTGTACATAAATATTATATTTATCATATACAAATTTAATAAGTAGTAATAAATCATGAATATGCCAAAACGATATACATGCATACATATTTATACATGCCATATTACATAATATAATACATATCAGTGTAATAGAGTACATTATATTCTTATTAAACAATTAAATAATTATCCACTAACTTTTACCATATAAATAAGTTGCATAAATAACTAGTAATGCACCAAGACAGAAAATAGAAGTCATCTCAAAATCAAATAACCAACAACTGATCACACTAGAGATGATGATACTAATACTGGTTGCAAATCCTTTTAAAATATTATCCGCATAACGCACAACTAATCCAACGATTAAGCCACCACCTGCTTGAATGAGAATCACTAACCAAGTCAAAGGAGAATAATTTTGAAAGAAACCCTTTTCCCATATAATTACGCCGTCTTGTAATCCTACCGTAAACAGACAACCTAACAAGACTGAAAAAACTGATAATTGAATATTACGAATCCATAATTCAGTTTGGATCGAATGTTCTGATTGACCGTATAGTAAATGATCCAACTTATGTTCCTCTTTTACTTCCTTATTTGTAGATGAATTCTTTACAATCTTTTCAAAATAAACACCGGCAATACCAGAAAGAATACAAGCTGCTAAAACAGCCATTAATCCTATCATATTTGATTGATTACCAATTTTGTTTAATTCTTCATGTCTCTCATGACTTGTTGATGACTCGTCTTCTACAGTCAACCATCCAATCTGCAATGCATTTTTAGGTAGCACAACAAGTATAATGCCTATCGTTAAGATACCTAATGCTAACCATTTTGTATTTGAAAGCTTTCGTTGAAGAATGATGACTGTAAAAAATGCTGTGGTTAAAATTTTAAGTTGATATGTAATTTGAAAGGTAGCAGCGTCTAAATTTGTAGCAGCTACATATTGAAGATTGTTCTATATATATATATATATGCATGTATATAAATATAATAAATCTATTTATATATAATTTTAAAATGTGGCCTACTTGAATTAAATAAAGAATAGCAGGAAGAGCTAGTTTGATCGTTTCTCTCCAATCAATGACTATTTCTCTATATAAAAAAGCAATTAATCTCCTTAAGGATCGGCCAGATTTAGGCAAGAATGTATAAATGACAAATGCGCAAACAAGACTTTTAATGACTTCACTCATTAACACAGCTGTAGATGCTAAATATAATTTATCTGGAGGAACACTTGCTCGAGTATACCGCATTAATAAAATAAGTGCACTGTTTTGAATAACAAGTGTAAATAACGAAAGGTATTTCAAATACTTTGTGCCTATTTTCCTACACATTTGAGATTTTTATCTAGTCAATTTTTGTATTCAACATACTCTTACCCATCACAACTAATATATAATAATATAAAGAGAAAAGACAGTGAAACACCCCTTTTTTTCATGCTTTTTTTTTTAAAAAAAAAAAGACATTTTTTCACTATACACACCCCCATTATTTAAAACACACACACACACACACACCAAGATACAATTGCTTTTAATTTATGTATAAAGGATAATGATGATATACTTGTATTTATACATGAATATGGTATAGATTAATAAAAATTATAACTGCTAGTAGCAGGATAATGTTGCTGTGGATGATATGGATATGATGTCAAATTTGTATTACTGCCATTATGAGAATAAGGAGAAGACCAAGGTTGCATTTGAGCATGAGTAGTTAAAGCTAATTGATCGCTATTGATTGAAGATAGACTATTTCTCCTTACAAAAGGTGAACCCATCATAGTGTAAGGTATTTGTTGCTGATGATAAGTTGGCCCAATAGGATGATGATTATAGAATTTATTATCATTGATATCAATATTAGGTAAAGTAGGTTGAGGTAATGATTGCATTTCTATATCTTCTTTTTTATTATTTCTATGTTTCTGTGTCTTGTTCTTTTCAATTCTTTTCTTTGCCTGTTTTCTAAGTATTTCTTCTATTCTATTTATTATTTCATAAACATCATAGAATGGCTATCATTTCTATTGTGTATCTCTATACCTTTTGTCTACTTTATGACAGCAATATTCTTTTAAATTACCCTGAATATGGCAGAGAACTGGAATATAAATGATAGCAGCAGCACATAATAAAATAAAAGAAATAGCAAAAATAGCAGTAGAAAAAACCATAGTCCCTGTCATGATACGTTGAATTGTATTCTTACCCAAGCCATCATTATTAATAAGTACTCCATTACTAATATGAATCCATTTGGGAATAATCGTCTTTAATGTAACAACATTAATCACTTGTCGGGGTGCTTCTGCTAAAAGAATTTTTTTCCAACCTAATTTTTTTTTTAAAAAAAAAAAATAAGACATATAAATATTTATTATCTCTTTAAATATCTACTTTTTAATGTAAAAAATACAAAAAAAGCAATCGAATCTATTGATTTTCTTGAATTATTGATTTTTCGAAACAAGCAAAAATATTTGAAGCTTTTAGTTGAATACCAACGATTAGCAATGACAGAAAAAAAGGCGTAAGATATATCTCTAGATGCTATAATATTTCTTGCTTTTCGAATGTCCCAAAACAACAAAATAAATGAAATCATAATAGCACCCAAGAAAATCCATTTTGCAACATCAGGAGGAATAGAGGCGTCAGCATTTATACTTGAATTACCAATAACTAAAAGTGAGACTAGATAATGAAATGGACATATATTTAGATAAAATAGAAGGAATACTGTAATTATAATAATTTACTTGCTGTCCATAAATCGGCTACATAAACTAAGAAACCTTTTAAAATCAAAAAGAACATGTAAATATAGCTTGTTCGTGCAGTGCAAGAAGGATCATAAAATTCATTTATATCAACAAAGTCAAATTTATGATCTTTTACTACTTCTCGTTTCCATTTTGGCCCTTTTCCATTTCCACAGCACTAAAAAAAAATGAACCACTTGTTAATCTTGAGATTATTAGATTAATAAACTCGATGAACTTGCCATTTCAAACTTTTTTTTTAAAAAAAAACAAGGAAAAAAAGCGTAGGAATATAATTTATATTTGTGATACTATAATAAGTTTTTAATTCAGAAAAAATATAATACAAACTGAAATTAACGTTTTTTTTTTTCAAAAAATAAAATAAAAGAGAAAGAAAATATATTCAAGACATTATATGCAATCATAATATGCTATATTAAATGTGCTCCTTCTTACAAAAAGGAGGTAGTCAGGAACAAGAAACAAGCGGAGTTATTAACATCAGTGAATACATATCCCAATCTTTAATGATTATTCTACTCTACTTTGAAACTATAAACGAAAAAAAAAAAGAAAAAAGATAATTAAATATCCACCTTGTTTATAAGGTAAATTAAAAGATTTAAAATTCACGTATTTATTTATTTTTTTTTGGCAATTCCTTATATTCTTTTAACAAGAAACTAGGATATATATTTGTGTATGAATACATTTATTCAAACATTTAAAGTATAAAAATGGCATTTAACATTACGCATTATTTTATATGAGCAATTTGTTAACTATTTATTCATAATAAGAAGCGTAAATTATAATTCATTTTATTACATCCAAAAAGAAATATTCTAAAAGAAATTGCAACTGACACATTCATCATTTGAATTTCAGAAATTAATTTTAAACTTCTTTATCATCACCAATCAAGAAGCTTTGTTGAAACACCGAATGTTTTATCATTGTTTGTTGTATTCATCTTCCCTTTTATGATTTCAACTACTTTTTTTTTTTCTTATTTCTTATTTTTTTTTTTCTCTTCTTTTATAAATTTATTACCATGGAAATAGGATCCATAGAAACAATAAATCCTGCTGATTTATTGAATAAAATCGAAGAGACCGCCTATTCTGTGAAATTCATGGGCAAAAAAAAGAATGTAGATAAACTTTTAGATCTTTTAGATGAATTAATTCAGTTATCAGCTGATCGTTTCATGAGTTTAGGTGATAGTGAGCATTTTGATATTCAAGAAGAAGATCATGAGCAACAATACATTGTTCACCCTGATGATCTTATTCGAGCAAGAGATTATTCGAATTCAGTTTTATTAAAGATAATTTCTACAGAATTCATTTTTCATGATGATAAAGACGATGAACGTATCGAAAGAGCATCTAGAATTGTAGCTCACATGTCTGGTAGAGGAGGTAAAAAAAAAAAAAAAAAAAAAAAAAAGAAAAGAGAAAAATATATAAAAAAAATTTTTTTTTTTTATGTTTTAATATTTATCCAATCATAATAGCTGCGGGATCTATTACTCGCACGTGGCATATTCCGTACCTGAATGCAGATGGTGTTCGACAAGAATTACTCGTTTATCTCCATGAACCATGCTATATTGGTAATGATTTAGGATTTAAAACTTGGGGTGCAGCACCTATGATGGCCAAGTAAAGTATATCAATGTTATATATATATATATGTGTATAGAAAGTGATAGGCTTATATATTATACAATAATAATAGGAAATTGCTTCAACAGAACATTATACCCAATATTTCAGAATGTTCTGTTCTTGAATTAGGAACTGGCACTGGTATGGTTGGTTTAGTATGTGATCATTTGGGCGCTGCAGAAATTCATGTGACAGATTATCATCCTAGAGTACTGGAAAATGTGGCATATAATATAAAACTAAACAAATCTCGAGCCAACGTTTCAAGATTGGACTTTATTGAAGTTGCCAAATCAGTAAATAGTAATGAATGGCAAAATATCAAATTTGATGTTGTGATAGCCAGTGATTTATTATATGAAATGGAACATGCTGAATATCTTCCGATAGCTGTAGAGAAATTAATGAAAAATGACTTTTATTTTATGATTCCTTTAAGAGATACACATTGGAAAGAAGTAAATCATTTCGAGACTAAAATGGAATCATTAGGTTTGATTTGCAGAAAAGTAGAAGATTATGAAAGAGAAGAAGAAGAAGGTCTTGTTCAATTTAGATATTATGAATATACAAGATGTCTGTGATACAATAACGTCATTTAGAATAAAAAGAAGTAGTAGTAGTTTTTACTAGTTTTTTTTTTTTTTTTCTTCTTTTTCTTTCATATTTAATTTATTTATGTGTGAAGTTCAATTTCAGTCTTCCTATCCAAAGAAAAGTAATTCAGTAGTAAATGAAGATGAAAGATTAAAGAGAAATGAGAATGAGTTTATTACTCCTAATATAAATTCAATCACAACTATTATACCTTCACAAACTAACTTTGGTAAAAAAAAAAAAAAAAAAAAAAAAAAAAAAAAAAAAAAAAAAAAAAAAAAAAAAAATAGATGTATAAATAAAATAATACATTATGCTTTATATTTTTATATTTATAAATATTTATATACTTTTTTTTTTTGTTTGCTTCTTTTTTTTTTTTTCTCTCTGATATTTTTTTTTCCTTTTTTCTTAATAAAGTTAGTAAACATAATAAGAATAAAAATATGAACTATAATACAACACCTACTCCAAGCTATAAACCATTAACAGTAGAAGAAACAGCATCACAGCATAAAAATAACTATTATCAACAAATTAGTTCAAATAATAATGATGCTTGGGTAGTGAGAAATACTACTTCATCTGACAATAATATCGGATTAACAGCTGAGTCTTCTTCTTCTACAAATAATAATAACGATAATGATGAAATACAGCAAAGACAGTAAGTTGGTTATTCTAAACAGGACGGAGGAGAGTGAAAAAAAAAAAAAAAAAAAAGAATGAAGCACGTGATAATATAAATAAATAAAAAAGGGGGGGAGAGAAGAGAGGGCAGGGAGAGAAGTGAGAGGGAAATTCAGTTCATAATATAACATAAATGTAGTTTACAACAATTATTTGATAAAAAAAGAAAAAGAAGGGAATCACATAATGCAGTTGAACGCAGAAGAAGAGATAATATTAATGAGCGTATTTTTGAATTATCTACACTTTTGCCGGAAAGGAATGCTGCAAAGGATCACAAAGGAAATATATTACGCAAATCAGTAGATCATATTCGATTATTACATGAGAAAGTAAATCAATACCAGCAAAGAATACAAGAACTCGAAAGGTTATTAGAAATGTATCGAATGAGATGGGGAGATTTAAATCATAATAATGTTAATACAACAACGACTAATTTATCAGGAATTCAGCAATCACATCATTTTAAATAATCATAGTTTATTTAATCGTTCATTAAAACTTATTTCTTGTTTTAATCAAGATTAAATTAATTAGTAAGAAAGTTTTATATATATTATTTTCTTTAATATAAGTTGATTTTAATTATAATACATGTAAGCCAAAAAAAAAAAAAAAAAAAAAAAAAAAAAAAAAAAAAAAAATACATTTATATTCTATAGTAGTATTTGATGTCTATTATTAATAATAAAACTCTCATCTTGATCATTTTAATACTTATTGAAAGCATTTTCGGCTTTAATATGATGATACATATTATTGTGAAATAAGACTGAATCATGTAGCAAAGGTCGATATTGATTTCGATATAGTATTGGTAAAGATTCATTATGATTATCGCTTGTAGAAAAAGGTTTTTTATTGTAGTGTATTGATACTATATTATGACTGTGTTGTGTGCTACTACTAACATGCTTCATTTGTTTTGGTAATTGAGAAATATATGTACTTGGTGAAGAATATCTATCTGAATGGAATTTTTTAGATGATGCTTCCGTTGTTGTATTATTATTATCTAGAGCTCTTAAAGACGTATTTGTATTCGCTTTTAATGAGGAAAATTTATTTCTTCCAGTATTCCTATTATCAGTGTTATCCTGCTTTATGTGATGACATGAAGATACTGAATGTGTCTATATATTTGTTTATATTATAATCAGATTTAAATGTTTATCATAGACAAAGAGTTACTTACAGTTATCGTAGTTGGACATATGCCACTGAGAGATGAAGAGTAGTTACTATTATCATAATGGTTGAATTTAGGAATAGTATCAATCCAACCCTTCTCAATATTATTATTTGTATTTATTAATTCGCTATTTCTAATAGATTGATAATGACTATCATAACCTGTATTATAGCTGCTGGTCATATTAGTTTGTATATTCGCATTATTAGTAGAATTGCCATTAAAAATAAAGGAAGTAACTCTTTGATTTGCTTTCAACTGTTTCTTTCTTAACCATAGGAATAGGCAGCAGAATACGACGATAACAAAAAATATCATTATAAGACCAATTACTATGCCAGTAATTTGTACATTAGATAGAGAATGATTATCAATAGTAGATGAATCAGAGCTCTGATTACTATCTATGTTATTATTGCATATATGTGAAGAAGCGTCTACTTTATCTGTATAGAATATTTTACAAATAGAAGATGTTGCTGCTAAAGTTGAGCTGCTACTACTTGAGACAAGCTTAGTAGTAGTGGTCATGTCTAAATGATTTTCGGAAAGTATGGTTTGCTTAGAAGAAATAGGACTGGGTTTATCGATCTCATTCCAGGATTGTTGAAGATCAGGTGATATAGTGCTATCTGAATATGCTTGATTTTGCAATGTATAGGAAGGTAATGGATTTACAGTATCTGTTATTCTGATAAATGGTAATAGTGTTGAAGCAATTGTTTCTGTCATTAACATTGATATCATTACTGTTGATGATGGTACTTCATTAGATATTATTCCTTGTATTGAAGTTGTAATAGACGGATTCGCTAACAATAAGCTTGTCGAAGTTGCTTGTACCAGTATATGTGTTGTTGTCATAATTGTTTTCGATAAGTGTTGGGTAATGGACTCCATTGCTATACTCATTTCATATACAATTAAATATATAAAGAGGGTAAAAAAAAAAAAATAAAGAAATAAAGAAAAGAAAAGAAATAATATACTTATTATAATTCAATAAGAAATCATATACAATAATGTCTATTCTTAGTTTCATTAGTTTGTAATATTCTAATAATGGATGTAAATACTCAAATCATTGTTAAGTGATATGGCTTTGTACAACTATAATAAATATTCTTTCAAGTTATGCGCATGTATAATTTTAATATGATTGCACGCATTGATTATGTCAAATTTTAATTTTAGCCCTCAAAAATAAAATAGAATTTGATTATATCATTTAAGAATGGATAAGTTACTTACTTCAATTTAAACATAATAAGTCTTCTTGTATATTTAAATGAATTCGTACCTAATCAATCCTTCAGTGTTTAATTATTAGATCATACATTGTCACTTTGAAGCTTGGTTTGTCTACGTTTTTGACAGTCTAATTTTACACGTGGAAAATAGAGACTTTTTATGTATATATAATATATATGCTTTTCTTTTTTTTTTCTAAAACTAATAAACAAATACATATATTTTATTTTATTTTAAAATGAAATATAACTTTTTACATTAAAATAGGGTCGTAGTATTAAATATGATTGAAATTTGGCATGTTATCTACCGCGCCAATACCTACAACAGCTGCTTTACGCTGTAAATACTCTTGAGCTACACGTCGCACATCGTCCACTGTCACTTTAGAAACCAATGCTTCTACTTCTTTTGGTGACAAACGTTCGCCTGATGTTAACAATTGACGACCAATATCTTCAGCAATAGACGTGCTTCCGTCTAAACTTAATAAGAGACCAGCTTTTAATTGTTGTTTAGCACGTTGAACTTCTTCATCTGTAACTGAAGTTGACAAACGATTCCATTCATTTTTTGTTGATTTAAGTAAATCTCCAAGACGATCCTTATTTTCTGAAATTAAATAAATACCCCAAAGGCCAGTATCCTTATACGATGTATTAAAAGACATGAAAGAATTAGCAAGTTGATTATTATGTAAAACAGAGGATAGACGAGAGTCCATGTGTCCTGTAGCACCTAAGGATCGATCCCAAGAACCAATAATAGATTGCATAACTAGCAAAGGGAAATAGTCAGGAGATGTCCAACTAGCGCCTTCTATAGCGACAGCAATATGTGCTTGCTGGGCATTAGGATTATTGATTCGTAATTCATCGCTTATGAATACAGCCTTCTTCATAGCGCTCTTACTAGTAGATGCGTTTAACTTGTTAGGTAACTGACCAAAATGGGTCTCGGCAAGTCGAACAAGTGCATCATGATCAACACCGCCTGTACCAACAAGTATCATTCGTTCACCTGTATAATTTGTTTTAATATAATTTGAAAGATCATCGCGTGTTAAAGACTGAATATTTTCTTTAGGGCCTAAAATAGTTAATCCTAAAGATTCATTTTTAAATGCAGTTGCATGTAAATGATCAAAGACAACTTCTTCCATTTGCTTTTCAACTTCTTCTTGTTCTCTAAGAATTACATCACGTTCTCTTTCAATAGCTCCAGGATCAAGAGTTGAATGTTGAAGAATGTCTGAAAGAATTTCTACTGCTTGAGGTACATCATATTTGAATGCTTTTGCATAATAAACTGTTTGTTCTCTAGAGGTGTAAGCGTTTAAATGACCACCCATATTCTCAATTTGGAGTTCCAAATCTCTTTGGCTTCTTGAGCGAGTTCCCTATTGAAATTATTTATTTAATACTTTTCATTTTTTTTTTTTTTTTTTTTTTTTTTTTTTTTTTTTTTTTTTTTTTTTTTTACTTTAAATGCCATGTGTTCCAAAAAGTGAGCAGCACCATTATTTTTTTCGCTTTCAGCACGAGAGCCGGCATCGATCCAAACACCAACAGTCGCTGTTTGTGAAGTAGGATTTTCTTCTGATGCTACAGTAAAACCATTAGGTAAAATGGTTTTACGTAAAGTAGGAAGCAAATTAGTAGCAGTTGCTAAACTGCGACGTTGCTATAATTAAAAAAAGAAGAAAAAAAAGATCATGTCAGATTATTTAATTACTGAAATTTTATCTTAATTCACAACTTGATATTTACAAAAATATTTTTATTTGCTCCTAAAAGAGGTTTGGTGAAATTTGATAATAAGAATTTTGAAGCCATTATACACGATGATGAATGATAAGAAAAAGTAAAATATACAGGGCTGCACAGTTGAAGGTGCTAAATAGTTTTCCCCGCACTACAGACAATATCAAAAATAAATACAAACCAATCATTTAAAAGATTAGTAACTGTATATTTATCCAATAATGATTATTAAAAACTAAAGTCATATATATGAATAGATAATACGTCTATAATGTTTTTCTTTAATTAACATTGCTTTTTAAATATTGATAATCAAAATTGAAATAGTAAGACAACTCTTCCGTTAATAATTATCCTTTGAGTTAATCTATTAAAGGAGTATACAACTTTTTTATAAAATTCTTAAGAAATATATAAAAAATATACATTTATATAAAACATGACTCTGAGATACGCCATATATAATCAAATATCTCTTATTTTATTCAGATTACTAATAAAGTTGGCCAGCTAATATAGTTATTATCAAATCAAATTTTTGACATGCTGAGTAATATTCCATAAGGCATTTTTATGCCGTCTTCTTTTAGAGATGCAGTCCTATTATTGATGCCGCTTTTTTTATCTCCATCGGCGAGGATATCTTTATTGTCAGATAAAGTAAGCAAATATATAGTATTATTTCCTTTATACTATTATTGAAGTTGTTGATGGGCTTCTGTTTAAAATTACCTCAATGCTTTGTTAATCTTTTTCGTTAGCATATGTAAAGGGCCAAGAGTAAACTTTTTCCATCGCTGTAATAGAGTTATTGCTGAAAACTTTAAGGCTGCTTTGTTCAGCTTCAATAAATTTATCAAAATATTTATTTGATTTTGTTTTTGAAGCGTGTATTGGAAGTCTTACTTGGATTAAAGTAAGTAAAAGAAAAAGAAAAAAGAAGAACGCATGTCATAGTGGCTGTGATCTATAACTTGGTCCAATTAGATTAACAATAATTAATTATGAAAATATAAATTATAGTCTCTAAATTCTATATACACATCATAAAAGTAAATGAAGCATTACATTTAAAAATATATCTTCGTGTTCTAGAAAGGAATTCAATACAATGAAATCCTTTACAAGATAATTTGAAGCAAGCTGAAGATAAACTAACTGAAATGATCAAGCTTCAAACTAGATTAAAGATAAAGATTTTTAAGGATAAGGATATATGTTTGCTTTTTCTATGATGATATCCTCTTTTCATACATTCACTCATGTTAGAATAGCTTAATTATATGTCTAGCCTATTTATTCTATTATCTATTTTCCTTGTAAATAGCCTGCCATATTTACTCTTAACTAGATGCTACAATGTAAACTATTTTTTTTTTGTTTTGCTTAGTATCCCCCTTCTATTGTTGCTGTATTTAATTCTTTATTTCACTTTATACTTTATTATATGAAAATAAGTATACTTTTTTCCTTTTTGACCTAGTGTTGCTTTTTTTTTTTTTTTCCTTTGACTTTATTTAACTAAGATGAATCATAACAGGCTACATTAGATAAAAAAAGAAAGGTTGCATGTATTGCTTGAGAATTAATTATCACTAATTTCTTTACGTGCTATTTATACGCGTAATATTTGTATTTATATTGTTTTTTTCATTTATAATAAAGCTGCTATATAAATCTTTTCATATAAATAAATATATAAATAAAAAAAATCGGCCCCATAACGTCGCAGTATCCCATATACTTATCCCGGAGGTACTCGTAATGTTTATCAATGATGGTTTACATCGTTATTAGAATACATTGGAGAGGTGAGCATAATCCAGAAAGAAAGCATACAAAATACTAACTAAGCTATGAAGCCATCCCAAAAAATCACTCATCAGCCCTTTTACAAGCCAACAAATGAAAAAAAAAGGATTGTATAAAGAGAAAAAGAAAAGAAAAAAAAAAGCAAGTTTGGGCATGAAAATGACCTCCTTTTATAGTTTTTTTTTTTGATCCGTTATCATATGCTTTTAACTGTCATAAAAAGGCGTCACAATCCCTGTAATGAATCTAATTGGATAATCTTAATAGCATACTAATCGTTATCATAATAAACATAGTAAACAAACGTGATACCAACAATTACTCCTTCTCCTTAAAAAAATATATATATTTATCTCTTTTAATTATTATTATTATTCCTTTTGTTTATAGTCTAATTCAGCAAGAATAATATATATGTTTATACATTTTTATAATAAGATCTTTAGTCAAGTCAACATTTCAGGGGAAACTTAAAATAAAGGGATAGATATCAAATATGTATAAGCAAATGTGTATACCATTTTTTATTAAATATTTACATTTTTACTGTATGGCAGTCTGCTTTTCCTTTATCTTTAATCATAATAGAACTTCTTAGTTAATGCGCTTGAAAGAGAGAGAGAGAGAGACACGCTACTGCATAATTAACATACTCGTTATATACTCAAGTTACCTGTTGAAGGTGCTTAATTACAATTTTGGTAGATCTATATCTTCTATATGCTGTGTAGAATGACTGTTTTACTAGGGCAAATAGATTATTATAGCTTCTATTTTTGATTGTTAATATCTCTTTTTACATGATAATTATTGGGACAAAACTTCAAATTGGCCTCTGCAATATTTTTTATGAATATACATGTGTATATACAATTTGAAATAAGTAGAAAAAAATTGATATACTGACTAGATGGTATTGAACAAGTCTAGGTGCTATTCTTTAGTAGAGAACTATATATTCAAAGAGACAAATACATGAAATTATATAAGCCGGTCTATTAATGATTATATTAAAACAAATACAATAAGTAGATATATAAGGTAGGGTATCTTTTAATGTTCTTACTTAATAAAAACTATAACACCAGATCAAGATATATAGGAATACTAACTACTGGAACAGTATATTTAACTGGAATAAAGCTATTTTCGAACACCTTCTTTAATTAACAAGAATAAAATTTATTTATACAAAACATCTACTGAATTGGATATATTAAGAATGAAGCTTTGATTTGTACTACTCTTAATTACTTCCATAATAGTAACTCAGTGTTTTTATACAATCTTAAGGTAGACTTTAATATGAAGTGTTTTGTTAAGATTTGTAGATATCGTTTATATTAAAAAGAATTACGATTATCTCAAAAGATAACGATCCAATAATATTAAATGATGATCAACCAGTTATAGGTTACTGTAAAGGGATTTCGTATATAGAACTGATAATGCAAGTATCTTCCCTAAAGATGCGGAAAGATGAATCTGGTAAAATAAGCAGAGTTACATTTAGTAGGGGGGGCATTTTAGCACTTATCAAATCCTGTAATATTTGATTTACACTTCCAACAAAATTCGAATTATGATAGAAAAAAGAGGATATAAATGAATTTACCTTTTTCTCGATTCTCCTTAATTGAATCCGACAGAGCAGTTTTGGCACTCTGTCAAGCGAAAAGTTAAATATAGCCAGCTCAGGGATAAAGAAGTTTTATACTCTAGATTTGCTGAGATATACAATTATACTCATTACAAGTTTTATACATTATTCTGTCAATGTTTTTTTTCTAAATGCTTAAATAAGAAGCCTTTTTAAATACTTGATACAAATTGGTAATTGAGGAAAGTACTATGTGCATATTCATTTTTTTATCTACGCATTATGTGCATTTTGGCACCATGGAGATTGTATAGTGTAAAATAAGTCAATAAATTAATCTTCAGAATCTTGTAATATATAGTTTTTTGTAAAGTAAATTTATACCAAATACCTGTTGCAAGTAAAAATTTAAATGCTACTAAAATAAAGCAAGTTTAACTCAAGTAGCTGCTTCGTTTTATAGTTTATACAAGTTTGACGAAAGCAAAAAAAAAAAAAATTAAAATTCTATAGGTTCTCTCCAGACAAAGGTAATATATACTTTCATAATAATAGTGTTTGTCTTTTTCTTATACTTACTCTTTTTTTTACATTTAATTTTCCCGTTATAGTTGAACAGATAGTAATCCTTATATTTAATTTCTGTTTCCGCTGCTACTAACTCTAGAATCCTGAATTGTGTGTATTTTACTTTTTCTTTTTAAAAAAAAATATACACATATTTATAAATATAATGAATTCTGTACAAAATATAATTCAGCAAGCAAATTTAGCTAGTCTTTTAGGATTACATTTGGTAAAGAACACATCAATGTAATTGTAGCCCATCATGAAAAAAAAGGGGGAGGGAAGGGAGGAATATGAGTACTAATTTATTCTCTTTTCAGGGCCTTTCTCTTTTAGGTGCAGTCGCTAATAATCCAACATATAACATTCCCATCTTTTTTTTTGGCATTTGGGCATATAATTATCGTGATTCGAATTCACCTCTCAAAACTGTAAGTATTAAGTAAGTGGGTAATGTATATATATATGGATTTTAATCGATAATTGTACATTGAACAAGTTTACAGGAGTACTTGCTTTTAGTATTTTCTTGGATATAATATGGTTCTACTTACACGGTGGTAATCCTCAAGCAGAAAGTGGATTTGGATTTGCTAAATTGTAATTAGAATTAAATTCTCAAAAAAACAAAAAAGAAATTAATAATTTTTGTTGTTAGCTTCAACGTTATAAACCTTTTTGTAAAGGTAATTATTGTTATTATTACTTTATTAGATGTCTTTGTCAATTAAATTCAATATTATTAGCCTCTTACAGTGTATTCCGGCTTTATCAACTTGAAGGAACGTGGGGATTCTTTAAATGTTGGAAGTAAGTTTTTTTTTTTTTTTTTTTTTTTTTTTTTTTTTTTTTTTTAACTAGTGTTCGTTGAACTTATGATGATGTGAATACATTATAGGTTGGTCGGACGCACCTGGCGCGTTTCCTTCCGGTGGTTATCAAAATGTTAGAGATGGAGATAGTGCTGAGTTTGCATAAAGTTGGAATTTTGAAAAGAGTTAATATACAAATTTTAGTTTCTAAATACTTTTGTGGATATTAAAGACAGAGTTCTGCAGTAAACAAAAATAATAATAATATAAGTGATCTTTATGCAGCAAATATACAAAGAACAATATCATAGATTGTAGTATTAATATGTGCGCATCACTGTTATGCTGATAAAGTGGAAGAAACCCATTCAAACAGTTTATTAAGCTTTTTATTTTGGATTAATTTTAATGCTTCTTTGATATCGTTTTATTGTGAAACTGTATATCTTACTCTTTAACTGTAATATCTTTCTTTTTTTCGGTTTATTTTAACAGAAAGAGTAGTATTAGTATATGTAAAAAGCAGGCTTTTAAGCTCACTATAGTAGTTTACAGACAACGGTTGTTTTAAGTAAAATATAATTATAAACCGTAAATACGCTTTTATTTTGTATTTTTATTTGATAGTAGTTGTTTTACTATAAAGCTTGGATAATTTTGTCGAAGAATAACGTTTGAGAATAAAATTGCTTTTGTCAAATTGGAGGCTAGATGTTATTAGTTCAGCGAATACAAATGTGCTAGGAGCCAATTTATGAATTATTGTGATGTATCAGCCTTCATTCTTTTTTTTTTTTTTTTTTTTTTTTCGTTCCTGTCGATTAATGTGAATATAGACAATTTGTCAAAAGATATGTTTATAAAGTGTTCAAAATATATGTATTAAGTTAACATTCTTCAATAAAATTCAGTATAGTTGACCTAGAGTATTTATGTTTCATTAACTATAATACTTTTAGGGGAAAAAAAATTAGAAATTATTACATTTGTATGCAATAATCTTAGAAGCTTTTTAATTTATTTATTTATGTTTCCTCTATACAAGTAGTTGCTATAACTTTCGAAATAAATTGTGACGGACTGACTATATACTAAATTGCTACAACTAGTATCTCTGAAGTACTATTGGCATTTTCTACTTTTATGGAAGAAGCCTTTCAATACAATAATTTTAACAAAAAAAAACAAAACAAAAAAGAGCTCAAGGTAATAAATAAAAGTGTCCCCTGGCTGTCTAAATAAGCATTATTGTGCTCATAAACTTATTCTTTTTCAATTTTCTTAATAAATACTTTCTTTTTATTATTATTAAAAAATGTATATTACTGGCTTCAAGGCCAGTTCGTTGGGCTTCTTAATATGATTTATGCTTGTTAATGTTTCAAGATTATAAAAATCAACCGACTACTTTAATTCTATAGTAGCATTATTTCATTATTCTTCAAAGAAAAAAAAATCTTGGCAATTCTCGAGGAACGATTTATTACTTATCATCTGATTTAATTTTAACAAACATTGTAATTGTAGAGTTCCTTAATTGAGTTTAAAACCTGTCCTTTGATGTTGTGAGCACTCTATTTCTAGAGCTCATTCCTTGAGACAAATATTATTATATAAATAAAAGGGAGAGCATATACAAATAGAATAAGTATAGACACTCCTATATGATTATAACTGCAAAAGAAGAAAAAACAAATATATATATATGTATATATAGCTTGTTGCTGATCTTTGTACCTATTTTTAAACGCAAAGGCAATGTATGCAAGTCGATATAAAAAGAATAATAAATTCGAATGCTTTCCTCTTCATTCTTTTTTTTCACATATCTATTTAAAATGACTCTATTATCTGTGTCTCCTATTAATTCATGTCTTGTACAAGCTTCTCATAAAAGAAAAAGGATACATGGATTACATGTTCGCTTTTGTACGCAGCCCCAAGACATTATATACACTTATTCTCAAACAGATTATGACAGGAGCGGGCTATATTCAAATATTGATGAACAAGACAGGAAGGAAAAGTTTACTCGAGCAATCTCTATTTTTTGTGAACAAGAAATTCTTTTCCAAATGATGACCAGTCAAAAACAGCAGCCAATAATAAAGAATATAAAAAAGTCGAATAAAATCAGGCCTAACTTGGTTATAAATACAAATAATCTACAAGATCCTCTTTATTTTACAAACTTGACAACTGATTATCAGAAGCATACACAGTCATATTATCGTTCAAAAGTTAATGATTTAGAAGAAGAGATAGGTGTGATAACAAGATAAAAATAACCTTTCAACTGATTTATATTTAAAAAAAAAGGTTATTCTGTCCATTGTAAATAACTAAATGTGCTCGATTTTCTTTAGCTATTTTTTCATATATGTATTGACTTCTTTTATATGTATAACAAAGCTTAAATAATAAATATATTATATATTTATTAGCTCTCTATTTATACATACATACATGCATGCATGTATACATATATACATTTATAGAAAAGATACATATCATCTATTTTTGTCTATTTGTTAAAGAATTAGTTACATTTAATTATAATATTGAATCCTTTCATTTGAAGAATATAGTAAATTTGATATCCAGTGTCTTGAGAGAGTCAATGTATTCAAAAGTATTTATTAAAAAAAAATCATAACTATGATCATGTCTATTGAACATGATACAGTATTTAATGCTTGAATAGAAAGTGCTTCGCATTTACTTATAGATAGCATGAAGGTTAGCCTTCAAGCTAAAAAATAAATTCATAGCAATATTTTTTTTTTTTTCAAAAATAATTGGTCAATGCCAAGTGATGGTAAGTGTGTTTTAAGGCTAAGTAAAGGGGGAAATTTTAATTTTTTCTAGTAATGAGGAGAAAGTAGACTTGTTATAAACCCCATTAAACTTATAATATAACATATCCTTATTTCCCAGATATCTTTTATTTTATTCCATTTTTATAAATATAGTATTCTGGAAATAAGAGATGATGCTGTAATTTTATTAATAAACTCATATTCGATAATTTAATTAATTTTATTTCATTTTTTCCCTTCACATTTTACAGCACTAGTTTTCTTTCTGGTTACATAAACAGCTATAGTATTTTTTTTTCTTCATCTTGACAAGATAGTATTAGTTTTAGAATTTGCGGTTAATAAATCCATGTGCATGAGTGCCAAATAATATATCTGAGTGGGCCAACGAATGATGAGCCATCAACTGATGACCCTTATTATACTTTGACTGTAAAAATCTGTCTCTGTAAAGTTATACGGGATCAATCATATTGTATGTTATTTTCATAGTAACTCAACAAGACGTACCTCAAATAATGATTTTTGAAATAGTCTTTAATAGTATAATGTAAAGATAATTAAGATTAGTTATCTTGACTATTTTGTCATATTTAATGTATTAAAATATAAGATGAACAAAGGTAGAATACGTGAGACTTATCAGCATAAAAAAAAAAAGTATTATATCAGTCAGAACTAACTAAGGAAAAAATTATCTATATAAAATGTCTGTAATTTATACTTTTTATATGATTGTCTTATTAATGGTTTATCCATCTAATTTTTTTATCTTCTATTATTACCTCTTACACTCTATTAATATACAGAGTTAATCATGCAATAATATATAACATATACAGTAGTCATCATTAGATAACTATCTTATTCCTTTGCTTATTGCAGATCCATCTTAATTTATCATGTGCAGCAATGTATTTTATATCAAATTTAATTTGCGTATATTTGGTTTAACAGCTGCATCATCATTATGATTTGTAGTACCTTACTTTCAGCTCTAAAATTGCTTATCACTGTATTTTTGTATATAATGATATTATGAAATCACTGTACTTATTTATGATTATATCATGTGTAAGTACGGCATGTTATTTACATTCTTTATTGTTCTCTATAATATAGAATATATACAGCGCAAACGTATATATTAACAAAAAATGGTATATGCATGCATATACATATTTGATATTTATCCCTTTATTTTAAGTTTCCCCTGAAATGTTGACTTGACTAAAGATCTTTTTATAAAAATGTATATACTATTGAATATATAAACGTATATATTATTCTTGCTGAATTAGACTATAAACAAAAGGAATAATAATAATAATTAAAAGAGATAAATATATATATTTTTTTAAGGAGAAGGAGTAATTGTTGGTATCACGTTTGTTTACTATGTTTATTATGATAACGATTAGTATGCTATTAAGATTATCCAATTAGATTCATTACAGGGATTGTGACGCCTTTTTATGACAGTTAAAAGCATATGATAACGGATCAAAAAAAAAAACTATAAAAGGAGGTCATTTTCATGCCCAAACTTGCTTTTTTTTTTCTTTTCTTTTTCTCTTTATACAATCCTTTTTTTTTCATTTGTTGGCTTGTAAAAGGGCTGATGAGTGATTTTTTGGGATGGCTTCATAGCTTAGTTAGTATTTTGTATGCTTTCTTTCTGGATTATGCTCACCTCTCCAATGTATTCTAATAACGATGTAAACCATCATTGATAAACATTACGAGTACCTCCGGGATAAGTATATGGGATACTGCGACGTTATGGGGCCGATTTTTTTTATTTATATATTTATTTATATGAAAAGATTTATATAGCAGCTTTATTATAAATGAAAAAAACAATATAAATACAAATATTACGCGTATAAATAGCACGTAAAGAAATTAGTGATAATTAATTCTCAAGCAATACATGCAACCTTTCTTTTTTTATCTAATGTAGCCTGTTATGATTCATCTTAGTTAAATAAAGTCAAAGGAAAAAAAAAAAAAAAAGCAACACTAGGTCAAAAAGGAAAAAAGTATACTTATTTTCATATAATAAAGTATAAAGTGAAATAAAGAATTAAATACAGCAACAATAGAAGGGGGATACTAAGCAAAACAAAAAAAAAGTTTACATTGTAGCATCTAGTTAAGAGTAAATATGGCTAGTCTTCATGGCAGGCTATTTACAAGGAAAATAGATAATAGAATAAATAGGCTAGGCATATAATTATGTGGGACTTACGTTCTGGTACTTTATTTATATATTATATGGACTTGAGGTAATTTCAACTTGTTTATATGCTTTTTCATAATTAATAAACTTAAGGGGCGTTGTACACTATAATAATACTACTGGATATGATTCGGTTGTAATTAACTACTTTCTCTAATTTCTCTCTGATCTTAGATACTCTTGTATAAAATCTCATTATTTAAAATTACCTTAAAGTTAACGATTGGCCCTTTATCGTAATAAGTCATATATTCACATAACATCACTCTTTAGTGTACATAACATTAAATTTGATAGTCTAAAGAATATAGTCAGGTATATTACAGGCAAATAAGATTAATCAAAAGACACATAACTCTAGAGTAATATGTTATATTCCTGCTCTCTAAAGATTAAATGTTACATATTTAAATTTAAATATCTACAAGTATAATTAAGGATGGTAATAATTTGTATAATGAAGGACGTTGAAGTCTTGGGTTAAAGGTTAGGATAGAAAGCTATAGTTGCAGGAATAAAGAAAAGATGGAATATTGCCAATTTAAATACCTAAAAATATTCGGTATATAGAGATTGTTGCTCAAAGTAATTATCCAAAATATACATTTATTTGAGGCAGAATCCATTGAAATTCATTATGAGTTTAACAACTTATAAGTCGATTAACAAACTATACGTCAACATATTATAAATGCAAAATGTAATATTATTTATTCTAACAACATAATATCTTATATTTTATTTTATTTTTTCAAGATGAATTTATTTGCTAGCGTCAGCCTTAGAAGCCATGTTAGCAGCCTTACCATCAGGAATACGAATAAAGTGAGCAGGCTCAGAGTCAGTAGCAGGAGCATCAAGAATAAAGTATCCCTTACGCTCAAACTGAATAATATCGCCAGTCTTTAATTTCTTAGTATTTCCATCAGCAAGAGCAGCAAACTTGAACTCACTAACTGGTGTGACAAGATCCTTAACATCATCACCATCCTCAACCTTCTTCTTAGTAATCAAGTAATCATAGTCAAGCAAAAGAATTTCAGTAGCATCTTCATCAGCAGCCAACCAAGTCAACTTCTTCTTGGTCTTCTTGAAGTCACCCTCAAGATGAGTTTCTAAATCAATACTTGTAACCTCATCACCATTCTTAACAATCTTACGAACAAACATATTTCCCCAATCCATTAAGGTGATTTCTTCGTTTTCCTCAAGAGTCTTGGCATCCTCTTGATCCAAGTAAATCTTAGGACCATAATGAGTCTTCTTATTACCAAGATCAGGATTTTTCTTATGAACAGGAACTTCCTTAACTTCAGAAGTAGCACCTTGGACGTTACATACAACAGCACCTTCTTTAAGAACAGAAGTGTATCTAGGAGCAATAGGATCAATAATCTTTCTATTCAAAGCCCAAAGTTTATCCCATTCCAAAAGTAAGACGTTTTGAGAGGCACCTTGCATCAAAATATATTGCTTCAAAGCTTCGATGGTTAAACCACGACGACGAATACCACGAACAGTAGGGAAACGAGGATCATCCCAACCACTTACAAATTTGTTGTCAACAAACCATTGAAGCTTTCTCTTGGAAAGAAGTGTGTAGACAAAGTTCATTCTACTGAAATCCCAGATTGTTACCTTGCGAAGGCCAAGGGCTTCAAGCATCCAGTAATATTGAGCATTACGATCACGATATTCGTTAGTTCTTAAAGCATGAGTGACACCTTCAATAGAATCAACAATTGGGCAGGCAAAGTCATAGGTAGGATATACCTTCCACTTATCACCGGTATAGTGATGAGGGGTCAAATTACAACGATAGATGACAGGATCACGCATAGTACCGTTGAGACTAGCATAGTCAATCTTAGCACGCAAGCAGTTTTGAAGACCCTCTTTAGAACCCTTTGTCATTTCTTGGAAACGACGCAAGTTCTCTTCGACTGAATTATCGCGGCATTTAGAGGGAGTACGAGAAGTACGTTGTTCACGCATAGTGGCTTGATCAGTATCATCACAATAAGCTTTACCTTCCTTAATCATCTTAATAGCCAAATCATACATTTGATCAAAATAATCGGATGTATGTGAGACAACGTTAGAGGGGACGCCAATCAAGGCAAGATCTTCTTTAATAGATTCTTCGAATTCAGTCTTTTCTTTGGTTGGGTTGGTATCATCGAAACGAATAATCATTTTTCCTTTGTATGTATCAGCAAAGTATTGGTTCAAAAGAGCAGCCTTGGCGTGACCAATGTGAAGATAACCTGAGGGTTCAGGAGGGAAACGGGTGCAAACCTTACCCATTTCAGCTTCAGTCAAACCAATATCAAATTTACCTTGATCAGCAGCTTTAGGAGCCTAAAATAATTATTTTACTTAGCAACTTTACTTCTTTAAAAAAAAATCTCGTTCTTTTAATATTACCTTGGATGACTTTTCTTGCTTTTGAACAGCAGTTAAAGCATATTCAGCGGCACTAAGAGAAGTGATATATTCATACCAACGAACAAGATAAACACCAAGGTTTTCTGGCTTGGTTTTAACAATACGAGCAAATACAGGAGAACTTCTCAAGGCACCCCAAATAACAAAATCAGCAAGAGTAACTTGATAGCCAACAATATAAGAACGAAGAGTTAGATATTTGTTAAGTTCTTTGTAAACGGCATCAAGAGCTTTAAAATCAGAAGTAGATAACTTAGATTCAGCAAAATCTAACCATTGATCAATTAAAGTGGAGCTAATAGGATCCTCAGGATTGTAAAGATTAGCCTCGGGATTAAGTCTGGCTAAAAGTCTAGCAATGGCATTGGTGGTTTCATATGTTTCACTTTATAAAAAAAAATAAAAAAAAGGGCAAAACGTTTAGGAAATGATAACAAATTAGAAATCTCGAAAAATTCGTAATGTCTCTTACCCATTGTAAGTAACAGAAGCAGCAGACTTAGAAGGTCCTTCGAGAATTTTACCGTCACGAAATTCAACTTCAATAGCATTCTTTTTGATAGAATTAATTTGTGCAGTGACAGCAAGAACACCTAAGTTTACATGAATTGAAATTAACATTCAAGAAAAATGAATATATTATATACAATTTTATACCATAGCTAAAAGGTGATGCCTTAGAAGCAACAACAAGCTTAATAGGACTCATTATTGTTAGTAATCAAGTATAAAGAAGAAACTTATAAAAATAAGTTGTTACAAAATTTATAAATAATAAAAAAAAAAAAAAAAAAATGTGACTTCTTTAAATTAGCAAACCTTAGTTATGAATTCTGGTAATAACAAGTTGAAATGACAATATATTAAACTATGATGAAAAGGGGATATATGTTTTTGAAATATGTAAATATATATAATATAATGTACAAGGGAAGAAATGAACAATATAGTCAATTCTTTAGCGATTTAGGCGAGCATGCTGAGGTGCCTCTAGTTTGATTTTTGGCATAGGATTTATAATTTCTTTGGGTACAACTAATGTACCTAAAGTGCTCTTAATTTCTTTTACTTCTACATCTACTTCTTTCCACTCTTCTGATAAAACAGCTTTCTTTTTACTATTTCCAAAGAAGGATGAGGATAAAAGTGATGATCTTGGTGTTATTTTTGGTTTTTCTGAAGCTAATATTGTTTCTGATTTTGAACGTCGACTGGATATATTAAAAAAGTTTGTGAATGCTGATGTTCGATTTGCTGCTACCTGACTAGAGGTATTTAAGGAAGAAGAGGAAGATGAAGCTACTACCGTTGACTCTATATTTACAGTTGATGTCGCAATAGAAGCTTTTCCTGAAGAAAGTGAACTGTATGTGCCTGACTTGGATGAAGCAGCTGCTGTTGCATTTGCAATAATGTCTGCAATTATATCCATATCTGAAATAGTGCTAGATCCATTAAGAGTTGGTTCTTGCTTTTCATATGACATATAAGAAGGCGTTTGATTCCCAGGTGTAGCGGGATCTATAATTGAAGAAGAATTGGTACGTGTTGGTAATGTATTATCATTTTGAAAATTGACTTGATTATCATCTGCAGACGATAGAGTTGTTTGTTTTATTTGATATTGTATAGAAGCTTTACTTGAAGAAAATGATGATATTGAACTTCTCCCTTTTGAAGAGACCGAATCTAAATGCTTATTCTTAGTATTCATTGAAGAACTTGATGTAGGCTAATTAATGTCACTTCAGTATTTGAATAAACTTAAAAGTTGTAATTCTATATAATACATACCTCTTCAATTGTTGAAGAATTCTCTGATCGTCCTTTATCTTTTTCTTTAACGGGTAATTCTTCTGAAGTTACGACAAAACCTGCACGTTTTAATAATTTGGGCATAGCAGAGCGGTAACTTAAATGACCAGATACTAAGTCTGTACAATCCACATTTAATACACGATTACCTTCGATGTGTAATAAAGGGCGTAATCCTGCAATATTTCCAAGACCAGCTGTGGAAGTTCTAAATAAGAATCCTAACAGCCAGTCATTAGTTGCATAGCCATTCACAAATCTCCCAGAAACAACCGTCGTACATTCTTTCCATTGTGTTTTTGATGCACTCACTGGCGTACCAAACAAAAAGACATTTTCGATCAAGCCATATGCTTTCATGCGAGCTAATTCAAGTAAACAAAAGAAAATGACACGCGCACCGAGTGAATATCCTACTAATGTGATAGGTCTTGCCCCTAAATTTCGATTCATTAATGCATCAGCTAGAATGAGACCTGCTAATCGAGATCTATCTAGTCCATTAGCCCAGGGATTATCAACCATATAACCTAGTTTTGTTAATGCAAGTGGCCATGCTAATCCAGCTAATAATGCTCCCATAATTGTATGTGCAAGAGCTTGTTGAATAGAAAAAGTAACTGCTTCTGTAGCTAAAATACGAAATGCGCTTCCTAGTTCCTCCAACATTTCAGGTTCCCAATAAAGAGTATAATGATCGCCCATTATAGTATCCATAACACTAAATGGAAGTGATGATTCTTCTTTATCTTTATTAGGTAGCCAACTTTTAGTTGAAAGCAAATTAAATTTCATTAAAAAGCCGTTTCATACAAACATTGTGTACTAAAAAAAACACATTTACCCAGTAATACTAATGATACAATTTGCATTTTCATCCGTGTAAACTGGTATAAATTCAAATGTATTGATCGTCTTCATGCGCTTATTCATGCTTCTACCTAATATGTATACATATACATATATAATGAAGTTAAGTAAATATGATTGCTATAAAAAAGAATACAATATAGAAACAAACCTCCGATACCTAAACAGCGAATAATGTATATGAGTAAATCAACTTTATTAAGTATAAAAATAACTTACGTCCGCCTGCCACTGTAGCACCACCTGTAATTAAAGCAATACCAGCTGTACCACCCAAGAAGCTTCCTGTACCTGTTACACCTACAGTTGTTAGGATAGCACCAATACCACCTGCAATAACAGGAGCCATTAAACCTGCACTTAATCCTAAAATGAGACCCCCACTAATAGTCGCCAAACCTACCATGATATATCGTCTCTTCTTACGCTCTCTGTTTCTACTTCTTTTTTCAACATCATTCTTTACAAAACCATTTGTTGGGTCTATGTTGGCCAATGTCATGTTTGTCACTGTTGTAGCTACACTTGTTACTGTCTCTGTCTCCCAAGCTGAATCCTCAACAAGATGTTCTGTTATACGTTTTTCAAAATCAATAACTTGAAACCAATCAAGTGAAAGATAAGAGGCAATACGGGCAACAAATACTCTGGAACGTGCATCATAATTTTCTGTACTTAGACAAATTAAAAATAAATCACACATAACTGTCCAGCGAAGGTCAACGATGATTCTATCGTCACTATCTTGTTGGATATTAGATCTCTTCTGCTTTGTATTCAGATCGCCTAATTTAACCTCAGCAGTTTCACCTTGAGAGGTAAATTGGTGAACAAGGTCGGTTGGTAAAATTTTATGTCTAGACAATGATTCAATCATTTTAATTTCTATATTTAAATTTATAAATGACATGCATATTTATAGCTTCATAAATACTATTATTATATACCATCGGATGAAATATCCATATGAACATAAAGTATTCTCATAATTTTACGTTGCCAGTTATCTGCACTCATTCTTGCATATGTAAAATCTTTTCCTTGATAATCATGAACTACCTCCAAACTTGTTAAATAACATAAGCCTACATAAGCTATCTTCTGAGTCTCAGAGAATACATCTTTTGTTTCTTGAATACAAGGCTGTCTCTTGGAATCTTTTATTTCATCAGAATCGTCCTCTTCTTTTTCATCATCCATAGTTAATGAATCCATCTCAAAGATATGTGTAGATGTAAGAATAGGTTGAACTGTATCAGGCACTTCTGGAAGATCAGCAGCCCAAGCACGAATAGCGTTTGGTTTTGGCTCTAGCTTATTTGAATATAACTCATTTTGTTCTGCTAATAACTCGGCAGTGAGTGGCTGTTTTGACTCTTGAGACTGTGCTCCATAATCTTCTTGAAATAACAAGTCGTTAGTAGTAAATAATTCTTCTTCTTTTTCCTCTAATTTAACGCTAGTCATTTCATTTTGTTGTTGCAATGACGAAATGTCTTCATTACTATTTGATAACTCATTAATATCTGCTATCTTTTCTTTCTTTTCTGTATCATTATTTTCGCAGAGTGGTACTGTTGTTGGCGTAGATGCATTATATGTTGTAAAATTATCCATATTTGTTTTAAAATAAAAATGGAAATAAACAAGAAAAAATAAAGGATCAAATTAAGGAAAGGAAAGGAGTTAAATGACGGGAAAAGAAGGAGAAAAGAAAGAAGGGATAGATAGTAAAAAAGAATGATAAAATAGCAGATTATAGTAATAATTAAATGACGGAGAAATAAATAAATAAATAAGGCATATTTTTACGACTAAAAGAATTTATTTATTTAAAGAAAATAAAAATGACCAATAAGCACATAGCAATTTTATTATGTTGTATTGCCCTAGACAGTTCCCAAAAAAAAAAAAAAAAAAAAAAAAAAAAAAAAAAAGAAAAGAAATCAGAAACAATATGAGTATACTAGTCTATTATGAAGATAGTCAATACATTAGTTCGACACCAGAATTGACAAGAGGAGGAAGTGTTCGATAAAATAGATAATCCTATTTCATGCAAAATAGTACAGATCTTTAGCTAATAAACTAACCAAGGAGAAGCTAAGAGCAGGGGCTTTGGTTTCTTTAGAGGAAACTGGTTGAGGAAAATGGAAAGTGGATCAGCAATGGTTAATGACATATTAAGTCGATAGTGTGTTCATGGGTAAAGTTATTATGTGGATTCTAAGGACATGGCCAAAGAACACCATTAGATAACTAACCAAGACGCCATAGAATGACATGGCTACGTTCACTATAGGATATAGAGTGGGTTCTGCAATAACATAAAGCGTATTTCTTAGGTGGTATAACAAGAGGAAAAAAAAAAAAAAAGATGAAGATCAAATCAGATATTCACAATCTTTTGTGACGTTATGATGCCTACACGCACCGCTTGGTGTATCTACTTACATCCTTGCATTTTAGAATTATTCGTCAAAAATAAAAAGGAGGTGATTTACTACTCGTTTCACAAAAATGCTTCAGTTTCATGCAAAAAAAATCTCCCTTAGTGAATATTACAAATTCCATAATGCCTAAAAGCAACAACACTAAAGAAAATAGCGATTTATCTAAGTCTGAAAAAGGTTTGAAAGGATATTTTAGTCGCACGTCTCCTAGAAATTGGAAAATAGTTTATGCTATTAAAAGTAATCAAGACGACAACAGTTGCAAGTGAACTTATTGATCGTAATTTAGATGATCTCTTGACTTGAACACTAACTTATATAGAAGAACTGTGAATATTTTTACTTGCACATATAGAAACTACTAACTGATAACTCTTTATTTGTTATTTTCAATGCATTAAATGGAATACTATGGATTGATGAAAGGAACAAACGGAATTATAACTGCAACGAAGAAGTGTGTGTTATGATTGTAACTGTCTTTATGACTAAGTTAATAGAAATATACTAATATATTATATTTTACAGCATAATATTCATTCTACACTTTGTTTTAACATTTAGTATACTTATTAGCTATGACTATTTGTATGGTAAATACTATAGGAAAGTGTTAACAGAATAGTCTAGAGAAAGAACGTTAAAAAAAATACTTCTATTTTTTACGATATGTATGACGTATTTTATTCCTAATTTTTTTTTTTTTTTTTTTGGAAGTGTGTAAAATTTTGGAATGAAGAGTGTTTTTCGAGCGCCCGCAATATTATCCCTAATTTTTGGTATATATCAGCAACATTTTTCCATCTCTCTTCACAAAATGACAGAAAACACCCAAGTGCAATGGATTTTAAACAATTATGATGGTTACGGGACATTCCCCTCTTTGATGTTCGCCAAGTTCTCGAAAGTAGAAGACTTAAAAACTTGTGAAAATATCTTTAAGAAGGCGGTGGATGACATCGCGACGTTATCAATCAAACAATACAAAAATCATTCCAAATGGATCAAATGGACGCGACAAGTAAAGAGATAGCAATACGAAGTATGTATAGTACATATTTATCACTGTTAAAAGCAAGTAATTGTTATTAACTTACAATTCCTTTCTTAGGTATTAAGTACACTATTTTCATAAATTATTCGCACAAGCTCAGAAAAAAATTGCGCACAATTTTTTTTATTTTTTCGCACAGATTCGCAAAATCAACAAAACACGATGGACTTTCGAGTTTATTAAGAAGATGGGCATGGTAATGCTGTGGATGAGCATGGCAATGAACCAGTTGAAATGGAAGTAGACGATGACGGTTATCCTCTCGCCGACACTGTCGACTTTGACAATTACATAGAATTCAAGCCGCCTGAGAAGCCTAAGGTAACCCCTAAAGCATCCAAAACAATTACTTCAGTACCAGCTGGACCAGCCACTTACTACAAAAAAACATGGGGACGATGTTAAAGGTCATTTTTTTATTTGGTCGATCAAGAAGGCCTTACGGCAGGAAAAGCAGGAAAACAGCTTGGTGTTGCCCGTCGAACTGCTTATGACTGGTTCAAAAAAGACCAAGAAGAGATTTCTAGAAATGCGGAACCATTAAATGCAGTGGAACCAAAAAAACCTAAATCAAAAGCTGGTAGACCAGCTTTATTGAATGAAGAACACCAAAAGTATTTCGAAGAAAAGTTCATCGATCATCCTTCCGCAACTTTAGATCAGACGATGGAAAGTCTTACCAACCATTTTCCTGACTTGAAAGTAACAAAAACAACTGTCTACAACTTTATGGCGGAAAAATGTGCCTTGTCTTTTAAGAAAGCAAACTTTCATTCAAAAGAGAGGAATTCACTTGTAAGCATCGAAAACAGATTCGACTGGGTAACTAAATAGAGTAAAACAGACATGGATTACAATAGTAATTGTGTTTTTATCGACGAGTCTGCGTTCTATATCAATTTGAAAAGAACAATGGCTTGGTCCAAGAAAGGTACTCGAGCTGAGGTTGTCCAACATCTAACAAGAGCCAAAACGACGACAATTTTAGGTGCTATATCCCCGCATGGCGTTGTCAATGTTAAGATAAGAGTGCCGTATCCTGCAGCTTCAAAAAAGAGAAAGACGGCAAGCGGAACTAAGAGGCAAAAAACTACTGGAACTGTTACTGGACACTATTTCAATTTTATTGCAAGTACTCTAGATATGATGAATCGCCATGAGGAATTCAAAGGGCATTATCTTATTATGGATAATACACCTATACATACCTCAGTTAATATTAGAAAATTTATAGAAAGCCGTGGATATGGTTGTGTTTATCTCCCGCCATATTCCCCTGAACTCAACCCAATTGAGCAATTTTGGTCTGCTGTTAAGAGCAAATTGAAGCGAGAAAAGCTTTTAGAGGCCGAAACACTCAATATGAGAATCACTGGAGCATGTCAAAATGTCTTAATAAGTGACTTACAAGGATCTTGTCGTTATTCAAAATCAAAGTTCAAAACTTGTTTGAATAAAGATCCCCTCTAATAAACTTCGCACACACTGAGCAAATTAATCTTCTGTAAACTGTGCAATTTTTTTCTGAGATTGTGCGAATAATTTATGAAAATAGTGTACAATTACGGTTTTTGCTGGTATATGTAAAGCATACCTGAAAGATAATCTTGGTGATCGACGAAACAGTAAGAAAGCCGTTCTCTTGTCTGCCTGCCGTCCTACCCTAGGTATCGATCCTATCCTCTGGTTATCTATGTCAAATGCAGAACGCAGCCGAATAGTCCGCTGGCTTCTAGGTTGGTTACCTGGTGGTGCCCCTAAACCATGCATCTATCATCCTAATGCCTTGTTCACAAGAGCCCATGCTATATGGTGTCTACATATGCATCGACGATTGCAAATGCCTTTGACCAAACCCGACCCTTTGTCCTTCCTCTTGAATAAGCTGCTAAATAAACAAAAACGCATGCCACCAATCTCATCAGCTTTCAACTCATCTGTCTTTCCCGCCTGGACGATTCGTTGGCCTGCTATGTGCCGTATACTTTTTGAACTTGACTATCTTCATCATGGAAAACTTCCTCCAGAAACTGCCCCCCTTGGTACAAAACTTGTAAACTGGTTACGTAACTCTGAATCTAGTATTTATTGATATATCTTGCTTTTCCTCTTCCCTTCTCTTTCTTTTTTACCCTTTTGCCTATCAAAAGGTTTTTTAGTACACTTTTATCCTTTCTCGAACTGACCCGGGCAATCCAATACGCCAGTATTATGTGCTCACATGGGTTGTTTAAATTTTTGTTATAAATAAAATAATTCTTAATCGTATAGCGCAGTTGTCCATCACCAAATAACTCCCTTTTAGAGCTTCATTAAGATCCCAAGATATCAAGCAGAACATTTATGAATTTGATAAAGTGCACAGTTGTCGTATCCTTTTGATATCGATTCTGAACTATCTTGCGCACTGCTCTCGTTATTATTATCAACATACCTTGTAGCTGGTTCTTCTCTAATAAACTCATCTATAGTATGTTTTTTTTGACGTTTGCTACTTTTCTTTTCTCGCTTGTAGATGCCTTGTTACTTTGAATTTTCTCTTTTTTTTGCGGTGGCTTCTTTATCGCTACATGAATGAAGCTAGATGCTTGTATAGCTCCAATAATCGTATGAGATGGGGTCTTTGTTTTAGTTGTCTTCACTATGGCAGGTATTCTAGTATCAGTTCTGGCCCAATTATTTCTCAAATTTATATGAAATCCAGCTTCGTTGATAAAGATACATTTTTTTATAAAAAAGTTGAGTTTTATTAAATAAAATCCAAATGAGCACAAGTATTTTATATACTAAAATTGCCCGGACCAGTTCAATTCTGTATTTAGAAAAAAAAACCTTCTTGGGCTGAAGGAAAAAGGAAAAAAAAGAGGAAGAGAGAGGAGTTTATGAATGCTGGCTAAGCCAGAGAAGAAAAAGGGAGTTTAAAGATAGATTAGGTAGGATTAAATCATCGTAGGGAACACCATACTGTAGCATGTCAACTTTATAGAGGAATCTTCGGACGGTAATCCAATGTATTCGCCAAGAAGCCTGTGTGTGTAGTAACTTGGGCGGTCGAGAGGGAATCCGATTGAGAAGACATGAGATGGGGTCATCTACGTCTTGTGACATGCGTAATTGAGAATGGATGCGCAGGCAATGGATACTGTGTTTCTTTGTTAGATTGTGTGATTTGCATTGACAAGGTTTACGAGTACCACCAGGTTGCCAGCCTAGCCGCCATCTAATGAGTTGACTACGTTCTATTGGGAGCATAGGTAACCACAGGATGGGGTTCATGGACAAAGAAGGACGACAGACAGACAATAATTTGCTGTGCCTGTTATAGAACAAGCTCTGGATATAAGCATAAGTAATATTATAATAGATGAATTACATAATAAAGGATAAACTATAAGCCTGAATATGAAATAAAACTCTGTATATAACATCTTGCAAATAATATAAAACGTATTGACATCCAATTGTTTAGATGTATCAATTATAAGACATCGTATCATTTTTAAATATTTATTTTTATAACCTTGACAAAGGATTCAAGTCGTCTTTGATCCAATAAAATAAAACTATAAAAAATATCAGGAACATACACTCAGATCAAACAATAATTTTTTTACCCAATAGATAATCCATAGAAATCAGTCTCTTGAATCAACAAGATGTATATCTGAATACTAACACTGTTTCATGGCTTATGTTCTTTGATGGTTATTTTTATTTCTTTGATTCAGGATTCATTAACATAAATACAAGCAGTTGTGTAGACGTAAAATAATCTTTAACTTTTTCTTTAACTTTCAATTCTTATTCTTTATTTTAATTGAATAAAACAGTCTCAAACTATACTTCCTTTTGTTCCCTTTCTCTCTTCTTTTTCTTTCTCTTTTATTTTTCTTTTAAATATTACGTTCCATCACATTGGGAATGACTGTATGCGACATTTTTTTTTTTTTTGAAAAGCACGACACTATTTTCCTGAATTGTGCGATACTCTTTTCTAAAAACATACGACACTGTTTTTGTTAAAAGTGCGACACTTTAATCTTTTTTTTCTTGCGACATCATTTTGGTAAAAGGTGTATTAAAATTAGAACTTCCAAATGTTATTTTACATGGAAATTTACCTGACAAACAGCCAGGTGTTATTCTGATTACATAATAAACTAACTAATCGTATTACACAAACAACTTTATCTTAAGACAATGAGGCGAAAATTGAGATTTTTATTAAAAGTATAAGAAATAATGCAAAAAAAATAGTTTATACAAACCGAATTAATAACTTGTAATTTGAACAATAAAACACATTTAATACTATAAAACTATTAAATCTTCATATTGCTGTCACTTTTAATTGAAGTAGGTGTCCTGCTTTCAACTAAGCGCCCCATTTTCAAAATTGGCCCAAAGTTTTTTTTGTGTGGCCCAACCTATTTTCTTCAGCTGTAACATTTGTTTTTTGAATTGACTAGTAGGGCAAATTCAGAAACTCTATAGACTACATGTCCATTGGTCTTTTTATATATGTATATATAAATAAAATCCTTTTTATTCGCATGTGAGCAATATGAGTCCTATTGAAAGTTTCAATTGATAAAAACTATTCTTAATCCATTTGTATTTAATAAATACTAATAATGTTTAGTTCAGAATACAAATTTAAATAAATAAAAAGCTATGCATAAAATTATCCTTTTTTTTTATCTTTTGGAAACAATAAAAAGTAAATTCATATTTGATTTGTATTTGCTATCTTGTATGTTTTGTTACATGCACAAAAAAAAAAAAAAAAAAAAAAAAAAAAAAAAAAAAAGTTCGATCAGTCTATGATGAATGGCTTCTGACAAAATAATTGACAATGAAATTGATTAGGCTTTGAGGAAGAACCGCAACAACGATCAATAAAATCAATATTAAAGTACCGATCCAACTTCTCTAGCCGGGGTTAGGATTATACCCTTTCTCTTTATTCCTTTCTCATTTTACGACACATGAGCCAATCTGTAGCAGCAGCAACAAAAACTAGATTAGCACAATTATCACAGCTTTCTTGCCAAATATTTTCTAATGTATACAATCCAACAGGTGCACGTACTGGTAACAAGATCTTGAGGCAACGGTTAATTGGCCCTACGATCGCTGCTTATCATCCACAAAAACTTGTTCATTTCCGAGACATTAGTGCTTTGTATCCTCAACTTGAACTAATTGATATGGATGAAAAGGTGCGTCTTGATGAGATTGCAAGAAGAAAGAGACGAGGAAAGGGTGCACCAAAGAAAGGTAAAATAGTTAATTTAATAATAAATTCCCATGTTCAGAAAACTAATATTTAAATTTTATAGGACAAGGCAAGCGTGCTACAAATAAGAAGAAATAATTGTTTTATTTATACACATATAATTGTACATAATATTTATATTAAAAAAAAAAAGGAAAAAGAAAAAGAAAGAAAGAAAGAGCGAGAAAGATTGTTCACATTTACTTTCTTCTCATTGTCGTTATTTTTTCATGTTTAGCAATGAGTCTAGCATATCGTAGTCCACATGCATTACATAAACTGTTATAGATTGGATTGTTATAATAGATGCCAAAAAAAAAAAAGAAAAAGAAAAAATTAATTATCATAACTTACCTTTTATGACCATTTGGACCTCTTCTCCATTCAGGACTTGTACTTGTCTGACAGTTTTCACACTTCTTTTCTTGAATACCAAATCGGTTCCTCCAGGTTTTTAATAAGGAGCTTCGATTATTGGTTTCAGATCCTGTCGTGTGCTCCTTGGTATTTGTTGCTATTGTTGTTGTTGTGGTTAAGTTATGATTAGCTAATAATTGTGCAGATACTGTTGGTAATGGTAATTTGATATTATCATTATTAAGAATCTCATTAATTTTGGATATACGATAAGCTCTAGAGAGAGAGAAAAAAAAAAGGAGGAAAGGATTATTAGCCACTAATTTGTTTCTATAACAACTACTATGATTACATACTTTGAATGTTGTTCTTGACGATGATTTGTTTTCATGGTAACTAAAGATGGAAATGACAATGGATGATTTTTGTTGGTATCAAGGGAAGTTATCTGAAATAAACTAAAAGTAAGACTCCCGTAAATAATTATAATTCTTTCTACTTCACATAAGCCAAATGGCTCTGTCATGACAGTAGAAGTTGAATGAGTATGATGAGTACACGTTGCATAAGCTGTTACTCCTGTTAGAGAGGTAGAGAAGTTTGTTGTATAAGCTATTTTTCTTTCAATTTCTTGTAATGTAAATGTGTTTGTAAGATCCAGTAAAAATTTTATTTCTTCTTGTTGTATGCGATATGATTGTTGGTTGATATTGTTGTTATATAGTAATGGCAGTCTGTCAAAATTTTGTATAACAGTATTACTATTGTGATAAGGATTTTTATCTTTATTAAAATAGGATGGCCATGATATTAACAATTGCTTTTCTTTAGTGTCATAAATTTGAAATAGTCTAAATGTTGTATATCTTGTGATAGGCTGTAATGAATGATATTGTTGTAAAATATTCAAAATTTCATAAATAGCCTATGTATATATTTATAAAATTTTGCATGTAAGAAGATAATATATATGTTATATATATGCATATTTGTTTATGGAATATAAACTCACATTTGTACTTATTCGTTCACTTCCACAGCAAGCAATGTTTTGGTCTGACATATCTATTCCAAGATACATAATTACACAAGTATTATAAATTCAGTTTACGCTATATTTTAACTACCTGTATGAAAGAAAGCTAGAATAACTTTATCTGTTGCTGTGTATGTAACTACGTCAGCTATAACCCAATTAGTTGATTCATTATTATTATCCTTGTATATGTAGTATCACGTGTAAGCAGCATGACATTTTTTTCATTATTATGATATATTTAACGTACACATACCATGCCTTCATTATCATCTTTTAATTTTTCATAAGCTAAAGATTTAATGCTACGCAAACGGCATCTGAATTTAACAATCATTAATATTGTATGAATATGTTTTTTTTTCTTCTTTTTTATTGCCATAAGTTTTATACCTAGTGATTGCGCCTGCTAAAGTTGTAGTTTGAACAAAATTCAATAGATCTGTAGCAGCTAATGACAATTCATCAGGGTGAATAAAGTCTAATAATGATCGAGATCTTAAAATGTCACCGATTGTTATTCCAAAGCTGATCTCAATTTCGTCTATATATTTGGGTAAATAGATGAATTTAAATTTTTCAAGGGATAATAATGCCCAAAAGCAAGAGGCAAACGACATAAAGGATTTAATACTATATTGTATAATTTTATCAACAGTTATATCTAAATATATATACAAATTGTGTATGTTTATAATTGATTAGAAACAGAGTAAAAAAGAAAGGTAAAGAAGAAGAAGAAAAAGGTTATGTAATGTTTACTAAGATAAACTATGCTAAATAAAATATATATGTTATATATACACTATAATCTTTCATAATCCATAAAGCTGGTAACGACATGAAACTTTTTTTTTATATATCTGTATACATTTATAAATATGTATTTATAGCCATTTTAGGCTGTAGCAATACATATATGTATATATATATATATATATTTACTCAGAACTACATCATTCATCTTTGATAATGTGAGTGAGTGTATATCATCATATTACTCTTTGATATGATCATTCTCATGTACACATACTATAAAATAAATAAGACAGTATTTTATGTACTATTCGGCACTATTTATTTTAGTAAAACGCCACAAATAACAAAATAATAATTCCTTTTTCGTTTAATTTTTGCAATGTATATTGACAAGTAACATAATAAAAGGGTATATGTTCATGAATATATGTATTGTGGCCCTATTATTGATTAGGAATAGGATTGCATATATCTATCTAAAGTATGATTTACGAAAGGGTAAGAAACTATATACACTACTTGTAACAAATATTCTAATAATACACATTAAATGAGCTACATGCCTTTTTTTTTTATTTATATATTGTTATTTACAAAAAGAAAAGAAAAGAAAAGAAAGAAAGAAAGAAAAAGAAATCACCATAGGTTAATCCTAGATGATAATAAAGAAGGGTTATCAACACCAATAATCCAGCCTAGTTTTTCTGTGAATTGCTGTAAAACATCACTAAACTGTCCATGTGTCTCTATATTGTGCTGCACAAGCCTAAATAAACATAATTTGTTATGCCAGCGTAATTAAATGTAGATACGAGATCGTTACTTACTCTTTAGCCCATTCTGTTACAACCTGCTGGCCATAAATCTTTCCTTGGTTTATTTTAGAAGATGCAACATTAACAGCCTTTTTCCAATATTCTATTATTTCATTCATTAAATCTCTTTTGATTTGATTATGTACTAATAGAAAATAAGACAAGTAAGTAAATAAATAAATATATAGATTCATGGTTTAAATTATATACCATCGTTATCCCATTCTGGTAGTCGACTTGCAACAGTTGTAGCATAATGAAGATAAGAAAATAAGGTAGTTGGATGTTCGTCTGGTGAAGATATAAAATGTTCAGCATATTCTACTAATGTATTCTAAAATTGATAATATCAGTATATAATTTATATACAATGCTATATATCTATATTTTACAACAATATCAAGTAGTATTGTTCTGACTCTATTGAAAGTATAATCATCTCTTGTCGAAGTCTTGTTATAAGGGAAACTGTCAATTAATTTCTTTTCGAGATTTCCAATAACTAAAGATATTGATTGCGTAGTAGGAGGAGGTATAAAGGCATCAACTTCATTTTTTAAATGTGGATTAGAATCAACAAGATCATTAATTAACTCAATAAGTTTATCTTTATCCAATGTAGCTGTACAGAATCATGAATTAGTATTTATATAATATTATCTACAACAAAACTTGGTTTGTTTACCTAGTAATTTGCTGATTGGAAATCCTCCTTTTGTGCTCATTCGATTACGTTTTGTAGCGTGAAGTATATTATCTTCTCTTAGTGAATGTAGTGTTATTGTTTTATAATCAGTACTGTTCTCGCTATTTGTCATTTCTTCATCCTCATAAGATGCTCGCCTTTTACGGCCTTTTAGTTTATTAGATGTAGATTAATAAATATATATATATATATGTATATGTATACATTCAAATGGACGCTTCTTACCTTTTGTTGTCCCATCATTGGAAGGAGGTGAATATAATGTTGGTGGTTTCGATTTTGCTAAAAAATGAGCTGAACGATATAGATGCTGCTGTTGTCTAAAAAGGCTATTTTGGCTTGGTGAAGATGACATTTTAATAAAGATAAAAAAAATAAATAAATAAAGTTAAAAAAGCAGTGTCTGAAAGCTTCGATGTGTGATGATGATAATATTGGTGACTGGTTTGTCATGCGTACTGCAGTATTTTTAGTGTATGTCTTGACTGCTACTCAAGAAAAAAAAAATTACGTATTTATTAGAGTTATTCACATTGATATAATAAATATGCCGCCGCAGTTACTGTTATTGTTGTATAATTGTGCCTAAAAATTTCAATTATCTTTTCTCTTTTCATCTTTTATTCAAAAAAAAAAAAAAAAAAAAAAAAAAAAAAAAAAAAAAAAAAATGAAGAAGTCTAAGAAACAGTTAAAACAAAGTATATTAAAATAATCAAGAACATGATAACTATGATAATAAATAATTTTTATAGTATTTAAAGATTTTGATATAAACGATGAAGGGCTCTTGGATACTGAATATTTGTTTAAAGCATTGATATCTTTGGACTTGCCTATAGAACAATCAGATATACCGGATTTATTTGAATCTGTAGGACGAGAAAAGGAAGGAACAGTGACACAAGACGATTTTATAGATATAGTAACAGAATTAATGGTAAATAATAAAATTCATATAGTTTTTATTTTATTTTATTTTATTTTTTTTGTCAATCTTTAGGACTGTGATATAGACGATGGAGAAATATCACAACAAGAAGCAAATGACTCTTATTTAATAACAGATACAGCTTTTAATATGTTGGCTGATCCTGCTGTTAATGGCATTACTTTAGAAAGCTTACTTAAAGCATGCGAAATGCAATATGAATCTTGGACAAAGCAACAAGTAATGGAAATGATGAATGAAGCTGATCTAAATCATGATGGCTTGATTGATTCTGATGAATTTAAAAAAATTTGTAAAAAAGCAGGTTTATTGTAGAAAGAGAATATACCATTGTCTATATTTATTCATTACGTTGATAATAATAATAATAAATGACGATTTACTTTTAACTATAATAATGAAAAACAGTGGGCTCACAACCACGAATAGCTTTTGGTTCTGTATTTGGCACATAAATATCAGTCCAAAATTCTTTTATATCGGGTTCTGGTGAGTTTTCTGCTTCTCTCTGAGCATCATCAACTTCCTTCTTGACTTTCTTTTCAATGTCTTTAAGTTCAGCTTCAGTCGCAATATTGTGTTCCAGTATAAGTTTTTTAAGATGAGAGATAGGATCAGAGGATGATCTAACCTGTTGGATTTCATCTCGAGTACGATAAGTAGTACCAGGATCTGACATGGAATGGCCACCATAACGGTAAGTTGTTACTTCCATCACTAATGGCCCTTTACCAGAAATAGTCCAATCTCTTGCCCATTGTACGGCTTTTTTCACTGCAAAAATATCCATACCATTAGCCTATGTATGTAGAAACATCAGTATATAAAGTAAAAGCAAACTAGAGTCAATGGTATCCTTACTACTTACACGAATACCAGGAATATAGTCACCACGTTTATAATATTCAATGGATGCAGATGAACGTTCGTTTGAAGTGCCCATACCATATTTATTATTTTCACAGATAAAAACAATTGGAAGATTCCATAACTTGGCCATATTAAATGCCTCAAATACTTGTCCTTGATTAGCAGCACCATCACCGTAAAGAGCCAAGGTCGTTGAAGCATTTCCTTGATACTGTTGTGCAAAGGCAATACCTGCTCCTAAAGGTACTTGCGCACCTACAATACCATTTCCTCCATAAAAATTATGAGCAAACATATGCATCGATCCACCTTTACCCTTAGAGACACCAGCTGAGCGACCCATCAATTCTGCTAAAATGGATTTAACTGAGGCACCACGAAGAAATGTATAACCGTGGCAACGGTAAGAAGTAATAACATGATCGTTAGGGGTAATAGCATGTTCAATACCAACAGCAATAGCTTCCTATATACATATATATATATAAAAAGAGGGCGACAGAGAGATTGAGTTAAATGCTACCTACTAATTTTTAAATACTATGCACATACCTCACCTGTTGATAAATGACAAAAACCGCGAATTTTCTTACCCTTATAAAGTCCGTCTGAGGCCATTTCAAGACGACGGATTGTTGACATTTGAGTGTACATGTCCAACATTTCCTTTTTAGAAGTTTCTAGCTCAAGTGAGGGGGCTTCAGCATTGTACATTTGAAAGGAATTGTCAGGTAATGTTATCTTGATGGTCTCATCCTCACTTGCTGATGTTGGTGACTTTTCGGCTATTCTTGCAGGTGATGTCGTACAAATATTACGCTGTGAAATAAAAATAGATAAATATACAATTTGGTTCTAATTTTTTTTCCATGTTTATTTACAATAGCATAATTATTTGATCTTCTCACAATAAATCGTTTAGCAACTGTTTTAAGCATTGAGTATAGTATGAGAATAGGAAGAAAAGAGATGCCCTGTATTATTCTTATGATTATCATTTCTAAGGAATTACTAAATATATAAATGTAAAACCTATTTAGTAGATTAAAATTTCCCCGCTAATAACAATAATAGATGCACCTACCAAATATTAAAAAGTATCTAAGATAACATACACAATATATTAACAACGTTATTAATATGAAGAAAGTATTTTTTGAATGTGTATATATAAATTCATATTCATATATAAAAATATATGCATACAGTATTGTTAAGCAGGAATATGCTCCCTTTTTTTTTTCTGCAATATATCTTTATTTACCTTAATACCCCAATTATTTAAGTCCCCGTTTTAAACATATAGATAAACTAGAAGAATGATTTTTAAGGCAATAGATCCGAGGAAATATCTCCAAGTTAATATTTTACGCGCAAATAAACATACCATCTACTTGAAAAGCACTTTATGAATGCAATAACTATTGTCGTTACTGATATCAGGAATATCTTTCCTGAAGCATTTTATTTTCTAACGCGCATGAATTAGTTTCTATTCCTATTATAAAATATTATAAATTTATATGCCATCAATAATAAAAAAAAAATAGTCTGTTTAATATGATTAGCTTGGCTTTTTTTTTTTTTTGAAAGGGTGTGTTATATTATTAAAATTGAATATACTTATTTCTTTTTTTTTTTTTTTTTTGATAGATAGAAGCATTATTGTGTATCAATATGACCTAATGTATTCAAAGTACAAATGCAATTCTATAAATTTATTTTTGGTAGTTCCTTTTCATTAGGTATTTTCATATAAATACCATACCCAAAATGATTGGCGAAGTCTCAAAATCGTGAAAGTTATTAGAAGAGGCATGAAAATAAATAAGTTTAATAGGTACTTTTTTTTTCAAGAATCTTTTTATATAACTCGAATCTACATACTTTCTTAGACAACAATGTTATATATGTCTTTCGAATGGCATTCTTTTTTTTTTTTTTTTTTTTTTTTTTTTTTTTTTTTTTTTTTTTTTTTTTTTTTTTTTTTTTTTTTAGTCTGCGTACTCGTTAAGATAGATATGGTAATTTTATCCATTACATAGTAATGGAATCCCCGCCACATGGTGTTTAGAATACCCACATTATTCTAATGTTGACTCAGGATCAAATGGGTTATAGGTTTTTGGAAAGAATTCAGTATTATTTTTATTAGGTGCCACTATAGTTGTAGTAGATTTAAAGCACATGTTCAATATTATCCAAAAATAAGGATACATGAAACGTATTATATCATTGAGATGTTGATTTGACTAAATGATAAAAGCATAAATGTCTCTAGTGAACTTGACTTGATGCATTAGGTTTTAAGAGGCTAGGTATTCAAATTAAATAATTGCCCCTATTCAAAAGTAGCTTTTATCTTGGAAAGAGTGTCATTTTTTATAAGTTTAGGCGATAAAGTTATGAGCTGTTACAATATAATAGCTTTGTTATCCACTTTGATCTCATATTTTTGAATGACTAGATATATGGTTTCAAATAATATAGTAATGTCTACATTGTAATATGCTGCATTGACTACACAGTATATCAAGAAGATCAAAACGATATCTTGTTTGAATTTGCTTGTCATGTGAATTAAATGTTTGTTTACTTTTACTTCCTCTCTTTACATATAGTTCAAGTCTAATATATTGGAGTAATCTGGGATAAAAGTTCATTTTCTTCTCCAAATGAATTCAATATTCATAATGTAATCGAGATGCGTTTCCTGTTTAATTTTATTTCCACCTACTATTTCCTATTCAACTTGAAGTGATCGATAGAAAACTTATTGATATCATTTATATACTACAACTATCACTCCATATTAACATCAGTAAAAGAGAAGTGATACTATTATCTGATATGAATTCAATGCTAGTCTTTTGTTACAGTTGTTATACATATATGTATAACCATTTAATAATATATTTACAGTTTCAAGGCATAAACTTCATTGCCTAGCAACGCAAAACCGGATGTTTATTTGTATTCCATAGCTACAACATCTTTTATTCATACATATACATATTTGTATATACATGAATTTTGATGTTAAATAATAGTATTAAAAGCACACGTATTATGCAAATAATAAATTCATTTGCTACTCGCTTCTAAAGGATAATCACTAAAATATAACCTGTGAGTGGTTAAAATAGATGAATTTGAGACAATAGTGTTTCTGTTTAATTATGTGTTACTGTTATAAAAGTAATGTAATTGGGCTTGTTTTAACTATAGTATTTTTCCTTTAACAAATAGATGTGTAGAAGATATAATAAAAAAAACATTTCATTTAGCCTCATTTGTTAAATTTCACTCGTATATTATATATATATATACATATATATACCTTAACTTTATCTTTTTTTTTATACGTATATTAATAGGCATTGTTCAATGAACTGTGTACCTCTTGAAGTCACTACCTCTTATGTTCAATTGACTCATGTAAGTATATCATTCATGTTAATATAAAAGAGGTATAAACCGCAATGTATTCATATTATTTTTAATATATATATATATCTATATAGAAGGTTTTTAGTGCTTATGTACATGAATATGCAGACACATGAAGTACTCTATTAGGAACTATATCCATATTTTGTTGGTTATGTGCTCAAATACCGTAAGTAATCAAGGAGACAAATAAAAGTTTAGACTTATATAATATCTAATCAAAATAAAACAGCCAAATGATAGAAAATTATAAATTACAATCAGCTGAAGGACTCAGCTTGTATCTTCTATATTTATGGTTAGCTGGTATAATCTGTTTAACACACATATATGTATATGTATAACATTACTAATAATTACAATAATAATATATATAGGTGATATTGGAAATTTGGTTAGTTGTATACTGAATCATCAATTACGCTTTCAAATCTATTTATCATTTTATTTTGTTCTATCAGATATCATTCTTATATACCAATATTTTCAATTTCGTAAAAATAATAACTCGAAAACAAACGACTTTGATACACAAATTAATGATGAAGAACAATGTACTTTTATAACCTTTGAAGATCCCTTAGAATTGTTAAAACCATTTGATGATAACTCACAGAAAACAACTTTGATGATTAACTATGGCACCATCAATGAAACTTCTACAAAGGGCACAGTTACTTTTATGGGGTTGCTTTTATTCGGCTCTCAACTAGGCTTGTCAAAAACAACTTTGTATGCATCAGTAACCAGCAATAGTAATATTATATCATCAACAGCAAATGAAACTTTCAATCTATTCGGCTGTATATTGGCTTGGCTCTGTACCGCATTCTATGTTTTATCTCGTATTCCACAAATCTGCAAAAATTATAAACGTCGTTCAACAAAAGGAGTTTCCATTCTTTCGTTTAGTCTTGCTGTTTGTGGTAATTTAACTTATGCAGCAAGTATTTTGATTTATCCAGATCATACAAAAGATAGAATCATAGAGTCACTTCCTTATTTAATAGGTAGTCTAGGTATATTTTTCTTTGACGCAATTATCTTTGGACAATTTTTGTATTATAATTTTCTACGAGATGTTAATAAATTAATAATATAATACGGACATTAGCTTTTAATGAAAGACTGTTTAATTTTCCCACCACTTTTTTTTTTTTTATTGACAGTTGGTAGTAGTGCATATAGCTATTAAGAAAGAAAAAAAAAAGTCAAGGCAATCATGATAACGGTTATTTTAATAAAAAAAAAAACTATTCAAATATAACCGACAAGAATAATATTTAAATAGAAAAGGATAATGCCAAAGATTGGTCTAAATACATAACGATTTAAATAATATTTCTGAATTCTCAATAAATAAACTTTAAAGTAGATTAAGTAATAACTATAATCAAGATTTATTTGTTATAAATTATCAGGTATCCATGATGAATAATAATTGTTAGACAAGTTGTGACGGCTAGTAGAAGCTAAATTTTCTATATTTAAATCATTGAAAGAAGTCTTTTTTTAAACATTAGAAACTTTTTATTTCTTTTTCTCCCCCAATAGCTAATAGCCTGAGTCATTAAGTGACTCTATTTCACTGAAAAAAAAAAAAAATTGTATTTTCAAGTTCAGGAACCAACAAAAATACGAACCCGTCACAATCAAATAAAATCTCCGAAAACTTTGAAAAAATTCATATAAATACAGAAAAAAAAAATTACTAAATAAAATTTTTTTTTACAGAGTGGAACCATATAAAAATTTTTTTTTACAGAGTGGAACCTCTTTTAGTAATATGATGTCCTTTACAAGAAACTTGCTTACCCCCTTGGTGTCTCGTCGTCTATTTTCAACTACAGTTGCCCCTCATGCATACTATACAAGTACTTTGGTGTCTGATCAGCATAAAAAGGTGAATTCTAATGCCAAACTCTATGACTTTAGAAGTGACACTGTCACTGCTCCTACGGATGAAATGTTTGACCTTATGAAGTACGCCTCTAGAAATGATGATGTCTTTCAGGTAAAACAAATAAACAAATAAACAAATAAATGAATACAGAAATTAAATAAATAATTAAATAATAGGAAGACAAGTCTGTAAATGATCTTCAAGATTATATGGCAGAACTAACTGGGCATGAGGCTGCTCTCTTCTGTGCCAGTGGTACTATGACAAATCAACTTGCTCTTCGTACTCATTTGGTAAATCCACCTCACTCTGTTGTTTGTGACCATCGTGCGCATGTTTTCCTTTGGGAAGCAGGTGGTATTGCCATTCACTCTCGTGCTTCTGTTTCCCCCGTGATTGCTTCTAATGGTATTCATATTACTGCTGATGAAATCAAGGCTAATCTTTTGGGTAATGATATCTATTCTGCTCCTACTCGTGTTGTTTCTCTTGAAAATACTTTAAATGGTATGATATTCCCTATTGAAGAAATTGCAAAAATTTCTCAAATGGCTCGTCAACATGGTCTTGCTATGCATCTTGATGGTGCTCGTCTTTGGAATGCCTCTCAAGAGACAGGTATTCCTCTTAAAGAATATGGTAAGCACTTTGACTCAATGTCTCTCTGTCTCTCTAAGGGTGTAGGCGCACCTATTGGTTCCATCGTGGTTGGTTCTGCTAAATTTGTTGACCGTGTTCGTTATTATCGTAAACTCTTTGGTGGTGGTTGGAGACAAGCTGGTTTTATGGCTGTGGCTGCTAAATATGCTATTGATAACATTGTACCCACCATGAAGGAAACTCACAAATTAGCCAAATATTTAGCAGATGAATTTGTAGCTATGGGTATTGATCTTCAAATACCTACTCATACGAATATGGTCTTTATTGATACTACTCGAGTTGGTCTCGAAATTGAACGTGATCTTATTCCTGCCTTGGCTGAACGTAATATTCAGTTGGGTGGTATGGGACATAAGGCTCGTATTGTTTTGCATCATCAAATTGATCGCCAAGGTGTAGATACTTTATTAGAAGTTGTACGCGACGCAATTAAGGCTCGTCAAAATTTAGAAAATGAAGAATTACGGCTTACTTCAAGTGAATCCGCTTAAAGAAGTATACCCCTCCTCCCCTATTGTTCATTTTTCTTACTTGTTCTATTCTCCTTGTACATATTAAATAAAATAATAATGTATCATCATTCTCTAATATTATAAATGCTGGGATCTTTTTTATTATTACTGTTATTATTATTATTATTGTTTATAAAATATCATATAGTTTTTTTTTTTTTTCCTTCTATTTAATGACGGTGAGCAGGTGTCAATTGAACATCACCTTTACCTCCATTTAAAAGAGCTTTAACTTTTTCTGTATACATTCTTAAACCTTCGCCCATGACAGTAATTCTAATTTGAACATCCTTTGTATTCTCTAGAGTTTCTTCATTTTCAACGGGAGTAATCGTCCAACGACCAAAGGCATGATTGACAATAGACAATTTACCATCATCCAAACGAACAAAACCCTTAATACGATAAATATCTTCTTTAGGCATTGTCTTGAGGAAAGATTCAAACTGTTCAGTTGACAAAAACTTGTCATTTTCTGTAGTAGATTGAAGAATTTGAATCAAGTCAACTTCATTTTCTTGATGCTTGGGGTCAAAAACAGATTCCTCAAGAGTATGATTCTTTCCATAACCAACCTTGAACAATTGAGTGTCCAATCCAAAAACAAGATCAGGCGAGATACCGGTCTTGTCACACTTCACCTTGGGAGTATCGGTGTTCAAAACATTAACGTGATCAATCACTTCATCAAATTTACGTTCGTCTATTAATTCATGCTTATTGAGCAAAATAACATCTGTATATTGAGCTTGAAGTTTAGCTGTGTAACTAGTATCCTCATAACCTGTAAAGTTTTCACAATCAATAACAGTAATGATTGAATCTAAAACAAATCCCTCCTCTTCCATTTCACGAATTTGCCAGGCAATAGGTGCTAATAAAAAAGAAAAAAAAAATCAAACTACAAACGCATATTATGTCATGTGTCATTTTATTACCAGGAAAAGCAGAACCACTTGTTTCAATAATAATTCTGTCAGGATTGTATTGATCTATATTTTTTTAATAATTTAGTCGTTATGAATAAATAATAAACTATATGAATATATTACCTCTTAATTCTTGAAGTGCCAATTTCATTTGACCAATAAGTACACAACACATGCAACCATTAACCATTTCTTGGACGCCAATGTTAGTTTCTTTAGCTAATTGACTGTCAACTATGCACCATGTTAGTTTATAAAAGAGTTTTTTTTTTTTTTTTCGTTAAAGAAAAAAAAAACATACCCGCAATATCACCAAATTCATTTTTTAACAAGCAAACTTTATATTCTTCAGGGACTCTACGTAATAAATTCAAAATTTGAGTAGTTTTACCTTGTATGTAGAAAAAGACAAAAAGAAAATAAATAACAGAAACATGTAATAACAAAAGTGTTGCACTTTACCACTACCCAAGAAACCAGTAAAGACAGTAATAGGAATAGGCTTAATAGTGGCTGACATAGTTTAATTTTAAAAAATAAAAGAAATGAAAAAGTTTTTTTTTTCTTAATAATGAAAAAGAAAGTTTAACATAAATTATCTGTTGCTGATTTTGTTTGATAAAAAAATGGTTTCACTTTTTTTTTTTTATGGATTAATTTCGTTTAATTTTTATTGATGATGTATTTGCTGTTTTCCTTCCAATGTAAGCTTATTTAACGTCATAATATCACCTTCTCTTAATAATTCTTCTTCATGAGATGCTGTATTCTCACCACGTTTATGAAGAGCAGGAAATTCCTTCTTTGGTACCATCGATATGTATCTGTCCTCTTCTTCCTCTTCTTCCTCATCTTCATTTTTAAAATAACCATTCATTAAATTACGAATACGTGGGCTTGCTGGAGCAGAAAGAGGCTTTGGAATCTTTTTAATAAGAGAAGTCGAATTTAACAAATCTAAAGTATGAATATCATCATCATCTATAAAGGATTCAGGATAAACACGACGCAAGGCTAACTGACGCGCTTTAATGTATTCTAATCCCATTCGCTTCCAGTCTAATAGATCTGATAACCTTTCTGTACGATTACGTTGATTTATACGTTGACGACGTGTCTTTTGACAAAACCTAAACATTTGCTCACATAATTGTTGAATAGATTCTTCTATGGATTTCATTCTACGATCTACGATATAAATACCATAATCCTCACAATTCTCGATATTCTCATCCATGAAACATCCAAATCCAGATAGACTATATAAATATATACATATATATATATATATATATATATAAAGTTGTTAAGACTGTCAGCTTGAATTTATGTGTATCACTTACTTGGTTGTAATAGAAGGTACACCCATGACTGTACATTCAGCAGGTGTATATCCCCAGGGTTCATAATAGGAGGGGAAAACACCTAAATGACAACCACGAACAAAATCTTCATAATCAAGACCTAACAATGGATTATTGGCATTCAGAAACTCTGGATGAAAAATAACTTTCACCCGATCATCTACCTTGTTATAAAGTTGTAGACGTCTTAGTTGATTAAGGATTGGATCCTTGCCATCGTCTGCCATATTATGTGTCACAATAGAGGGTAAAGTACTGTTCTTTAAAGCGAATATACGTCGTTTCAAAAGAACTTTATCTTCACCATGTAAGAACTCCTTTGGATCTAATTCTTCTCCTCGAAGAGCGCTTTCATAAATTCGTTTGCCGATACGACTTTGAATTTCATCTACAGTTTCTCTGAGTTGTTTTGTCACTGCTTGCCCCTTGAGTGCTTCTACATTAAAAGACCGTGTAGCAGAAGGCATAATGATAAAAGCAACAACAGTAGTATTTGACTTGGCCGCTTTTAAGCGATCGTTTAAACCTTATTAAATAAGTAAATAAATAAATAAAAAGGGACGGGAACGAAAAGATAACATTATTATTATTATTATTTAAAAAAAAAAATTCTATTTTTTATACTTACGACTTAGAGATTCTACAAACATGTCTACACCTTTATTACGATATTCATAACGACCTGCGATGAAAAAGTAAACTGTATTGCTCAAATCAAAATTATAATGACCATAGAAATGTCCTCGAACAAAGTCATGGATTTTTTCTTTATTTAGAGAATGTTTGTTCTGAAACTCATGCACAGCCTGAAATTTAACAACGTTTAAGCCATTAGGTAGTACACCATCTATATACACAGATTGTTAATAATTGATTATTACTATTTAAAAAAAAAAAAAAAAAAAAAAAGAAAGAAAAAAAGAAAGAAAAAGAAAAAGAGTAAATTGATTCAACTTGAATACCTGGTTTACGCTTAAGAAGATGTTCACTTTCATAAGCAGTAATATGTGATACAGTAGTGAATACATCAGCACAATGGGCTGCACCTCTTTCAATACAGTAACGATGATAAATGCCTCGTTTACCGGCCTCTTGATCAACATCAAAATGACTTAAATTATTATAAAAATCGACCGAGCCTGCACATAGATAGCGACCTAGTAAAGTAGCGTGCGTTGTAAAGATAGTAGTAACATCTATCTTACGCTTCTTGATCAATGGAATAGCAACACCAGCTAGCCATTCATGGAAGTGAGCAATAATAGCAGGACTAGATACTTTTTCATTTAATTGATTATTGTACTAATTCAAACCGATTTATAAGTATTATATGTTATGTATATACATGTAAATATAGCAGTTTGTACCTTTTTAGAAATTTCATCAAAGAACCAAGAAACAATATAACCAAACAAGACAGCTTCATTTGTTTCTTGATCATGAGGAGGACTAGGAATACCGGCAATGCGCCAAAGATCACCCTTCCACTCGTCTAATTTATGGCTCATACTTCCAGTATCAAAAAGTAATACATAAGGAGCACCCTCCACTAGCCATCTTCCGAAAAGGAAGCGTATACCATGAGATGACATAGATTCCAAGGTTTCCCGCATAATCCCAGAAGGTGGCTCGAGAGCTTCTACCTCCATAGGAGCAGTATTGTATGACAAAGGTCCAATCAAACAATATCTATCTCCAAATTCGCGTACAGTAACAGGTACTTTAGTTTTAATGACTGTATAAATACCGCCAACTATACAAAAAAAAATATTATTTTATATATAAATTATGTTCAAATCTACTACATATATGCTTACCTTTGTTAGCTACTTCCCAAGCAATTTCAAATAATAGCGAATTATATACGTCTTTATTATATCCTGTCATATCAAAACAAAATAAAACAAAAGGAAAAGAAAAAGAAAAAAGAAGAAGAAGAAGAAGAAGGAAATAAAACCTTTTTTTTTTCTTTGTTTATATATGACATATTTCATATAATGACGATGATGTATATTTGTTGATTAAATCAATTAGTACAACCTTTCTCACGAAAATGTTGTTATGTGTTGAAAACAAGTTTATTATGGCAGTCTCTCTTTAATAAATAACTTGTATTTATATAGTTGTTCTTCTCTAAATAGAAACCAAATATTGTATATAAACATAAAGACTCCATACATACATACATACATTTAAAGGCTTTCATAGTTAATGAAAAGTATACAATCCCTTCCGAATAGATACGCATCTTCTGTATACCATACCATTGCTGTATTACCTTTAGATTTGTCTAAAAGGCTATTCAATACTATCCAATTAAAATACGTGATTTATTTCCCTTATTATCTGTCACTAAAGTTATATTTAGTTCTTTAATTTTATTATTACACTTTGTTTATAAGTAAAAAAAACTTGCTTCAATAGTTCATTGTATTTTCGTTAAAAGTAAAAAAAAAAAAAAAAAAAAAAAAAAAAAAAAAAAAAAAACTACTACTACTAACTACTAACTACTACGTAAATAATAATTCAGCCTATCCAAATCAGTTTACCCCTATAAAAAAAAAATACAAGTCACTGAATTAACCTTTTTTTTTTTTTAAACCTTCAAAAGGCATAATTTTTTTTTTATTATTATTATTACATTAATTTAATTTTCTATAATAAAAACAAATGCAACCTGAGCAGTGGGAACAACTAAAGGTAAAAGAAAATATAATAATGATATTATCAAGCTTAGTTTTTAATTATATTACATAATTAGAATGACATTCATAGTAAATGTGTAGCCTATGACTATATTGACGCGGGAGGTAAGAAACAGCAAGTTATAGATCAGTAATGTAAGATTAATAAACATACCTCTTTTTTTAGATAAAACACTTTCTGAGTTCATCATAGACTTGATTCGAGTTGGTAAAACATCGGAAGAAGTTAATAATGAGCTCTTACAATGTAAGTTCAAGTAAAGAAATAGGATGCTTGTAAATAACATGCTAATGAATAAATGTATTTGCTTTTTTTTTTTACCAATAAAAAAGTGATTGGTTCAGATTATGGTAATGATTATACTTAAAGATATAAAAATAATAAAAACATAAAAAGAAAAATAAATACTGAAAAAAAAAATAAATTAATTGTGATTACATTAGATTCCAATGTCACTCAATGGATGTTTGAACATAAGCAATCATTTGAAAATCCTGAAACAGAGGCTGCGGCTTCTCCTGAAAAGCATGTCAAAGACCAGCAACTACAAGGAACTAATGTACAACAAAAATCTAATTTAGAACGTGAAAATATAGAAAAACCTAAAAACAGGATCTTTAGTCAAGCTTTAGGTAATGCTTTGAATAAAAGTAATAATCGTTCATCACAAACTACATCACGCCATAATAATGATCGTTATCATGATCATCATCGTGATCGTTCGCGTTCTCCCGAACAACGCTTTTCTAGAGCTGAACGTTATGAGCGTTCTCCAAGTCGTGAAAGAAGAAAATATAATCGAGATGAGGATCAACGTAGAGATGTCTTTTCCAGGATTGGTAATGTTAAGAAGGGGGACAGACCAAGTGTATTTGATCGCTTAGGCAATAGTAAGCCTCAAATTGAAAATCAAGAAGCCAAAGAAAGTTCCAAACAAGAACGTTGTAAATATTGGCCAACATGTAAAAATGGAGATGAATGTACTTATTTCCATCCTACTACAGTTTGTCCGTAAGTATAGTGAATTATAGTATAATGTATTTTGTGATATTCATACTATTTTATAGTGATTTCCCCAACTGTCCGAAGAAATCTAATGAATGTATGTTTATTCATCCTGAAACTGCCACTAAACCGATTATAATGCAACAACCTAATATGCTTACAAAGCTACCTATTCCCTGTAAATTTTATCCATATTGTAATAACCCAATGTGTCCCTATATGCATCCTATAATGGCGCCTCAACAAGCATTTTTCATGCAATCACAACCATCGTTTAGCAATGCTGGGCTACGTGTACAAACACCTTGTAAAAATGGAGATGCTTGTACAAGGCCAGATTGTTATTTTATTCATCCAAGAGACCCTAATCCATTTGCAGATATTATCGTAAGTATTAATATGTATTTATGTGCATGAATATAAAACAAATATTTATATTCTTTTATAGTGTAAATATGATGGAGTATGTACTAGACCTAATTGCTTATATAAACACACTAAAGAAAATAACTCTTCAAAAAACAAGACACTTGTTAACAAAAAGAATGAAAATACCAATGAGCGTCAATTCTCTGTACCTGAAGATCAAGTTGAAGAGCGTATTATTGTAGGTGAAAGTGCTGATTTAATTCATAATAATAATCAACAACAGTCTACTACTATGGAGAATAATAACGCAACGAGTACTACTTCTGTTACCAATAATGTATAATTAATTTTTTTTTTTTTTATTATTATCATTATTGATAAAATAAAGACAAACTATATGATCACTGTTATATATACACAAAATATAATGAATTAATTCTTTCCTCTGGGCGCATTTTTATCTAACCATAATTTTGCTTTATCTAAGTCTTCCTGTTCACTTTCTATTGCTTTAACACACCATCCTAGATCATATTTACCCTCTAATTCATTATATACAATTTCTGCTAAAAATCTCTTTCTAGATGTTGATTCATCTACACAAAGGTAAAGTACAGGGTTAGGGTTAGGAAGTGATAACTCTTTGGGTAAACCCTTGATTAATGGAATTAATAAACTTGCAGCTGTAGTTGCATCCTTTGGATCTTTTGTACAGGTTGCACAATACTATGTATAAAAAAAAAAAAAAAAAAAAAAAAATATGAGTCTAATTTGATAACGAAAACTTTATTATGGGTTACCTTATTTCTACACCACTCATTTCCGCAACCAACAGTTAATTGGGAATGAATTTTACGTGCTACTCTTTGTATTAGTTTAACATTTTTGGGATCATCTTCCATAATCCAAAAAGGTCCAAAACAAAATTGACAGAGAGAAAGCTTATTTCTTGTTCTAGGTCGAATACAGTTATAATTAGAACAAGCAGGAGGCAAAACTTGTTGTTGTCGTTTTACTTCATGAATCTTTGCATGTACTTGAATATCTTTAATGGGTATAGATTTGTGGCATTTTTGACAGGTAATTGTACGTGATCCACAATAACTTTCGTGTGAATAGAGTCCGAGCAATCGATCTCTTGCATCTAAAGATATTACACCTTGTGCTGTTAAATTCTATAAGAAGATATATTTATATAAAGGTTAGACATTCTTGGTAAGTTAGTTACTATTTATAATGATATATATTTACATGACAATATCGACAAGTAATCAGTTTTTCAGGACAATTTGTTTGACGATGCTTGCTCAATTCCTCATAGGATGAAGATCTAAAACCATTACACACGCATGTCTTCAATGTATGATAGTAATCGATATGTTTTTCATACTCAATCCCACTCGTGTTTCCAATATAATCACATTGATTACAATGCCAGTGCTCTCTAAAGTCTTCACTATCCTTTTTAAACACTTTGCCACATCCCCAAGGGCAAAGTACATTATTTCTGAAACAAAATCCTTCATGTAACATTAATGTGCGCTCTGCTATCCATCCATGACAGTTTTTACATTCTACTTTTCCTTCTTTACTTTCATTATCCTGTATAGTATCTACTTTGGTATCATCACAACCACTAGTGAATACTGTATTCCATGTAACAATCGTATTTTCAGTATATCCATGGATACCGATGTATATTAATTTACTGCTTGTTAATAAATTTGTAGTAGCTATCTGAATTGTTTTTTTCTTATTTGAGGATAAGTCAGACCACTCATGGTTATCAAGGGTAGGCATTTTATCTGTTTTACTAATTATGATATCTATTGTACATGACAGTATTAATAAACATAAACGTTGTCTTTTTTTTTTTTTTTTTTGTATATAATAAGATCTATATACCTGCATCACCATTTTCAACGTCTACATTAACTAATAATGACAGCTGATTTAGTTGCTTTAGTTGTTGTTCATCAACATTTAATGCTAACTTCCAGTATTTATATTCATTTTTGGCTATTATTGTTCGAGTTACTGTTTCATTAAGATTGACAATGTTAACCGATGAAGAAGACTGTATAGTTGGCTTTGTTGTATCATTGTTAATAGGATCTATATCAACTTCTAGATCGGTGTCTGTAATCGATACAGCATCTTCTGGCTTCAAATCGACAACATGAAAATTATATATACGACCACCATAACGACAAGATAAAATCTGTCCTTTTGTCAGTGTATTATAATGACTACGTAAATGAGACTCGAGGGCAGCACGATAATCAGTAATTTCTCTATAATCCTCGGACATAGGCTTTAGTCGTGTCCATGTACCTTTTGGTAAAAGTTTAAGCTTGATCAAGACATGATCGTCTTGTTTTAAATCTAGTGCAGACATCATCCATTGAGGTAGTTGAGCAACTGTATTACTTGACGAACTAAATTCTTTTACGCCTGAGTGAATTACGGCTTTGGGTATATGAGGATGGCGTAATTCAAAAGTTAAAGGTGAAGGTAAAACTCCAGAAGATCCTCCAACTTGATTAAGTAATTGTTCGAGTGCAGTAGCTGGTAATACAATCTTATCACCTTCATTCAATTCTGAAGATCCCTGCTTTACAATGTAATGTGAACTCCATTGAATATGGCGAAACTCTTCTTCATTTACTGATGGAATAGTACTCATAATGATTATACAAGTTATTAAAAAAAAAAAAAAAAAAAAAAAAAAAAAAAAAAAAAAGTAATTTATTCTACAAAATTAATAATCAAAGAAAGTTGTAGAAATTTATGCTTAGTTTCATAAAGCCCACATATTTGATTACGTTTAAAATATAATTTCTAAAACAGTTTGACTGGGTACAAAAATAAATAAATTAATTCTGCATTGGATCATCGATAAAAGGAAAGGTAGCTATGATACAATTAGTGAGTGGGGAAGGAAGAAAAGAGCCAGTTGAGGAATCTTTGTCGTAGTTGTGATAACAATGAAGGCTAGTTTATATAATGGAAGAGGTGATTAGGCTCATAAAGGACTAGCTAACGGACAAATCAAGGAAGGAATCTAAGATAGGTATGTAGTTGATATGTTGGAAGCAGGTCTACAAGAAAAAAAAAGAGGCCTCCCATCAATTGTTTCAAGCATATAAGATTGATGGTGCATTTGGAGATAGTGTATAGTATACTGCTTTGTGAAGAATTGGACAAAATACCTGAAACAATATATTGAACGATCATTCAGATAACCTGTCCAGAGCGCTAATGAATGCATTAAATATGTCTATTGAATTATTTGAGAAGTCAAAAAATTAAATCTAATGAAATGATCGGTTTATACTATGTCATTCATATGATATAATATTTCCTAGTGATATTGAGATTAAAAAAGTACGAACAAAGAAGTTATAAAGCCATCCATAGTAGCCACAATCAAAGCATAATATCTTTATCTAGTCAATAATGTTTTCCACGCTATATTAGTAATGCCTGTTACGACACTTTTAAATCTAGCACTGTTTCTATTGAACACTACATTTTTAAAGGTTATGATTGGATTTATTGCCTTATCTTAATAAAACTTGTATGCTGTTCAGTATCTTTTTTTTTTTTTTTTTTTTGTCTATTTATTTAAATAATATTAATCCTACATAAAACTTTTAGTTTGTATTGCATTCAGTAGAATATAGACATCCTACTAATAACAACATCTATAACAAACCCATCTGTTTTAATTAGATTTTGGAATAAGTTTTATTCCCTTCTTTTCATTATTGAATCAAGCATATTTAATCTGTTATAATTACAATAATAAATAAAGTATTATGTAATTGTTTTGAAAAAAGGCTTTCGAATACTGAAAAAGCAATCTAGAAAAAACAAAAGATAACTATTATATTATACTTTTTATTACTATTTGATGATATAAAAGTTATCTTTATCTATTTTCTATATATAAAATTATTGTTAGGATTATTATATAAGAGTTAAATAGGTGTAATAGTCAATCAACTAGATATTGGTTCATTGTATAAATTTCTTCATTCAAAAAAATAAAATAAAAAATTATATAGAAATATACAAAAAAGAAATTCCGGCCTGCCAGATTCGAACTAGCGACCTAAAGATGACAGTTAACTACAGTCTTCCGCTCTACCAACTGAGCTAAGGCCGGTTGTTGTTGTGATGTCGAGCCTGATAATACTTATGAAGATGTACCATTAGAAGTAGATCACTGGAGATAAAGTCTAATATCACCAAAATTTTACCATGGTTGTATGTAGTACATTCACCATGGTGATAGTAGTAGTTTCACCACGTTTTTTAAAAAGTTGGAATTTTTTAATTTTTTTTAGATGAAAATGTACAGCAAGATTTTCTTATATCAAATATACAAATTTTATTTTATTTGAATGAAAACTCATAGAGTTATTAACATTTAAAGATGTTCTTGAGGAGTTTATATATTAGAAATCACAAAAAAAATAATTTAACTTACAGCCAGTGCGATATTATGGTTTTAATTGGACAAAATAAAAACTTTAAAATTTTGTACAACTTTGAAGATATTTTTATTTCTCAAGTTCATTTAAATCAACGATATATAGGCTTAAACTCAATCTTGTAGGACAAAAAAATATTTTATACTTTTTTTTTTAAATATTTAAAAGTAGTACATGCTTGCTTCAATTTCCTTAATAGTATTTATTTGTAAAAAAAAAACGCAAAAATAATTACAATAATCACAAAGTCATTATTCAAAATAAGATGCTGTTAAGTTATAAATGTAAATTAATAATTCATTTATTAAAAAGATGTTTTGAAAAAAATAAAATGAGATAAAAAATTAAAACGAGATAAAGAAAATAAAATGAAATAAGATAAGATAAAAAAATAAGAAATAAAAGAAAAAGAAATAAGATAAAAATAAATGAAGGAAGATAAAAAAAAACTATAACATAAAAAAATATAGGATCACAATTAGCAATGTCAGGATGATGAATAAATCATGATGACATTAATGTATTTCATCTACAGGGCTACTTTATCTCTATTACGTGAATTTAAACGATTTATATTTTTATTTATTTTTAATGATTGTATATATTCTTAAATATTTACTTTTACATTTGTTCAGTCTATTAAAATTTGAAATTACCCATCAGAATTAAAAAAAAAAGATTCTTTACTTCCATTTATTTATAATTGATCAATTTAGACATTTCATTACTTAAATGCTGGTGAATTGGAATAAAAAGAAAAAATCTATTTTATTTTATAATTTCTTAATTTTAAGCCCAGTTAAAATTCATAGTAATAATCTCCCCCTTTTCTTGATTTCCTAATTTTTTTTCTATTTTTTCATTTTTTCATTTTTTTATTTTTTCTCTCACTATTTAAACTAGTTTTTATTTTAAGATGCCTAAATTTACTACTAAAAGTGAAAAAAAGATTTGCAGATGTGAAGATTGTTCCAAGAATGCAGCTGGATTTCGTGTGGTCAATCGCCATACATTGAGAAAGCATGCTAAAATGGCAATGAAGACAGTAATGACGTTGAACAATGTTGAACGTAAGAAATATAATTGCAAATAAAGTACATGTAATTTATAACAATAGGCATTATCAAACTAACGTTTACATTTATTTTTTTTAAATAAATAATTACTAATTTCGAAGACATTACTGAAGAAGTTTCAACAACTGATGAAGTAGAGATCGTCAATCCAATTTACATTGATGCTAATAATGAAATGATTGACAATTCTGAAGAAAGCAATAGCTTAGAATTTGATGAATTAGAAGACTTCGATTACCAAGATGGTGAAAAAGTTATTGAAGGTATTTTGCATTAGTGTGAATTAACTGAAGCATAAACATTACAGTGCTTTAATACTAACTTGTATATTTATTTTTTATTTTATTAACAGATGATGACATTCAAATGTCTTCTGATGAATTTGATGAGAAACTTCTCAAAATTAATGCCAATGAAGCTTTACCAATGTTTATTATGATTTTCTTGGTATTTTTCCAGATTGGTAACCTTTCAGTCTCTTCAACTGAACTTATATTTAAGTTTATGAGCGCTGTTTTGTCTTTACTTGGTGCTTCTTACCAGTTTCCTTTGAAGCTGAGTACCATCAAAAGAAGAATCAAAGCTGATTTTGCTATCAATGGTACTATTATTTTTATTTTATTTTATTTTTATTTTATTTTTTATTTATGTTTTTTGCTCATGTATTATTTATTTCATTCAAATGCAATAGGGTTGAAAAAATTTATAGTATGTGCCAAGTGCAATACTACTTATGATTATGATGAGATTATTGACGGATCAGCAATTATTAAAAAATGCACCAAATTATTGTTTCCTTCTCATGCTGGAATCGTTAAACGCTGTAATCATCCTTTAGTTGAAAAAAATAACAGTAATATCATAAAGCCTAAAAAACGTTATGTTTACAATTCAGTAAAAGCAACATTGGAAAAATTTTTTATGC